TTGTATCCTTTATTTTCATAACAGACTTAGCCTTCGTGGCCCTCTCTCAGTCAGTCATATTATTGGACAGTCAAACAACAACGAGACTGTATAAAGACTGATTCTTCTTTCTGTTTCAAGTCTGCGTTTCAACTATCAAGATATGTAGTACTAATGATGAAACGGTAAAGTTTGTACATTCAATTAACAAGTATGAGCACGGTCCGTACAATACGACCGGCCAAAGACTACGTAACACAAGGCAAACTATAATACAATAATAATGATTGACTCTTATCATGAATACATTTGAAAACCCTTTAACAGCCTTTGAATGAGATAAATAACCAAATGAACGTTGAATTTGTAATTCTCATGTATAATGTATCTGATATTACTAGCTCTTGACTGTTGTTAATATAAACACACACATTACAATCACGCTAGGTACGTCCATGCGTGATATGTAATAGTTTCGACGAATCCTCATTATCCGGCGGCAACTAGCTGTGTTTGTGGTGACACGGGCAATACATGTGTGTACAGAACGGATATACTATTATACGTGTAATCACACAGGATTGACTTATAGAATACTCATCATCAGAGTCAAGTAACCTATTCTTTGATCCTAAATCCAAGTTGTAGCTGGCCACGATAGCAAATCTTCAACTAAATATGTACGTTCAGGACGGGGCTTGGTTAAAGATCAAAAGCTTTTGCACATATATCAGTCATATGACAATAAAACAGTGAACACATTAATAAATTGATCTAAAACGATTGAATTTAACTGACGTCCGGCGAACTGATGTACAGAACAACAACAACCCCACAGCATGTAACATGCAGTGTGTGATGAGATAATATATGATGATAGAGAAACATACATAGTTAAGAATAATATATATATAGTATAATAAGATGAAGAGCATAATAAAAACATTTCAGAATCCTTGAAGCGATAGAAGTACTTTTCGTTAATTGTTCTGAATTTAAAGGTACATACAAAATAAATCTCGAGACTTGTACAATGCTGTATTCACGTTGAAGAGTTCCGCGTACGGTTTGAATGGCTCCTAGTTATTAACAGTAACTTAAAAACTTTATATAACTTACTTACTGAGTATAAGATTCAGCAAAATCAGCTCCTTCAGAAAATTGTTTTGAGAAAATTATCGTGGAAGAAAAAAAAAACTTAGCCTGTAGAGGGTACGATGTATATTGCAAATGAATATTTGGTTACCAAGTGTAAATTGTATGTAATTATAATATAAATGTTGTTTGAACATATTCTATATATAAAACTTTGTTTTTCGTATTTACTATTCCTTTTATTTATATTACAATTATATGATATATCCTAGTTTTGGTTAACTTACAGCAGCGATGATCACGGCCAGACGAGATAAGAGTGTCTGTCAGTTAGTCTTAGTATTTGTCATCTAAGGGCAATGATTTTTGATTTTTCTCGCGAACCGTGTAAATGTAACCAGTCCTATCATCTGGTAGTGTGTTCGTAGACATAGGCTTTTTATTTTTGCGAGCCGACCCGGGTATTAGAAAATTGTTCTTATTTCATTGTTCTTTATCTTGATAGAGATCACAATAACATTTGATTACAGTTGTTTCAGCACTCGACAGTATGGTTCCATGTAAATAACAGAAAGAAAAAACACTTTTTCATCACTAATGAATGAAATATTCAACAGAATTGCTATAAGTAATCAGTTGTGTAAAATGAAGCAGATTCAAAAAGCGTCCTCTCAGAACGAACAGAACAAATAAGTATTAATTCCACAGCGTTGTAGTGGACGTGACCTTACATAAATTGCTGCTACGATCAACCACACCACCGATGACATAACATTGAACACTGAAATATGTAAAAGGTTCAGGGCCGGTGGAAAATGTCTTTGAAATTTATTCCTGACCGTAGCTCCTTAATTATTGAAATTACTAGAGTTTTAAATGAAAACATTGAATACTAAATATATTAATTAAATGACACCCCTGGAAGACGTTTATGGTTGGAGATGATCGTCTGGTATGTGATTTGTTATCCTTTCATGCGATGATGATACGAAGGAACCGTCTGCTCTTACTTCACATCTCTTAGATTTCATACAATCTGAGAAGGTCTTCGTATAGGTCGGGGATCCTCTTTGTAATCTGTACTCAGTAGACTTAACTTGTGCCGTCATGAACCGGACATGTCGGAGTGTTCCGTACACACCCAAGGTTTCATGTCATCCCTTGCATAACCTTCGATGGAGGACTAGCTTTCAGTCGCACATCTGCCAACCTCAAACACTCCCATGACACTTGACACACACACACTCACATCCATGTATACAATACAAACACGCACACATACGTATATAAATAGTGACATTGACTCCTGTTCTTTCGTAAAATAATTTAAAGATTTATTCACATTTCCAGTTATCTGTTAAACTGTGTCTCATGAACATGGCCATTGGCAGTGTTCGCTTCTGACATTCCCTCAATATCTGTCTCATAACTTTTCCCTTTTTATTTCCTTGTATGAAATCCATTCGTTGATTGCGAAAAGTCAAACGTCAAAGAATATCGAACATCTCGTTTCATAAATGTATATGTGTGTGTGCGTGTGTGTGTGAATATTAATATTAATATAAAATCAGCAATATAAAGTTAATGGTGTGTACTTTTAGTGATAGATTAGCGATGGTTGGATGGATCGATTGTAATTTGACCACCGCCGTCCGCCGTCCGCCGTCCGCTAACAAGGGTGGCTCACGATAACAATATAATCTGGCATAGATGATAGAGCACAGACAGACTGACGGACAGACCGACAGACAGATGGACAGATGGACCGTCAGTCGGCTGGAAGGAGTTTAATAATATTATATATAGCGGTACTCTACTCTGTTCCCGACTTACACGCCTAGACTCAATTTAATACAAGTGTTTATTTAATAATCGTTAAACCGCTACGTTATCCTCTTAACGAGATGTTATTGATTTTGTGTTTTAAGAGACACGAGGATGCTGTGCTTGCTAATGCTCGTTATATATGTTATCAGTTAGACGATCGAGCCCGCAACCAAACAAAGACGTTACAAAGCTTTCATAGTGTGTACTGACGGAGCTACAACATATGCATTATATATTCATACATGCTAATAAGTAAGACCGACTAAAACCGTTTTAATACTAAGCTATAAAGAGAAAACTCAGATTTCGAGCTGTTAGGGAAATACGCATTAAAACAGAAAACTAGTTATATTATTAATAATGTGGGTAGGATGATGGGAAACTTTATCGCGGATTAAAACGGCCGGCTGGATTCAATGTAGAGTACACTCTGTGTAATATATTGAAGTTTATTTGTATTTATATTAAAATACTTGTAACATACTGCGGTACTCCTTACGGTACTACGACAGAACGTTTATGTATCTACATTATATCTATAAAGTTTATGCGTTTCTTATTTGTACCAGTAGATTTCTGATATGACAAATATTTTTTATTGAACATAAAAGCCGCGGTCGCCAACCGGACGTATCAATTCCATGTCAGAGTAATGTCGCGTGATGTCATTATAGTAATAATGTTTTATGAGCGCACACTATACAAACATCAAGTAAACTACAACTTAACAAAGCCGTACATATGGGATGTGGAACCGATTTCCTCTCAGTGACAGCCTCCTGCCCTCCTCGCCGGAGATGACACTACATGCCTCGAGCCCCGCACTATAAGAGGAAGTCATTCATTGTGGATGCGACCGACTAATTCACTTTCACATATAACAACAAATGTATTATCTATCTCTGTAAAATCGTGTACATTCATTATATGTTGGCGAGGGTGAAACAACACACTACATGCTACGGAAGGTAGATCGGCCGCGTGTAGGATACAGGGGTATGGCTTAGAGGCTTTATCAAACTAACTGCAAACAATGACCGGCCATGTAACGGTTGTATGTATGGGAGAGGCGGGCTGATGATGTATGGCCGTGTTATGATATGATAGGTCATGATATAACAGGCTTTCATAGAGACGTAGCCACAAGTAACACGTCACGTCCAACGAGATAACGCTGTATACCTTATTATATATATTATTAAGTCAATTACTATTATTGTGTTAAATCAACGGACACCATTGTAAGATAACGCTATTAAAGACCAATTATATAAATCACGATAAGGCTAATACATATCCTTATAGTGTGTTCATATGTATAGTCCAGGAGACACGATTATCATTTTAGTATTAGAAGTTTTATAACCAGATGTAAGTGTAAGAGCTCTCCATTGACTCGTATAATTGAATAGCGAGCGAGTTATTCACTCAATAAATAATAAAAGCCTTCTCTCATCGACGGTCCAATTTTATGTCAAATATACACGAGAAAATGCTTCCGTCAACGTTCAGACTTTACAGAAAAAGCGGGGAAACAATAAGGTTTTGTTTGTTATGGAAATTGCGGAGCTGTATTAGCAAAGGAGATTTGAAAAAAATATATGTTGCGAGGCTTTAAGTGTTCCGGACTGATGTCGAACAGACTTTAGATGACTCTACTACAATATGATGGAAAAGACGACAAATATATTGAATTTCATAATATATTATTACATTGGAAGAAAAATAAGAGGCTATTTGTCTTTGGTAACCGCCTCTGTTGCATCATAGTGGGTCGTCCTTCAGAAACAAATGATATTATTAATAAAGTCACCTTGAACCGCGTCTTAAGCAGTAGTTATCCTATTTGAAATATTACATGATTAGGATCGAGCTCCACTAGTAAGGTTTTACATTTATTGTACGGCTTTCGAAACAGACATCAGCTATATCAAAACTAACTATAATTATTGATATAGCTAATTAAACCTTACCCAAAACAATCCCTTCTATATCAAGTTCGCTCTCAATATTTGTCTGTCAATCTGTCTGTTTTCTGAAAGAATTTGTTTAGTTTAAGTATTATAGTCCATGGCAGTAAGTGATCATGTTGATTACAGGTCCAGTCATCGTTGAACCGGAGCCGGAGCTGAAGTCGCGAGGAGTGCGGGACCAACGATATCTGGTGAGATATATACTACATGCTCCATCATTTATATAATGACAACCGAATGAGATGACAAGAATATGAATATCAGCTAATGTTTACGCCTTTTTTAATAATTCGTACGTTTTTCATGGACGGTGGATGCGGAGTTTTTGCGTGAACAGCTATCTATTCATCAGGTCCAGTCAGTCAGAGTATCGGGGTGTTTCTGGTCCAATTGTTTATATATACGTCGAGTTGGTCAATATACTGTATATAATATAATAAAAAAGTCAAATAATACATAATATAAAGTTAGTGAACGTTAATTGAATCAATCGAACAACCGTAAGTCCTTTTATTTAGTGTATGAATATTGGAGGCGTGTTCCGTTTATCAGAAGCAATTTCCGAGCGCAGTTCAATTGGAGGCAATCCTTTAAGTCGATTACAGGTCGGTAGCGGGCCGGTGAGCGTTTTAAACATATCAAACATGCAACGCCTTATATCCTATTACTCTCGCCGCGCCGTTAATAGACGACTGACCCTCGGCCTCCACGGCCGACGCATTTAATATTATATGACGACTTTAGATGTGCATTGTATCTTATAGTGACTTGTAAGATGTGTATATCTGTATGTTCAGGATAATGGCGAGCAGTGTACCGTGATCCGGGAGAACCCTGTCGACATCGACACCACCGTCATCTTCCCCGCCTTTGACTTCCAGGTCAGTGGTACGACACACACACACACACATCAACTCATGTTATTATAGCAGTAGTAACTGACGTCACTATCATTACATCCATTGTACTTCTCTCTGTAAGGGACTGTTTTTATAAACTCCACTGTTCTTGTAAATCAACACAAATCTATTTAATTATTATTCTCGTCGTTATGATCGTAGTATTAACAATAACAAACGGGTCCGGGTCCGCGCTGTGTAAAGTTTAAAGTTCATTTAACATTATTTGTATGTTTACATCACAACTTAGTTGTCTTGTTCTCTGTAAACTCTGGACCGTCACTGTACATTGGACACTACCTTATATATAAATTTATTGAAACTATAACAATCATTATTATTATAAAAAAAATATTAGTGTTGTAAATATGACGTCGATATCTATGTGTGTGAGTGTATGTGTATGTATGTGTGTGTGCATGTTCGTGGGCTCGTAGCTCTCAAACGGATCGAGGGATTTGGCTGCGCTTTTTTATTTTAAATCTAGTTTCACTGGTTTCGATTTTAAGCTGCGTTTGGTTAATATCGCTCCAGCAGTTTAACAATAAACGCTCTCTTCCAAATGGACATGACATATTTATGTCAGATAATTGTTGATTATTCAATTAATCATCTCCTTATTTAATCTTTCCTCTTCATGATATTCATGTATAAGTAGACCTACCATAACCTATCTCTTAATTTTCTCAATCGTTTATCGATGTAGCTGGTGACGGGAGCCGTGTCGAGGAAGCTCGTTTCCATTGACATAAGAATTGAAACATATATATGTATATATGAGATGATGATTGTACTTTATAGACAATGTAGATATGAAGCTGCGTTTATGACATTAACAGCTCCAGGAGACAACGTGACCCACATGTAGGAGGTAACGTGTATTAAATGTACTATGAATACATTTATATACATATAAAACACATCACATACCTTCAATTCAAATATTACGAAATGATTTTCATCCCCGACCATATTAATATGTATATATTAAAACATTCCAATCTACGTTTTGGTCAGTCCATATCGTGATTATTGTTCGATTCAATACATTTCATTCCTCATTCCATTTTATAAGCATGCCATTCAATATTACTCAGTCAGTCGGATTATAGATCACATGCATTTCATGCGACCTCAGATATGAGCCATACGTGGCAACATGGAAACAACATTACAGTCATCATGCGTCCCAATATAATAAATAGTCTCCCTGGAAATTGGACAGTTTAAAAAGCGTTGCAATTTTTTGTAAAAGATGTTGTGCAACTTTTAACAAGTTCTTACTCTCGTTAGAAGAAGTGTTTAATAGTTACAGTGTAGGTATATATGTTACCGATAGGAATCAACAACAAAATCTCCGTACCCACATAATATAGTTCTAATAAATGTATACTCTGTTATACGTTGAATGAAACTAAACTGTACTCCGGCGACATTGTAGCGTGTTTATTTTCTATTACGGTGACCAAACACGGACGTTATATCGAATAAAAATATAAAATAAATTGAGAGTAAAATGTTGTGTGCTTTTCATATATATTTATTATTTTTTGACAATAGTCATTTAAGCTTAATGATATATCCGATGCTGCGACCTCTGCGGTCTACATCAACCCCGTCGTTGTTTCTGCCCCCCCCTCTTTTTCTACCTCCCCTCCTCCCATTCAAGACTCCCGACCCCCTATTTTTCGGCCAATGTTTCATCTCTCACTATCATCTACGTCCATGTCACCATCACGTAAATTACATTCAAACAAACAAATAAGATTAAAATATTAACTCTCAGCGAACTGCAATTCTTAGTTGTTGATAATCAATTTGAATGTTTTTGACTTACCATGTGTCAGACATACATAGGGCATCTCTTGACAAAGTTGTTTCTTTAGTTTAAGTTCACGGGGAGCGTGCCTTATTAATTAACTTACATTTTATGCATATAATGTATGAGTGAGGCTATTTCTATCTGTTGTATAATCAACTGCTGACCAATTAACTAATCCGTGTACATACAGACGTTACATAACGCGTGTATGTTATATATATATGAACACGTTTAACTCAAACATATCCCGATGTTATTACCGACTAATGCAATTTAAGCTTCCCTCTTTGTATTATATATGAGGCATGTACCTACATACATACATATGTATGATGTAGGATTTGTATGAAATGTAAGTCATAGCACTTCTCGTGACACGCTGATGTCTCTCTTATCACATGTAACTGTACAATGATCACTAATGTGAGGTACAACAGGAACATTTTATTCGTACGTAGTATTGTTTCGTTAGGCTTCGTGTTTTCATTATAACGAGCTCTCCTATCAGACTATGCTAGTAGTATTTTTTATTTATGTTTGTATCCGACTCGTGTACAACATGCGATTGCTGTTTTTATTCTCTTTGTGAGACTGCTGTGTTTCATTGCTTCCATATAAACATGCTCATTATAATAACAAAGATTTGATAATCGCGTTTACTACTTGGTAGTAGGAGATCGGCACGTCTATATGTTGTCCTTAGTAATATTATTTCACTAGGCGTCATTTATAATTTCTTTAAAAACTTCCCTCTGTGTCATTACACACATAAACATAACATTAGATCTAATGTTCATGCATAGTAGAACATATGCATTGTTTGATAAATGTCTGTCTGTCTGTCTGTTCGTTCTTATAACATATATATCGGATTTATTACACATTCGTTGTTTTACAAGAGAGGGACGCCAGCCTCTCTGACGTCACATATGTCACTTCTTCTAGAGCGTTGCATGATATTTTAAAATGAAACTGCAATTGTTCTTAATGCTCCTGTATTTCTCAAAGATTCTTCATAATAACATATTTCAATGATACACACTCACTGAACTCTGAATTACGAGTATCAATTCTGAATTCTCAAATCTGGAGTCCGCCGTCGTGCGTCCAGACGTCATATTTATAACAAGATTTAAACATAGTTCTATTCTCCTTTGATTTCGTTTTACTTTTAACAATAATCATAAATACTAATGAGGTTTAATAAGAATTGATGACAGCCTCAAATTATTTTCAAGTCGCATCCGTTATTAAAGCTGGTAGCGCCGATACGGCCATTCTGACAGGCGGTGCGTGCTCTGCACCTGCCTGGTTATGTGTTCTCTCTTGGTTGGCTTTCGTTACGTTCTTGGACCAGTCGCTTGTCTCGTAGAGTCACAGGGACAGGATCAAGAATTGATGCTTCATCTTCCGAAGTCATGCCGATACGGTCATACTGATGTTTGCTCTGTGATAAAAGATTAAAGCTTTTGTAGTCTAGGTACTTCCACAGTCTTCTTCTACCTGGCAATTTTTCCCAGCTATAGCCAGGGTCTGCCTAACATGTTGTGAATGGTTTTGGCTATTTGTTTTTACGACCGGCCGCCTGCCTGACATCAACCCTCTTTTTGGGAATCAACATTAATCAGTGATGTCTTAATATTCTTAGGTACTTCCACAGTAACCCTAGATAACTTTATATTGTTACAATTATGAATTTCAAATTTGTTTTGATCGTATGGGTGACGTTGTTTATTACGACACAACTTTGAGATGGTCATAATATCACGTCCAATTATCTAAGCTACTATGGCTTTGGGGCATCACACGAACATTCATAACATATTTGTCATAGGACGTCTCCGCCCGCCTACAACATTTTTTTTTTATTTATTTGTCGTAAGACGTCTCCACCCGTCTACAACAATTTTATTTTATTAACCATTTTTATTATTTATTATTTTTTTTTTTTGTTATGGTTCGGATCCGCCATCAAAGGCATCTTTTATAGTAATATATCTCAAAGTAAGTGTTTCGAAATCACACTTTTATCTACGAAATATGTAATGCGTTTGAAATGAAGTAAATTGAACAAAATGAAATACGCTCACCGGATAACTATTAGGTAGTCGAACAGTCCACCTTGCTGCTCGTTTACTTATACTCTCTCGTCACTCCAGTGGAACTTCGTTTGGCTGATTACGAACCACATTTCAAAGTGTTCCTCGGTTTTTATTACTTTTTCTGTGATATTTTTTTTTATATTAAATCTCCATTCTGAAATTATTTAAATTTTAGCTCGAAATCTCTAAAATCCAACTTTTTATCTTCTTTCCGCCTTCACCATCCTGTTTTAAATGTGTCGCTTCGATATCCACGGACGGATTGTTAAATTGTAATCTAAACTGTTACAGCCGGATTGAATTCGTATGTTCATAACATCCGCAAGGATACTAAATTTGTCAGATGTACGCTGATGCCTGTAATCACATAAAACTATTTATAGGAATAATAGAGCCCGGCCTCAATCTTCGCAAATAGTTGACTGATTTGTTTTCTATTCTCGGAGATGTTATTTGCCATTGATTTTTGTATAACGCACCCCTGAAATCATGCATTTTATTAAGATTAAATTTACCAGTTGATATTAAATTTAAATTCTGCGTGATATCCTTTTCCCGTCGACAACATGATTCAAACGTTTGACCACGGTTAGCAGAAATGGAACAAAACTTAGCTGTACTCGCAATAGGTGTATTTGATTAGAAATTTGGAGTCAATTATGCTATCATAACATCGTTTTTTAGTGGCACTGCTGTGTGTGTTGACCGACATGTTGTTAATATTACTGTGAAGGGTATGTCTACAGTCGATTCTAAATAAAGCCGTGGCGCTTTATAGTTTTAAATAAATAGTTTCCCAAATAGTTAAATTAATCGCTTAAATAGTTTCCCAAGGCCGCTCTTCGTCATCGCATGGTATTCTCAAGGATACAGCAAGGACCTGTGGTCAGCTCAAGGGTAACACGTGATTAGCTCAGAGGTACGCTCTCCACATCTGTGACGTTTACTTTTCTTATCACGGTTCCACAAGGCATCCCTACGTAATCACATGGTTCTCTTTCGGATACATCAAGGACCCGTGGTTAGCTCAAGGGTAACTCGCGATTAGCTCAGAGGCCACACTCTCCAGATCTATGGTGTAATACTTGTCTCCTCACGGCTCCACAAGGCTTCCCTACAGAATCTCATGGTTCTCTTGAGAATACAACATGGACACGATATTAGGTCAAGGGTAATAACAAATGTTATGTGTGTATGTGTGTTATGTTAGTGCTTCTTATGTAGATGTTTGTAACCAATTGTCTGCACACATTCGAGGTCGCTCCTTTTAAAGATTTCATTTTCATTTGAGAATCATGGTTCTAATTTAGTACGTATTTTCAACCGTAAAGATGTGTAGACACCATTCCCGAACACACACACTACCACCGGGGTCAAACGATGATAAAAATTAAGATGATCTTGGTAGTAATTTTAATCTTATCCCTTGATATGTTTGTAGTAAACGTTTGCACACGCTCTGCATTATTGACATCAATGAATGGCATGAAAAAAAAAATTTTGTTTTAGCGTTCTTCAGTACGCAAGTTCTCTACATGGTTATTTTCTTCATCTGGATCAGGATTTATAAGACCGGCAGTATCTGATCACAAGAGCGATCCCACTTCTGATATCGGATTTATTACACATTCGTTGTTTTACAAGAGAGGGACGCCAGCCTCTCTGACGTCACATATGTCACTTCTTCTAGAGCGTTGCATGATATTTTAAAATGAAACTGCAATTGTTCTTAATGCTCCTGTATTTCTCAAAGATTCTTCATAATAACATATTTCAATGATACACACTCACTGAACTCTGAATTACGAGTATCAATTCTGAATTCTCAAATCTGGAGTCCGCCGTCGTGCGTCCAGACGTCATATTTATAACAAGATTTAAACATAGTTCTATTCTCCTTTGATTTCGTTTTACTTTTAACAATAATCATAAATACTAATGAGGTTTAATAAGAATTGATGACAGCCTCAAATTATTTTCAAGTCGCATCCGTTATTAAAGCTGGTAGCGCCGATATATACATTTCTGATTAATATACATTCGTGTATATAACACGCGTATTATTTGACGTGACGTTCATTAAACAAAGGACTTGGTAAAAGGCTTACACTGGCAGTTGATTTTACAAAATATTCTGTATTTCGAGAGCTAGTGTCAATTAAAATGGCTGAGTGTATAAAATCCCGTACGGAGGCGCGTTCGAGCCTGTTGACAGTTACTTGTTACTTTGACACTGCAAGTTTTGGGTGTGACGGTCCACAGAGAGAGGTGGCCGGTGAGCAGTGGACAATCACGACCGGGCCCGTCATGCATACATTAAAGTTTATGGGTAGGGTTCTGTGGCGAGGGCGGCGAGGGCGGCCAGGCGTCATTTGACGACCAGTGAAGCGAGTTTTTTGAATAGACAGTGACTGGAGACAACCCCATGTCGCTACTATTATTATTATTACTAAACGACGAGCAAGTGGATACTGAACAGACAGAGATGATCGCTCCGTACGAGACACAATACGTCACCTTCATTATAGTTAAACTATACTATTTAGACGTACATAAAAACAATTCAAGTACAATTTCAATAATCAACATTTCGATAGATGAAATATTTTAAAATGCTACGGTTCAGTATGTATGAATGAACATTGTTAACAGAACAAACAGATGATTAAAAACTATTCCTTTAATAAAACTATACCGACGTCTGCCGGGCGGCAGGCGGCAGGCGGCAGGCGGCAGGCGGCCGGCGGGAGCGAGCCTCTACAGATGAACATTACTATTATTTACATTACATGAACGTTGTACTAGAGACGACTCGTTACAATTAATTAACGATAGTTGTTTAATGTACCATTTATAAACAGAGACTGGTCCGTCGACCGTCTACTATTGAAGATCTAGTTATAATGATACAAAGTTTTCAATATTTACAACCGGCCTTTTATTTACCAGCCACGTATTGGGCGCGATGTTTACGTTACAGGTGAGAGGTTGTGTGTACTCGTTTTTTGTTTGTTTGTACTAACGAATGTTCGTATTTATCTACGAAACGTTTCGATTCCGATAAGCGTTTCTTTTTATTTCAATGTTCGACCACTCGCCACGTTCTATATCTTTAGAGACGATTCGTGAAGCCATTTCGTGGTCATCGGCTCTTCCCTCTTCGTGTTTGATATTTCAACCTAAAAATTCGATTAACTTTTTCACGGTTATAGTTTAGAATTCCCGTGTTATTTTTTAGTTCGAGATACTTCATACTGGTATGTTTGTACATACATATGAAGCCATCCCTTACAAATGTAACGTATAGTATTCCGTGATATTTGTTATCAGCGTTTTATTTTAATTACTGTCAATCGGTAATCTCTAATCCTGGCGAAGTGATAGAAACAAAATATAATATATATGATACACAAAGGAGCGTAACTTAATTGACGATGAACATATAGGAATCTTTTAAACCCTCTCACTGACAGACAGCCGCCCCGCGCCCTGTAACATGTTAGAAGCGGGCACCTAAGCAGCGGGAAGATTACTCACGACACACGACCGATGCGTCCACAACATACATAATATATAACTTACTGATATATATATTTCTCAATACTTATCAAACTTTTACTAAGATATTTAACGTCATTATTTTTGCCGGAAAGATCGTCGTTGTAATGACTTTTCATGACAAATATTTATCCTCGTTTCACCCAATTTCATATTATTCTATTTATTTAGACTATGTTATATTTGGATCGTTTGATAATGCACGAACAGTAAATTACTCTCCGATATATTTGCTGATCATTACAACCATGATGAACATATGTATGTATATGTTTGTATCGATATATTCAGTTTGATGATGTATTCTATGTATGTAGATCTAATATGTTGTCTCTTGTATGGCTAGTTGATTAAATGGTCGTTGTTCCCTAAAAGTTATTTAGTAACATGGTCTCTTGTACCGGCGCGGCGTAGTTCCCACTGTGTTGTCTCTACACTCAACTGGTAGTCTACGTAGTATGTACCATTCCCTGCCTTTGCTTTGTACAGCGGTGCACTCTGTTCACTTCAACAATTCAACTTTGCTCCATTTGAGAATTAAAGACGGCGGACACTGAAATAAGCTGCGGCATTCGGATTTTCTCTCTGGAACTATCTTTTCATTTTATCGTAGAGATCAAACGTTGTTGGTGTCTGCGGATGTATTATTGTGTTACATTTCTTCGCTTAAAACTTTATAACAATAGAGAGATGAACAAGACAAGTAGCGGAACATAACTAGTCTGTCGGATTAAAGGAAATTACAAAAGCCGTCTTTGACGTTTTAATAAAGTAACCGTGTTATTAATTCCAGCCGAGTTGGTTGCGAAGTAAGGAGTTCTGGGACAAGTCCTTTGAAGATCGCTACGAGAAAATGAAGAACGACTCCCGCCGTCCGAGACTCAAGGTGACTTTTACTACATAATTATTATTAATATAGTCTTATTTACTTACTACTGCTCTACTTATAACGTCACTGAATTATATGAGTTAGAGCGTGCGAAACAGAACTCAACTATGACTCTGAAAAGGTAAACGACTTTATTAAAGATGCCGGCTGATCTCAACGAGTCTTTATATTTGATCTATCTTTGTAACTGTTTCAATCCTGCACTGCGATTTAACATTACAATATAAGCTCGCAAATTAAGCTTTTAATAACGGTTCATAGATTTATTTAATTGCTGTATATGTTAATAATTTGAACAATAATCATATTCACGTGAACTTCTATAAGCCCAGGGGGTAGTTAATCTCCATGTGTCAGTTTTATCAGCGAGGCGATTGTATTGTAAATTATGAAAATGAATGCTTAATGAATGTTCGGGTGTTCGGGTGCCGTCACATGTGACGGGGACGAACCAAATAAAACGTTACTAATATAATATAACAGTATAGAGTAACATACTGGTAGAGGAGAGAAGTCTTAGCTGTTTGTGTTTGTGTTGTCTCGTTTGTTTTAAACACGAACTGGTTAGACACATGCTGTAGTGTCCTCGCATCAACTTTCCTTATGCCCACCCAATAACCTACCTTCTCCAAAACTAAGGTTGGCAACGCAACCACAACATCTCTTATGTTGCACATGTCCATGGGCGAAAGTGATTACTGCCCATCAAGTAGGCCATTTGCTCATTTGCCACATTTCTCATTAAAAGAACATTCTTCAATATTTTATCAGTATTAATTTGTACCATTTCTGTCGACTGCATCTTTGTAGGATCAGGTCAAGTCAAAGAGCAAGTCTAAAACATCCCGTGCTTATTCTTAAACTATAATCGTTCCACTGGAAGGCAGAGTTCTAGTTCTATGTTCCGTATTCTATTTTAGTTGTGTCCAACTCACGACACAAGACAAACTAATAATAATGTCGAACTTCTCTCTGACAGACAGAGAAGGCTCAGACGCTACACACACCACAAACTGTTTGTTTTGAATTTCCAAACACACTGGCGAGCTACACACGAACGTATCACTAGCGCCATCTGACGAACGAGTTCAACAACTATCAATAACTTGTATAAATAAGTTTCAGTTGAAGTTGTAATTAATTGTTGTTACGTGACAACAACAGACAAACAACTACGTCAGTCATAGTCTTTTAGTCATTGCGAATTGAACTTCTATTACATGGTAATAGATTTCAAATTAGTTTGAGGCTCGTGTGTCGTAGTACGTATAATGTACATACATTATTTATGATGTATATATATATATAATGTTGTGTGTGTCAGGTGATCGTGGTGCCCCACTCCCACAACGACCCCGGCTGGCTGAAGACCTTCGAGCAGTACTTCGAGTGGAAGACGAAGAACATCATCAACAACATGGTGACCAAGCTGCACCAGCTGCCCAACATGACCTTCATCTGGAGCGAGATATCCTTCCTTAACGAGTGGTGGGAGCGCGCGCACCCCGTCAAACAGAAGGTACACGCTGCACGCACGGTCGGTCGGGGCGTCGATAGGACGACTCGTAGTAGAGAGTGGTGGTGACTGACTGGTGACCCGGTGGAGGGCCTAGTGGTGGTAGTGATAGTATTAAGAACTGTGCCAATCATGAACTGTGATGCTGTGATCTCATTATTATTTTTATTATTTAGCTTAAGCAATTGGTTTTTATAAAATGCAGTAAATATATTTTGAAGTATTAAACTCGTTTTATTAGATAACTCTGAGTATGTTTGAGTCCAGTGTTGTATTAGTCCAAGTTATTCTGAGTGCACGTCTCATCACATAAGTGAGTAGAGCGGCCTCTAACTACAGTCGCCGTGCACTTCGTAATGCGCTCCTGATGCAACTATACTGCAAGCGAACACTCAACTAAATAGTTAAAGCGATCTCGAACAGATGGCATTGGTACATTCGTTACAGCATTACAGCATCTCTATACAGCTTGATATCGATAATAGCATGTAATATGAGCGTTTTAATTGCCACATACATTCCTCGAAGATACGCTATGCGAACATATCTGCTTGTATTAAACATATATCATGTTTCATTCAACGTGTAGACATCCATCACGTCGAACATTCAATGACCGACTGACACATGTCCGATAGGGATTACAATCATAAAAATATATATAAAATTTCCGTAACTGACGTTGATGAGTTTGATAAATAACTTAAAGATATTTGTAAGACAAATATTGTATCATACATCATACAATAATATTGTATATTTATTATTGACGCCATAAATGTTTCTTCAATGTAAATAATATATATATTTTTGTAATTTTTTATATTTATAATAAATATTTCGGTATTTGTTTTTAATCATTACATATTGTGTATAATCTGTGGACGTGACATACAGTGTAGACCGGGGCTTAGATTGTGTCTACGGTCGAGTGATATGTCGAATAATATCAATAATAATATTGTTTGACAATGACCGAATAATATATCGCTTTTATTACTTATCGGTTAACAATAAAGATGAAGTTATCTGATGAGAGGTGTATGTGGCAATTAGACGATATGTTATGTTACATTATTATTATGAAGATTATTTTCAGATTTACTTAACCTTTCTTAACATTGGTTTCAGGCGCTGAAGAAGTTAGTGAAGGAAGGTCGTCTGGAGATAACGACCGGCGGCTGGGTGATGCCGGACGAGGCCTGCACACATATATACGCGCTCGTGGATCAGTTCATTGAAGGTGATACATTGTGTACATACTGACGGACGGTGTATAATGTAGGAACACGCGACGTTATATAATGTACTGTTTGTAATGTACAGGACACCAGTGGGTGAAGACGAACCTGGGGACGGTGCCGCGGATAGGATGGTCCATCGACCCCTTCGGTCACGGACCCACCGTGCCTCACCTGCTGGAGCTGAGCGGGCTGGAGGGAGCCATCATACAACGGATACACTACGCGTGGAAACAGTGGCTGGCGAGGAAACAGATCGAGGAGTTCCACTGGGCACCGGGCTGGAGCTCGAGGAAACCCTCGCTGATAGTACACAACCAACCGTTCGACATCTACTCCATCAAGAGCACGTGCGGGCCGCACCCCGCCGTCTGTCTCGGGTACGACTTCCGGAAGATCCCCGGCGAGTACTCGGAGTACACGGCCAAGTACGAGGAGATCACCGACCAGAACGTGCAGAGTCGAGCGAGGACTCTGTTGGAGGAGTACGAGCGGGTCGGCTCACTGACGCCGCACAACGTGGCGCTCGTGCCGCTGGGGGACGACTTCAGGTACGAGCACGCCTCCGAGTTCGACGCGCAGTACAACAACTACATGAAGATGTTCAACTACATCAACGAGCGGAGGGACGTGTTCAACGCTGACATCTCCTTCGGAACACCCCTCGACTACTTCAACGCCATGAAGGAGAGGCACGACAACATCCCCGTGCTCAAAGGAGACTTCTTCGTCTACTCCGATATATTCAGCGAAGGCAAGCCCGCCTACTGGTCCGGCTACTTCACGACGCGGCCCTACATCAAAATATTGGCGCGACAGTTCGAGCATCACTTACGGACGGCGGAGATTCTGTTCACTCTCGTCTCGAACTACGTGTCGCAATCCAAAAACAAGAAACTGATCGCCTCCGAGAAGCGGTTGGAGAAGCATTACGAGCAGCTGGTGACCGCGCGCAGGAACCTCGGCCTGTTCCAACACCACGACGCTATCACCGGCACCTCCAAGTCCACGGTGATGACGGACTACGGGACCAAGCTGCTCACCAGCCTCTACCACTGTATACGGCTACAGGAGACCGCACTCACCACACTCATGGTGGCCGACGAGACCCTTCACTCACAGAGCGTGCTGCAGAGTCAGATGGAGTGGGAGTCGTACGGCAAGCAGCCGCGGCAGTTACAAGTGTCGCACGTGGATAAGAATCAAGTGATTCTGTTCAACCCGCTGACTGAAGAGAGAACCGACGTCATCTCGCTCAGGTCCAACACCACCAACGTCCGAGTGTACGACACGCGCAGGAAGGAATACGTGCAGTATCAGATCATGCCGAACATAGAGATCCGTGAGAACAAAAAGTTCGTCATCAGCGACATGAACTTTGACATCCTGTTCGTGGCGACGCTCCCGCCGCTGACGGCCGTCACGTTCCGGCTGGAGGACCACAGCAACATCTCCCAGCACGCGGTGGTGTTCTGTAACAGCTGCGACCACCGCGCCACCTCGCAGCGACCCTCCAACTTCGCCTACAAGAAGATGATGCCCGGAGACATACAGCTCGAGAACTCCGTACTGAAGCTGCTCATCGACCGGAACACCGGCCTCCTCAGACAACTGTACAGGAAAGACATACGCAAGAGAAACGTGGTCGAGATACAGTTCGGGGCCTATCAGAGTGCTCAGCGACATTCAGGAGCCTACCTGTTCATGCCCGACTATGATTCTCCTGAGAAGAATGTTTTGAACTCTTACACGAACGGCGACAGCCTGCAGGACGACAACATAGTTATCATCTCGGGGCCGGTGTCCACTGAAATAACAACTTTTTACTTGCCCTTCCTAGTTCACACTCTGAAGATTTACAACGTAGACGACCCCGCCCTGCTGCGAGCTGTACAGATCGAGAACATCGTGGATTTCGAAAACCCGCCCAAGAACAGGGAGACGGAGCTGTTCATGAGGTTCCAGACCAACATACAGAACGGAGAAGTACCGGAATTCTACACGGACCAGAACGGGTTCCAGTACCAGAAGAGGGTCAAGGTGGACAAGTTGGGCATCGAGGGGAACTACTACCCCATCACGACTATGGCCTGGCTGCAGGACGAGGAGAGTCGACTGACGGTGGTGACGGACCACGCGCAGGGAGCCTCCGGATACGAGCCCGGCCGGCTGGAGCTGATGATGGACCGGCGGACCTTGTACGACGACCACCGGGGGATAGGGGAGGGGGTCGTGGATAACAAGCGCACCGTGTTCAGGAACTGGCTGCTGGTGGAGCCCACCGCCGCTAACAGAGAGACGAGCGACCGGACCAACACCCCGCGCCACAAGAGAGACGCTCACGTGTCCGGCGTGCTCAGCGAGAGACACTTCCGGCCGGGGCAGGCGGCCAACGAGTACGAGCTGCCGTCACAGGCCGCCGGGAGACTCAGCAGACACCTCAACTACCCCGTCAACGTGTACCTGGTGGACTCGAGCGAGCTGGAGGCCGGGGACGTGGTGACCCGACACGAGCACGTGTTCGTGCAGGACTTCCCTCCGGACGTCCACCTCCTCACCCTGCGCACCGTGTCCGACCCCGCCCTCGACACCCTGCCGACCGACTCCGCCCTCCTGGTGCTGCACCGCCCCGCCCACAGCTGCTCGGTGGGTGAGCGCTCCCCCCACCCCTCCCCCTCCCCGCCGACCAGCGGCCGCTTCACCCGCGCCACCCGCTTCCCCCCCCTGCGCGTGTCCAACGTGACGTCGGTGAGCCTGACGGGTGTGGTGGAGCACCGCGTTCTCACCGGCCTTCAGGACCTGCACCTCGACCCGCTCGACATCAAGACATATAAGATACGCTTCTAAAGACTGGTAGTATTAACGTGACACACTCGCTCTGGGACGGGCGAGCTCCGCGTTCTTTAGTCGAATTTAATATTTAATATGAGACCCTTCGCGCTTGTTCATACTTCATAGTATTTTGTTTGTCGGGAGGCGACCCGCGACGGTACCTTGTTATGATGGAGGTGTCACAGCGAACTACCTCAGGACCAAAACATATTTTTATTTCCTACAGTTTACTACAGATGTTTGTTATATTCAATTTTAATGGTATATTTTATAGAGTTGTCTTTGCTGTGCTATTTATTATACATATACATATATTATAATGGCCTCGTTGTCGAACGTTGATCTTGTATCTGTTGTAGCACACCTCACGGGATCTCAGTTAGTCTGTATGTCGTCATAATAATGTTATGTCACGTATGTTCACTGTACACGAGTCAGCCTTGCCGCTGTACATTTAGTTATTATTATTATTTATGTTATAGTGAGGGAGGTCGCGTGATGCGTCTCCTTGTTAACCAAATGTTGTATATGTTGTCGTGTTTAGTTGTTACCGGCGGGACTCTGTCCGCACGAGGTTGTGGTAGTCGTTAATAGTTTCGTTTAAGTAGTGTTAACCTCTCTCCAGCCACTGTTAGTGTCATGTATCAATTATTATAACTGTGTGTGTCCTTCATAGTATAGTGAGTGTATTATAACGTGAGCTCCTCTCCGCCTCTCTGTTATTGCGGTGTCGTCGGTGAGGTTGCTCTAGACTCTACTGTCTAATGTCTATTTAGTCGTATAACGTACGGTACGTGTCTCACGCGCCGGCTGTGAGCCGCGCCACTCACGGTCACGGATCATTTATATACATATACAGTAGGACCCCGATTATCCGGACCTCGGTTATCCGAATTCGCGATTATCCGGACTGCCAATCGCGACGAAATTATTCTAACACTAGCTTTTGCCGCGACTTCGTCCGCGTGGAATAGTGACTTCCGGCAGATTTTTGGTTCTTCCCACATAGTTCCCGTTCTTGCGGGGTTTTCGGAATGGTCGAGTTCCCGTAAAATTTTCAGGATAAAACCTATGTTTTTTTTGTATTCACAATGAAGTACTCTTAACCAACAACATATGTATTTGTTTATTTGAATAAAGATTAATATTATTATGTTGATACAACTTAAACAAATTATTTCGACCAAATTAGGTACCATAAATACGGTTTTTGTGAGTTAATCTTAAAAGATAGACATATACTGTCGCGGACTGTTTTTTAGATCATTAAAAGAGCTATTATTCTTTAATACATATTTTTTGTGTATCTTGAACCGTTTTCACGGCGCACGTAACGGAAGGCTTCAAAGATGAAATTTTTCAAGTTTTTACACATTTACCACTATATCTATTCTCCTAATGGTCGTAGCGTAATGTTATATAGCCCACAGCCTTCCTTGATAACTGGACTATCTAACACAAAAAGAATTATTCAATTCGAACCAGTAGTTTTGGAGATTAGAGCTTTCAAACCAACAAACAAACAAACTCTTCAGGTTTATAATATTACATAGTATAGATTAACATGTCAGAACTTGCATAATACCAAATACTTACATACATAATTATTGTAAGCAAATTATACGTACATTATGTACAATTTCTTAATAAACGTTGATTTTCGCTCATATGTATTTGTTGTTTTAAATAAACACCTAACATTACGTATGTATGGTACAGACTACATGTGTACATATGCAAAAAGCCCGTTTTTCTTCATATATTGGATTATCCGGACTTTCAATTATCCGGATGCCTACCGACAACAATTAGTCCGGATAATCGAGGTCCTACTGTATATATATTAATTATATATATTTAACATTTTGACGATTTAAACTTTATATATTTGTTTGAAGATTTACCATGTAATGTTAAGTGTCTTTATTGATACATACAATGACGCTTTATTTATTTGTATATAATTTCAAGTGTAAATATATTTCGTTAGCTGTAAGTTTGTTATTTTAAGTCGTTTACAGATCGTGCGGGAACGTTTTTATTATATTATAAGTGTGAGTCACACACTAGTAGGTAGTTGTCTTTATAATGTACATGTAACACCTTCCTCCACTCCTCAAACTGTATTCAACAATCTCAGTGTTAGATGTAAGATGTAATCTCATACAATAGTCGGGCCTCTCTATATATAAAGGTTCCGTTATATCTGTTCGATGTCTTAGCGACCTGTCTGTTATCACTCGGTCTCTCCGTATGTATGTAACATGTACTTCTTGTAACATGTCGTCTTGTTATTGTTTATGTAACGACCTTCTATTATTATTTTTATTATCAATATCAAATGTGACATCTGATTGTTCCAATTTTAGTCGAAATAAAATAATGAAATACAAATTAAAAGTTTTATTACAATACTTTCGTCAAAATAGATTCAATTTTATAAAACAGGTAACCGTAAGTCGTATCTTATGGTTGTATAGTTAGTATATTATTATTACAAGCTGTATCTGTGTCGTGTCGTCCCCGTCTCGTGCTCGTCACAATCATTTCTTCTTTATCCTGCTCGCTATCCACTCCAGGCCGAGGTGTAACCTGTAATGTTGTAAACAATGTTACATTTATGTATCTGTTACGTCACATACAAGGTCCTCACGGCGGTTTCCGGGTGTCGATATCGTTTGAGTGCGACCTGTACGACCTAACATTCAGATAATAACTCTACTAACGTCATATACAAACTCAATGATGATAGTTATAGTAATATATATATATATATAAGGTGTGTGTATGTGTGTGTGTGTTCGTTACCCCTCGCCGGTGAGAGCGCAGCAGGCCTGAATGTGCCAGGGATGCTGCTTGATACAGGTGAGGTCCAGCTGCTGGGAGATCTCCGCCGCGGTCATTGACCCTTTCACATCCTGACACAAAGAGACGAACAATACTTAAAACAATGTTTACTTCACACGATCCTCAAATATCATGTAGAAGGGACTTGTGTTCTATGTTATTTAGTAGAATCTTTTTATTGAGCCCTTTATAACATCATCATAATCAATGAAGGCACCGAGAAAATTACAAACTGTAGATGAATTAGAAATTAATGAATTAGTTATTAGAAAATCAATAATATGACTATGACAAAAATCAGTTATAAAAACTTGATTTAAACTTGATAAAAAAACTTCATTAATTATTAACAAAATAACACTATTAGGTATATGTTAGACTTTTCTATAATAATTTATGTAAAACTGGTTCTACTTTTACTTAAAACACAGTATGAATGTTTATTGTATGTTTTAATAGTTTAGATCACTTTTATTAATGAAAATACACATACATTTAACAAATATTTCAATAAATTTAGACTACAATTACTAATTTTGATTTAAAAATCCATTGAGCTTGCTTTAAGCATAATAAAGTTGGAAATTCATAACACATTTAAATTTTCTTGTATTTAATATTGTTATTAAGAAACATTTGTTAAAACAGTTGGAAGCCAAACAATTACGGAAATATAAAAATCAAGGCCAATTATATAAATCATGATAACAAAAACACTGGAAACTGTTCTTTATTATAAAACTGATAGGAGACAATTTGCTTTGTCCAATATTAACTATAATATTGTATAGTATATCTATAACAAACATTACCTGTTTATTAGCAAACACTAGTAGGCATGCCTTGCTGAGTTCTTCATGAGCCAACATCCGGTGAAGCTCCTCACGACTGATGCCCAGTCTCTGACGATCGGTCGAGTCAACCACCATTATAATGAACTGAAATATATTATACACATTTTGAACATATACAGCATAATAACACTATGTTATAAAACTTATTGTAGAGGCATTTGAGCAGTTACATACATACAAACATTGGTTACATTGAAAAAACTTCTAAAGCAAGAAGATCTAAATAATAATTACTGCTTATACTAAAAACATGTAAAAATAATAATTGTTCAAAGATATATTTGTAATAAAGACAAATTCTTGTAAGCCAAAAGCAATAAGTTACTTCAATAACTGATAATAACACATTTGTACTTATAAATAAAGAACAGAAAAATTTGAAATTGCCATTTGCCAAAAATATGTGATATATTAGGAGGTGGCATAAAAACTATTACAAAACATCAGCTATGATAATTAGGTGTATTTAGTTGAACAGCTTGCAGAATACAAATACAAGATTAGCCGTGCTACATAAATATGGAATTAAAATAAAGCATATATTGTCAAAGCTTGGTATTGGTATTTCGCTTGGCTTTTGGCAGAGCCGCAATGCAGGAATACTTAATAAAATCTTTAAGAAACCAGTTGTAATCTGTATCAAATACTTAGCAAGCCTTCTTATAATGAACCCATATAATGACTAGTACTCACTTCACTGTTAGTGTAGTAAGTGTTCCATGCCGATCTGAGGCTCTGCTGTCCACCGAGGTCCCACATAACAAAGCGAAGGTTCCTCCATACTACTTCCTCTACATTAGAACCAATGGTGGGACGAGTATGAACCGCCTCCCCCAACAACAGCTGGTACAAGATTGTTGTTTTACCGGCATTGTCCAAACCCACTAGTACCAACTTGTGTTCTGGAAAAACAACAGCAGTTTGATTAGTGAATGTATTAATATTCCACTGAATGGACCTTCCTTGATCAAAGTAGAAAATAAAATAAATAAATAGTATATTTTGATGATTTGTTTTTATAATGAAATATTATACGCCTTTACATTATATAATATTTAAATAAATTCATTTCTCTTGTCAGTCTCTACAAGGACACGATGATCCCGCTTTATCTTATCTAATTATATTATCTTAATTTGTGAACTAACACACTCGAATCTTACCTTCGTTCCCGAACAAGCTCCAAATTTTCGATATAAGTAGGCCCATTTTAGTTAAATGTTAAGTTTAGAACAAAAATTAAAGATAGTTACTTAATTTAGTACCGAAATACTGACATCGTCAATATGTTTATCAATAATTTTAAGTTAGTCCCGCATTAAAACTTAATTTCTAAGGCAACTAAACGACACTAGTACAATCACTTGTTTGTACAGAACAAGAGTTAAGTAAAGTAAGAATGATTAAAGAAAACAATTTTTATTTAAAAAATACGTAACGCGTCAATTCATTTTTACTAGAACAAGGGCTATATTATGACATACACCTGTTGAAAAGTGGGTCAACAAATTCCCCACGTATTAAATGTATACCATACCCTCACATAATCAATTAACAAAAAAAAAATAACACAGCAAAATATATATTTTAATACGTTATCTTTACTTTTAACTTAATATGTACTCAAAACTATTTTTTACCACTAAAATGACAAAGACGTAAATGACAAAAACGAAGGCACAAGACAGTTTCACATATGTAGGAATGTCGATTATGAAGCATAAAGCTTAGTGTACATTTTTAACAATTAAAATATGCTTTTGTAACTATAGCTGTTATACAAAGCATAGAAATTAATAAAACTTATTTTTGATAGCATACATGCTTTTACGTTACCTAAACTTTCATAAAAGTAAGAAATTATGTGATCAGTTTATTTGTTGGTTTGCAAGAATTATTTAATCAACTAATTTTTTATAAATATTTTTAATTAATTATAAATATTTTTATTTCTGTATTTTATTCCTTTTATTATGATTCCCACAAAAAATAAATTAATTTCATATTATGAAGGTTGTAATAAATAAAGATGTTATTTGTTATAATTTTTAATAAACTAATAAAAATGCATTTGTTAATCTTAATATTAGGATAAGTATAATAACAATAGTTATTTGGCAATTAAACCAGAGCTAGTTAGAAGTGTATTCTAAAAGTTGAAATTTCCATAGGTGGAAAGTTGGCTTTATTTAAAGCACTTGCAGGTACTCCCTCCGTCGTACCCACTAAGTTGGTCTGGTAAATAACTTTGGCATTACGTAAAATCTTCTGCAAAATAAACGAATTATCCCCGCTGCAATCAATAAAACTATTGTGTTCTATTAGACAAGAGAAACTTTGTTTGTGAAGTGTCAGTAATGCAATATTGGGTATATAATTTTCGGGAGTTCCTCTGTTTAGAATTGCTCTATAATTAAGGACAGTAACGTCACAAGGAAAAGATGTCTTAACCAGTGGCAAGAAAGCGAATTGACAAGAATGAGTTTTGTTGTTATCTATAAAGTATATATCTATCAAAAAATTCAAAATATTGGCTAAATATATCGCTGAAAAGCTGGGTAACATAAGGGACATCTTCAATTCTTCTTTTTGGTAGCTGCTATAAGGTGTAGTAAAGGTCTCCAGCAGAATATAATGTGTCTGCCAGGCGGCGGTGTTGTCTGCGAGGCCTTCATGTGACCCTCGTCCGTCGTCGAAGAGTATTCTTCGGTCCATCATAATGATCAGTTGACCTTCTTGAAAAGCTGTCACCCCTTGTGCGTGATCCGTTATAACAGTTAAGCGGTTTTTGTTATCTTGTATAAAGGCCATACTCGTCATAGGGTATATGTTAGATTCCACCCTTCTGCTCATGTTGATAGTTCGTGGGGTGTATTGAAAACCATTATTATCAATAATGATCTCCGGCGGGTTGCCGTTGTTTATATCTGTCTGTATCGACATGAACACCTCCAGTTCTCGATGTTTCGGCGACAGGTCGTAATCGATTTTCGTTTCTACTCTTATAGCACTGGACAAAGGACTATGCACTAAATTATAAATCGTTACAGTATGGTGTATAAATTTTCCATAAAATATTATAAATTCGGTGGTAATTAATCCGGATATGATCATCACAACTTTTGAACCGTTACTTTGTTTATAAGGAGATAATATATCCTCTAGTGGTTTTGAAACATTTGTATTAAATAAAAACATACCAGAGTTTATATGTGAACTTCTGAAAGCACCGAACTCGATCGAAATTGGTTTTTCAATATTAGTAGACTTATCAGTAACCGTTTTGAGGAAACCGGTGTGTTCATCAAAAATAAGACGATACTTATAGTTCTCGAGCTGCACGTCTCCCGTCTCGACCGGATGTAAGGTGAATGGAGACAGGGGAGTGAGGTCGTCCTCCTCGGACACACAGGCCGTACAATATATAGTAGAGAGACTGTGTGTCGTGTCAAAGGTGTCTTTTATCTTAAAAAGTTGAAATGAAAATGGAGGAATGACAGCTACAAATATGATTTGGAAAAAATGCTTGGATATTTTCACGACACCTTGAAAGCCATACTTAAAGGTTGGTTTTATTTGAAGGCTAACGTCTTTCTTATTGTGATCCAAAATTCTTATACCGGAGTACCTACTCACCAGTTCTACTATTTCAGTTCTTTCATGACTAAGAGAATTAAATATATAGATTTGATCCCCTGACATAACGGACTTAAAAGAAGATATAAATTCTCCCTCTCTATAGACGTATTTTTCCAGATATGTTGTGTTTTGGTCAGGTTTTGAGTTGAGTAAGCTCGCCGCTACCTCCTGTATGTACCAGCAGTCTTGTGCTGTCTTAACTATCTCTCTATGGGCGTATCGCAGCGCCACTGCCTTCAAAGTGCCGCCGACGACGTTCCTATCCTGGAGGCGGGCTACAGTTTCGCGAGCATTCACCAATCGGCTGAACAATGTAGACACTTCATTTTTTTTCAACACGTTATAGCTCATTGCGAATGCAAATAGAATCTCTGAGCTGCGCAATGTTGCCTGAAGACGTCTCAGCAAAATCTTAAATTGAGGTCTAGTGGTAAAGAAGCCCGTCCAATAAGCCGGGCTGCCGTCACTGATATCAGCGAAATTCAGAAAGTCACCTTTTAACGTGGGATAAGATGTTGGACTGGTAAACAAACTTTCAAAGTAATTTTTCGGAGTTCCAAATTCAATAGTAGCTTTATAAATATCTTGATTCGTATTCACAAATTCCGAAATTTTCTGGTAATTATTATACTGTAAGTCAAATTCGGATTGCAATTCATAACTGAACGAGCTGCCTATTGGCGCCAGCACCACGTTGTGAGATGACGTCGTTCCAGTTTTAGAATACTGTTCAAGTATTTTCTCAGACCTTTCTTTAACATTGAAAGAATTGATATCCAGATGGTTGTCGGAATTTACAAAATTAAATTCCTCGCTGCAAATATCACCCTGAGGACAAGAAGCTCTGAATCCAGCAGAATTAAATGGTAGATAGTGTGTTAAAACAGAATGTTTTTGGAACCGGTCGTTGCCTATTCTTTTAAGGGCTTCGTTAAGCGTTGTCTGAGTCGTTTTATCGGTATCCCAGTTTTGAATCCACATAAAGTTGGTTTCTTGATACTCTGTTAAATATTGCTGCCAAGCGAAATGAAGATTTGTTAGAACCAAACTAGTTATTCCGGACGCTGACAGAAGATAGGGTAGAGTGGGGCTGTGGGTTACGCTATTCGTAAGCCACGCCACGTCAGGCGAATAATTTAAGTTATACTGCAACCATTGGTGCCCTACAATTACAAGAAAGTTTTGTTTTAGTGAGTAAATTTTATTACGACTACAATGATTACGATCATTTCACAACAGTTTCTTGTACCTTCCATCAATTGGTGAACAATTCCAAATAAATGTGAGGTTGCCTCGTCTGTTTCTACCCAGGCGCCTGTTGTTATTTCTAATCTTCCTTCCTTTACCAGTTTACGAAGTGCCTGTAACGAGACGGTTCATGAAGTTTGTAATTTAATAACAGCCTTTAAAAATATTTAAACTTTAAAGTAATATTACAAACTTACGTTGCGACTTTTTTGACGAGCACTTTTCCACCATTGACTAAGGTGTGACACTTCGTTCCAACTAAATGTTAAATTTGGATAAAACTGTAATTTTTTTATCATATTTGATATAATAAATCGAACGGAATTTTTATGTAATTTTTCAAATGGTTTCTTCCAAATTGAATGAACGTCCGACCGTGGAACCAGTATCACCTAGAAAAGATTTGTCTTTAAGGTATGTAATACAAAGTTCATTTCACAACATGTTATAAAGAATAAATTTTACTTTTAATGGAGGCCAATTCGGATTTCTCATCAGAGATTCGTAGCGGCTTTCATAAATATGGTTCCAAAAGTTCTTCGTTTTCATCCATGTTGGCTGTAACATATTGACATGAAAGAATTATATTGCCTTTCTCTTACAATAAATTCATTATAAAGTTTAATATCGACCTCTATGTTAAATTCAGTAAATTTTTCTTGAGCATCGATGTCAGCTTTGGCCTCATAGTTATGTGTACAAATGAAGGGTGCTGTCGATATATTATAATTGTGGGATAACACCAGCGTCTCGATGGGACGTTCCTCTATTAAAAAGTCTGCCTTTTCTTCTTGCGGGTCGAAATCTACTATAGTATATTTTTGTTTCGGGACTTCGAAATCATTAGCGGTTTTATTAGTGCTAGAGTTGTAGATACTTTTGATAAGCAGACTGGTATCTTCGGTAACATCCGTATTCAACGAAGTTACTAGAGGAAAGACGCTCACACTAACTTCTGGTGCAGTAGTCTGTGAAGGGTTGTCTTGAACGAGAGGGAAAAAGTTAGAGGTTGGAACCGATCCAATGTGGTTCTCATAAGTATCTACTGGATTGCTTTTGTTATAATTGAAATGTTCAAGGCTGTTTAAATCAGGGAATATCAAATGGTCGTCTTTATTTCGAGGAGGGTTAGTGGTGTTATTAAAGGTATTTCTTGTGAGTCTCAGTTCGAACGGATGTATTCCCGATTTTTTTGCAATATTCATTCCTGAGTACATTGATTTACTTCTTCCTGTGTCCAGTGACGCTAGGATTGTAGACATCTTCGGGCGCTGCATTTTATGTATAATAGATTTCATTTGTGCAAAGCCTGGGTACACAAAATGTTGTTGCATGGATTGAGAGTTGTTGGTGAAGCTGATGTGCTGGTGGTCGTGATATGGTCTTTGCACCATTTTTGATTGTTCTCGCACAATTTTCCGCAGAGCTGTAAAATAATAAAATACACTTAATATTGAGTTTCACTTTTTTTAAGTTAAGCGTAATATTAAGTATGTTAAATACTTTTTTCATAACATTCGCTATCTAAAACATTTAATGCTATAATTAAAGTTATAATTAGTTCGCGACGTGGTCGTTTCACACGGACGATCATGTTTGTGACACATATCTGATGAGACGATTTCCTTCAGAAACAACTTTTGCTTGTTTAAAAACGAACATTCAACAAACACCAGTACTTACTTCCTCATGTCACTGAAATCTGATTCCATTGTTTACATTCAAACTGTCACAGGTGATATTTTTGTAAGTGGGTTCTTTACTACTTACGTTCACATTTTCTCGCAGCTCCACCTGTGTTAATGATGTTATATTAAATTATAAATGACTTTTTTGCTCTTGGTTCTGTTTATCTTCATAGCGAATTCATTAAAGACTGATTTAGTTTGAAAGTTTTCATAGACTCAAACAAACAGACACCGGCAGTTATATTATTAATAATATGGATATAAGTAAATGATTTCATTATTATATTTGTAAAATTCTGTATGGCAGGAACCTCTGATTTGTTTCTAAAGAACGAATATTTTCAAACAATATTTAATATAAGTATATCTGTCATAAATGTAAATATATTTTTATTTCTCATTGAGGAGAAGTATTTTTATACTTATTATCAAATTTTAATTAAGCAGATTCTGCTAAAAATTGTACAGATTATTCGATGTAAAGTTGGAGTCTGTTTATATATCCAGTAGTCACCAACATAGGAGGGAAAACGAGGGCGGCGAAATGTATTGATCCGAGTCACCCCTCGCTGGTTTACTTTGAACGGCACAACGACGAACGTATCCCTAGTAACTACACACGCTGGGAATGTTATAAAACTAACCAATTCATATTAATAATCTTGTCGCAAAATGGTAAGTCACAGTATAGTGAATATAATGTTGAATATAGTACTTGCATAGCGAGTGTCCGTATGTCCCTCGATCGGTGAATCAACAAAATGATAATTAAATTCAATATTTGCAGTATTAACTCTGATAAACATATTAATTACAAGATATTTACAATGTGAACGTATCATTCAGTAGTGTTCGCGAGATTTTAAAGTAAGTATCTAAGTGTAGTGAGGAATAATTTGTAGGACAAGAGTATGATGACGACGTCAGGGTTACTGGAGTGGGAGCTATCGTTACCATCGGAGCAGATCGTGTCTCACGGATGGTACCACGGGGCGTTGAGCAGAGCGGCTGCCGAGGCACTGCTGCAGCAGGACCGGGAGTTCCTCGTGAGAGACTCCTCATCACAACCAGATAATTACGTACTCAGCTGCCGCTCGAACGGTCAACATCTCCACTTTGTCATACAGAGGGTAACCAGCATAGTTCAAACACTACAAAGTACAAGTATCGACAATCGAAGTCAACCTATTTCTATTTCGATATGACACACTCGATAATATTCGATTTTCAGATCGTCGTTCATCCCGACACAGTGTTTGAGAGATATCAATATCAGTTCGAAGATGAAGCGTACGACACAGTCGCTGACCTTATAACGTCTTACGTCGGTTCCGGCAAACCAATATCGGCTGCGTCCGGGGCTCGCATACAATATCCAGCGAACCGTCTGGTTCCTTTAACGAATTACGTATCGGGGGATGATGGAGGGACTATGGCATCGCCCAACGCTGACGGCAACTATGGGAACGCGTATAGTTTGTACAGTCACTTCGCGGCTAAGCCGGGAGCACAACTGCGAGTACCTTTCAAGAAACAGAGGTCTCATTCGCTAACTCCCATAGACATGGCTCAACACGTGACTCACGGTAAGAGCGCCAGCGCCGATGGTGTTATACAAAGTCAAACAAATAAACACGGCAAGATATTTCCAAATGAGTCGTCTTCAGGTTGTAACACGTGGGACGCGAACTTACCGACCAGTCCGCCGGCCAAGCCTGCGCGCTGCGAGCCCGCCAAGACCGACGAGCGTCGCCTGGAGCTGCATCGACTCTATCACGTGTCCGGTTCAGACTCCGGGAACGGCTCCGGGGACTCCACGCAGAGCTCGGCGCTCGGGGAGACCAAGAGCAGACATGAAACAGACTACAACACTACCAGCACGCCTTCTGTCAAACAACAGTTCGACTACGAACTCACAGAAGCGAGACTATTGCAAATGGAAAACTTGAATTTTATCGTTGACTCTAGAATCAACCTCGACAACTTTCAGAGTCAGCTCATTCCACCGTCTCTCACGAAACCTTTAGAATCTGAAACGTTGCATACCATCAAACTGTTACTACGAACTTCCGGCCCTCGTATTTTGGCCAACCACCTCACTTATGTCGATCTACATTTTCTTCTAGATGAATCGTTACAAATTGAAGGTCTAGATAAAATGGCTTCAGGCTTAGAGTTGTGTTTTTTACCTCAAGGACGATCTCTGAGACTGGATGTCATAGAGAGGTAATATTTATACAATACTTAATTAATGTTATTTACTAAATATCCGTTATTTAATGAATGAATGTATGTATTGCAGAGTTGAAACATTTCGCCTTCTAGTAGCCGTCACTATACTGACCTGTCAAACGGACAGACAAAGAGCAGATACTATAAACGATTGGATTCTTTTAGCCATCGAAACAAAAACAGCCCTAGGAAATCTATACGGATTCTCAGCAATAATGTTCGGCTTGTGTATGCCACAGGTTTGTAAGAATTTAATAAAGGAACCACAACATCACAATAACAGGATATTTTAAAGTATTGTAATATATCTGCAGGTAGAGTGTTTAGAGAATGCCTGGAATATACTGCGGCGTGTGTACACGGACAACGCTTTCATGTTCGAAGCGAAACTGCGGCCATCGTTCAAGAGCATGAACGAGGGGACCAACCCGCTGCCACCCAACACGACCACTCCTCACGTCATACCACCGGTGCTGTGCTTCCATCTGTTCGGTAAACATAGTGTAGTTCATCATCTAGCCAGGTGGAGCGTGTGTGGTACATGAGTATATATTACAGACGGTGAGGGCGGCGGGCTGCTGCAGCCGGACGACACGTTCCCCAGCAGCCTCATGAACAGTCTCGAGTTCGACTTCAACGCGACGTCCGCGCACCTGGAGGCGGCCCGCACCCTGCCCCAGCAGGCGGACACTCTCCGCAGACGAGCTCGTCCCGTGCTGCAGCCGTCCACCGCGCTCTCCCCGCCCCTGCTGGAACTGTTCCGTACGGAGCTGGCGGCCGTGTTCCTGTGGGGCGAGCGAGGCGCGCGCTCTCCCTCCAACCAACGGTTCGCGCGGCTCACGGACGTCCTCACAGCCATGGCCGCAAAACTGGCCGCGCGACCCCCGGACGACGACGACGCTGTCTGAACTAACTACCCACAGACTACAACAACACGTGTCTTCCTAACATATTACACAAAGTGTTCTATAAATATTACTGTTCATTTGTATTATTGTCTCACATATGTATGTAGATACTTAGAAATCAATTTAGTTAAATACTCTCTTAATTTGTCTGCTTCTTGCAATAGTTATGTGTATACCTTAGATAAATATGTTGAGGATTAGTGTTTATATACTTATAGTAAGTATAATCAACGCGAGACGTATGTACCGTGACGTCATGTTAAGCTCAATTAAGTAGGTATCTAAACGAATAAGTAATTGTAATTCGTCGAAGAACAACAGGATGTTTGTAATTTTTTATTTTTATACGTTTTATAACACTGACGAATCGAGCGATACTTTTAAATAAAATAATTAACACACACATTTCAAACTTTGTTTCATATAGAGGTATCAAATGTTATAATACAAGTATAAGGATCGACGAGCATCGTGTTCTCAAAACATCAATGTTCCTAGAAATAAACTGTTTTATTAGTAACTGTTCATTTATTTCATCACCTGTCCTCGGCGTCATGACGGCCGGCCGCTGATCCCTTGTACTGACTTGTATGATGTCTCTTCGTAAAGGTTAATAAATAAAACATCACATTTCCGATATAAAGTTTATTATAATCGGGTCGATGTCTCTTCAGACCTGCGTCATATGTATCGCTGCCTCCGTCCGTATCTTCTAGTACCATAACCGACTAACTAACTATCACTCTTAACTAAAATACATTACATGAACGCATTACATTACATTATCCGGATATAAAAATATAGTTTTATATTGAAGTCTTATAAAATCTATAAATATTTTTCTTCGTTCAGATTTTTTATTTATTTATGAATTATTAGAACACAAACGAGTCACAGCGGATTCCTTAATGTGTGGATGTTATAAACAAGTAACAGATGAACTAGTCGATTGTAGTCTTCATAAATGGGTCATGATCAATCAAATTATGTCAAAGAATTTACTAGAAACATAACTCAAATACAATAAGCATATTATAATTAAAATCAGTTAAAGAATATAAAATTATTATAATGAAAAGTATTTGTCACTAAACAGTGAATGAAGTAACTTAAATAGCTATACTTTGTTCAAATGTATGTATATATTATACCAATATGTATCATAAAACCACAGTGAACAAACCCTGCACACTAGTATATATATATAATGTATTACAACAGCTCACTAATGTCAATGTGTGCGTTTGTATACAACATTATATGTGTCACTTGCGACACCCTCCTTTACTAATAGATTGCTATCAACTTTCTACTAGCTACATGTTACAACAGTGAACCCTCGCCTATAATATTGCTCGTATATTCAAGAGGAATAATCTTTAGCAAACACTTATACAATACATGGATATGCCATCAGCGAGACTCACATACAACACACACTTGTATAGTTGAGGAGGTATCATAGGATCAAGCAACGCACCTCTGTTATTGCTAAGCTCATACAAAAATAACTATATCAATGTCCAATGTGCATCAAACCATTATCAATAGTAACAACACTCCATGGTATACATGGAGACTATCGGCTATCGGCTAAATAAACTCCTTACACTACATATGTATTGCGTTTCTTATATAAAGTTATGTCAGCATAAAGTTAACTCTAGTCATAGATAATGCACTTGTTAGTATTCACGTGTTACTTACTTCTCAATATAAATACATGTACTGTAATATTATAAATTAATAAGCCACTAACTCAAGCATAAGGCAATCGGTGTATGTGTGAGTATTGTGTGTGTCGGGACTCAGTTGTAGGTCATATAACAACCGACTGTATTATCACAGACTTCACACACTAACTATGATATACTAGAGCTCCCTGAGGATACTCATTATTGCTATATAATTGCTTTTCCATATTACAATTAAACATACTTAGTCCAGTTAGAACAAATCATTTGACTTCAAATGTTCTGAGTTGATTCATGAGGTGCATGTGTATGTTGGTTGGTGTCAGAGGTGCTCATGCTGATGATGATGATGATGTCGGTGTACTAGAACTTGAGCGACTTGGCGAACAAAGCCACCGTGGCCTGGGTCTTGTCGCCGTTGAAACGCCTCAGCTCTACAATCGCCTGAAAATACAAAATATATACATTAAATTGATTGGCCATTGATTGTACCAACATATGAATAGATAGAGTACAACACGTCTTGAGTCCCATAATTAAATATTCATTTATGTGTATATCGTATGAGTGTATAGCTGACCTGTTCCCTGGTGAAGCCCAGCGCCACTATCTCCTCCACGTCTGTCTCACTGAACGTGTCCGTGGCGAGGATCTCCGGCCGGATGAGACTCGGCGTGTTCACACCTGTACACAACACACACACACACACACTCTTACAACACATATATACATATATATATATGTAACAAACACAACTCCCTCTATATAATAGTCATCATACCCGGAGTCATCCTCGGAGCGTTCTGTCCACTCGTGGTGGCCGGAGGTGACGTCGGTGACTGCTCCTTAGATTCTGTTTACATATAACACACGTAAGGAAACCACACACATGTTACATAGTACATGATGTACCATTTACAAACTACAACTAATCATCTTAAACATCATTTGTATAACCAAAGCTACTGAACTGCACTGGTACATTACATTTCTAACAACATAATTATATTTCACCTTAACATACCATGGCCTCAAAGTCATTTTATTAACTCGTATCAACGTTATGAGAGCCGGCCGGTGTTTTATGTGTCCAAATGTTCAGCTGTCAATCTGTTCTTGTTATAATTAATACTAAACTACCAAGACAAACACGCATCGTTTTCCAATTTTTTTAATAGTTCTGTTTCCATGTATATTGTCCTAGTGTATACTGTATACAGGTCACTTGTCCCTGGTCGCACCTCTCTTGTCCCTGACCAGTCGGTCGTCCCTCGCCACCAGCTCGTCCTCAGAGAAGCCCGACAGTCTCGCACACTCCGGCAGCTCGGCCTCCGGCAGGAACGGAGTCTCTGTACCCGTCGTGCCGATGTGAAGAACGTTCCGCTTCAGGTCAATGTTGCACTACATGTGTATAATAATCAATGTAAACCAACTGTTATGTTATAACTTGTCACAGTATACATCTGTTGAGGGTCACATTACCTGATGTCGTTTGAGCATGTCCAGTCCCAGCAGCATGTCCATGGGCTGTTCCTCGAGGACGGAGAAGGAGGTTGTGAGGAAGTCTTTCTCTATACGCATCTGTACCATGTGGATGCGGCCGATGATCCTCTGAACTCCGACACCCTTCGCTATACCCGCCCACCTTCATATAACACACACACTATTAAAATGACTCTCGAAGTATTCTCATCGCAAGTGAAGTTTATTACCTTGTGTCAACTAGTCTCATAATGTTACACCTCTCAGCACAGGCTGCTGACATTATTGTAGTTTGAGCTCCAGAATCTATAAACGCCTTCACAGGGAAGCTGCAGATAAAGATTCAATAGTCAGTCAAGTATCCTGTAACATCATGTGTCTGTCTGTCTGTGTAAGTGTCTCTACATACCCGTTAACATGACAGTTGATGTACAACATGACCACAGTTCCGAATGTCTCGGGGTTGTACTCCATGGCTGCCTCCATGTTGGCTTCGATGTTCTTCTGTCTGATCTCCTCCGCTATCATGCGCTGGGCCTCTGTGTCAAACGGATCTGAATTCATCATCCTAAGAAAATTCATGTGAGCCTTCATTATGATATGCTGCCACATTGACACTCAACTCTCAACAACCCTTCAGTCCAGCAAAGGGGTACAAGCCAATGTGTGCCGTCATTGATAAACATTACAGCAACATTCATATAAAGCGTGTTAATGAACAAGGTAATCTATTAAATGCCATTCAAATCAAACCAGCAACCTCTACAGCGCTCCCAACCTCCACAGAACCCTTTGTGTATTTAATAAGCAACACCACTCTATATCCAACCCGTTCAGAAGCCACCCTCACATAACAGACACCATCTTTAATGAACCACAAAGACACCAGCATGTCACACAAGTGTCTACAAGTTTACAGTCACCTTATTCTTTGTTGTTGGCGCTCAGTTCTAGCTGAAATTTGTTCTCGAAGCACTGAAGCAAATGTATCTATGAAAAGACAGTGAATTTAAAAGTTTAATGGTTTCAGTAATATTCAATGAGACCTTGCTCATTGATATACAATGAAATTCATTTGTTTATACTAGGCCATATACCGAGGTTGCCACTCAGCAAGGCATCCGCCAGTCTCGGGTTGTTCTGTTTGAGGAGGGCCAGTTGGTCGGGATTAGCTAGAAACATCTCTCTGATGATGCGAGGGTCCTCCTCCACGGGGGCATTCCTGGCGGCCATTGAAGTGCTTGCTGCAGATGCAGCCCCCCTAGGAACTTGTATGCTACTGAAATCGAGATTGGCCAAACCGCTTGGCAGAGCTGAAACCAGTTAACTTTTTTATTTTATTTAAAAAAATATATTTAAATAAATATTTTTGACAGCTGACACTTTTAAATTTTAATATTTTTTTCAGTTTTCAATGTTATTCGTGCGTTATAGCGCCGGCACTCAAAAATATGACAAAACAATAATTCGATGATTGACATTAACATGACAACAAAAAGGAATGACAACGCAAAAATAAGTTAAAGGAATGATTGAATTATAAGTACCTTGACTGGCGTCGTTCATGTTTAAATTGGATGAAGACTGAACCATGTGAAGCAGCACAATGACATCTCCGTCGTGGACGCCCAGCTCCTTCAGAGACTTCTTATCGTGCATCATAGGCTTCCCATTGAAAGTCAAAGTTATATCCGCGGCGGGAAACCCTGACTCGATTTCACAAAACGCCTTGAAGTTTTCTAATTCCAAATCTTCGGAGACATCTAAGACGAACAGCTCGTCGTTAAGGGTAGTTACGGTTACTTTCATCGTGAGTTATTGATGATGCGCGAAGACTAAGTGAACTGTTTACGTGAGAGATGTTTGTGCTATTTATATTTAGAGAATGACTGTCCAAAACATTTTCAGGTATGTACGCGTTGTCGAAAACAAAGCTTTGACTCAGATAAACACACACAAATAATACTTTTGATTTGTTCTTGAATTCAATCCCGAATTTCGTGAAGGTGGCAACTTGCCTAGTGCCTACACTGCACTCCAGTTCACTAGTTACGTACTTCATCTGCAGTACAGTCTAAAATTAACGGTTTTCATAAATCGTTTCTTTCATAAAGTTATGATATTATGACAGTAATTAATTGTCTTTATATATGTTGATTTCATTTATATATAATTTTTGATTATTTTTATATACTAACATAAAAATCTTTGTAACTGTCAAATATCGTAACACGATTTTTCGATTCTCAATTCTCACCGGGTACATCACTTAGAAAGTAAATGACGAGAGGAAAGTAGAGGAAAACCTTTGTTGTTAATTTTCTTTGTAGATAGCTAGATGCAGCTACTGAACCTTTATTAAGTGTTTTTCATATAATTCATAATGTTTTATGTTGCAAACGGTGTTTTGATACAATTGTCTCTGTTCTGACTAGGTCATGGCAATTCAGTTATTTCAGTTTACAATGTGAAATCGTTTAGTTAAGTCGTCTTACAATGGTAAGTGTAGAATAATTTATTTATTTATTTAGTTTGAGACAAAGTCAATAACTCTCAAGTGTAATATATTTATTATTAATTATCCATTTTATTAGAACGATACCTGACTTACAAACATAAAATTGGTGAAAGTGCGTTGATGGAGAACTGGTTGATGTATTGTTAGTCGGGAGTGTAAGCGATCTTGTTAACTTGTTAATAACGGGACGTAGACACTTTAATTTGTAGATATTTCATATGCGTCGTAGATTATGATTTATATATTTGCAGATAAACAATTTATATATTTGTTTAATTTTGTTAAAAAATATTTTAGACTTGGGATGAGTGTATTCTCAATATTTGTCATAGTTTTCATTTCTCAATATATTTGGTAGCAAACAATAACCCATTTAAAAACAAGTCTTAAATTTCAACATAAAAATAAAAAAGAAAAGTGTTTTTATTAAACCCTATAATAATTCCAAGTAAGTGATTTCAACCTAAATTTTAGTTGTATCTGTGTGTGTGTGTGTCAGGCTGAACAGTAAAGCTCTCATCATCATGTCATCGGTGGGTCAGCTGGTGCCGCAGGTCACTCGGAGCCCTAACAACGGCACGGTGCGCTTCAACGGGCCACACATTGAAGGCTCCTTCTGTTCTCTCATCAACTACAACTATGACCCAGCCATCAGTGTTATATGCGCCATGTATATTGTTTTTGGCATTGTGTACACACTCTTTGGTTAGTTTACTCTTTATATACAATTATTTTTGATGGATGAAACTGTACTTTATAATTAATCATACATGGTAGTCACACTGTAGGCTGGTTGTTATTTCAGGTTATAGATGCTTCAAAGCCAGCATGTTCCTGACGGGTTTCACTTTTGGTTCGGCCATAGTCTACCTCATCTGCCTCCAGGAGTATCTGATGCCTGCTTATGGCAATGTTGGTAAGTTATCAACCTTATTTATTATAGTATTTCTTTGTATGTGTGTGTGTGTGAGTGTGTATGTGTGTGTGTTTGTCAGGTGTGGCGATGTCAGCGGGGCTGTTATTTGGTCTCATCACGATGCTGATCCAGTACGTGGGTCTATTCGTGACGGGCTTCCACACGGGTCTCCTCCTAGCTGTGGCCGGGCTCGCCATCTACGATCACTTCCTTGAGGCGAGGAGCCACACGGTGAGCTGAACATTATTTATAATCATTATCAACATACAAACAGTCAGAGTGAGTTAGTTGTAATGTATTCGTCACCTCACTAACTATATGACTCACTCTGCGACTAGACTTACGGAGTTCAATTTATTTCAAGGTTTAGTTTTTGTTATCTCAAACTATAAAGTATAAAGAAGCTTTTTTTTCATCTGTTTTCTATGTCCTTAGCGTTTTGAACTGTTTTATTATATATATTATTATGTTTGTTTTGTAACAGAGATCTCGCGCGATAATAAACTCTACTAATGTACATCGATGTCACTCTCTCAATCATTAATTGAACGTGATTGGTTTCAAAACTAACACACTTGTATTATACGTGTAGAGAGTCTGTGTAGGTATATTTTATATTTTAAAAGGAAAATTCATGAGTTAATTTAGATTCTTTTTATTATTAAATTGAATTGAATATCTCCCTATCTATGTCTTTTATTGTATAGTATCAGTCTAGACACCAGACACCAGACACCAGACAGTGTTGGTGATCAGCCGACAAGTTTGTTTACCTTCGACTCTATTCTTTTGTGAACGAACAATTTTATTGACCTCAAAGACTAGACGTGTCCGAACTACGAGCGAGACGAGTCGATCTATTTAACGTAAATCTGTAGACGGTGTTCATTCACCCTATACATATATATATAACTAGCTACTATACTATCAACTATGAATTATATTACTATCTATATGTGTGTATGTGTGTGTGTGTGTGAGTGTGTGGTAGGTCGGTGGTGGGTGTGGTGAAGTGAACCCGATGTTTGTGGATCGATTGGTCGATGCCTTAACGATATAATGACGTCCTCAATTGTATATCAGGCCGGTTATATTGTTACTAACACGTACTTAATACATCCCCCTCTGAAACAAATTTGAATGATTTACACTGACTGTACTACTATCATATCACTGTTATAATCTCTACCTGCATTCTAATACATAGTACATATAATACATGTTATATACAACGTGAGGATAGATAGCGTTGTCTTTATTGTAGTATATGTATTATAGATCAAGACTCTTCATATTTAATGCAACATGTGATAGTATTAAAACTTTATATCTTAAGAGCGAGTAGTTGTTTATTCCGAGTATGACGATGTGTTATATATATTTGTATGAAACTGAACTAAAGTAGTGTTCCATCAATGAATTGTTTTAAGTTTTCTTTATGAACTACATTTTACTATATGAACACTCTTTAGTTCACGTTATAATGTTTAATAGTCACATCTCCTTCTCTATATAATCAGAGCGGCTCCTATATAAGGTACTCGTCACGATATTTTTGCCACTCGCCCGCTCATAAACGCTTCCTACTATTTACTATGTATATATAAATAACGTTTAGTTTTTTATAAGCGCTAAGCGAATATAATAATTTGTTCAGATCGTATGTATGTGTGTTTGTGTTGTTGCTCGCGTCTCATTGTGTTATACGAGTCCTAACTAACGCCTGTATGTATGTCAGCGAAGTTGTTTCTATTCACTCAGCTCGTATCTGTTCATTATTAAACTTTGTACGCCTCGCGAACTTTTCCCTCTAACGTTTCATCTGTGTACCTATCTGTGTGTTCTGATCTATATCTCATTGTTTCATCTTCGTTACGTCACTTCCTATAATGTATCCGTCTCTACAGACCTCATTACATACCTACATACTATTGTACTGGAGAGTGGAGACAGCTCGCTTTGTTCGTAACGTCTAATTATAACTAGTATTCAAATGTATTTTGTATTTATGAATTTTATATTCTAATACAATCATACATTATATATATGAGTGTGTGTGTTTTAAAGTTAAAATGTTCTTTTTGCTTTTATTATTTCAACATTATAAAAGCTGTATATTTTAATACGGCTCGTTGTTTCTGTCTGTGCGAGCTCCATCTCATCTCATCTCTGAGTGTTCATATCTTATTATGTTATTGTATTGTTTCAGTACTGGCTGTGTGTGGTTGTTCTGCTAGGATCAGGCATCTTCTTCGCGATCGTCAACCTCTACTGGAAGAAAGGTTAGTTTATACATTATCATATTAATTAGAATATAATATAGATGACGTGTTATAAAGAGATGCGGGTTAATAATGTAATAGCGATTAATTTACATTTTAATTTACAATAACACTTAAATATCACTTTGTTTAACCGGCAACATTTAAATATTACATTATATATAACATTTTGTAACTCATATATCTTGAGATTCGTCCGTAGTGTAGTATCTCGTGTGTGTCTGTTCGTCCTTAGCACGTGTATGTTGTTTGTTTCCAGTGTTGACTATCTTCGGTACTAGTGTGTACGGCGGAGCGGTCATCGCTACCTGTCTCGACTACTTCCTGGAGAGGATGCTCATGCTGAAGTGGGTACGTACTAGAAGTGACTGCAGCTACTCGTCAGGGGACTGTTATTCAGTAATATTTAAAGACTGGATGATAAAAGCAAAACTACATCTTAGTTAACACATATAAATATTAAGAATGTTTTAAAGTCCTGCCGCTTAAAGAGATATAACTTGGAAGATAAACGCCATCTTACTCATTTCAAGCAGACCTCTTGCATCTCGTATATATGTATGTGTGTGTGTGTGTGTGTGTATGTAGGTGTGGGAGCGCGCCCGCCTGGAGGCTGTCCGCAGTCCCCCGTGTCGTCTGTCGTGGCTGTCTCTGTGTGTGTGGCCGGCCGCGGCGCTGGTGGGGCTGGTGGCGCAGGCGCTGCTCACCGCCTCCGCCGTACACCACACACAGAGCCTGCGCGCACAGAAGAGACGCCTGCAGGGACCGCCCACACGCGACCAGCGGGCAGAGATGAAGCAGCGCAAGTACCGCTACCTGTACCAGGTGAGGACCGCGCACGGGGACGTGATCTCGCAGTCGTACGTGCAGGCGCTGCAGAAGAAGGCGCACTGCGGTAACTGGCCGGCGGCGGGGGGCAGCGGGGCGGGGGCGGCGGGAGGCGAGTGCAGCACACTACAGAGTGACTCCACACACCTGACCGTGCTGCCCGCACACACGGACACGGACGAGGACCTGGAGCAGATCAGACCAGCACACTAACACGACCCCCCACCATCAGCCACCAGCGTCACCTATCACTGCCACACATAGTGTATCGCGGACGGGGTCCTTTCCATGATCAGGGCGAGTCTATACAACTCCGACATTCCTCTCTCAATATTAACTGTCTTTAGATCGTTATGTGTCAGACTATTTACATTTCGTTATATTATATATTGACACAATAATGTATTATAATAGTCATGTATGTAGCTCGTGTTGTACGCGGTAGTGTTGACACGTCAGTCAGTCAGTATGTTATGTTTTGGCCAAAGTATATTTTAGTTGTTTCTATTATATGTTTATTATTCAGCATATGATGCGTGTGTGTGTATGTCTGTCCGTCTCTCGCTCAAGTCTCTAGTCGATGACATACATATATTATATTATTATAAGGAGCCTGGAGCACGTTCCACGTCCTACTGTTCACTGTATGTTGTTCTTGTTCTTATAGAGCATATATTTTTTATTATTTGTTGTTGTATTTTATTTGCTTTTATATATTTTGTTTCGTGTTTACATCACAGTGACCGTGTCGTTATCTATCCTGTACGTATGTAAGTGTAACTTATTCGTAGTGTTAGTGTAACGTAGTAACACATTCGTCTCGTTTATTTGATGTCAAATATACAGGGTGTATGAAAAACTGTGTCAACCCTCTTAACTACGTTATCAGTATCGATAATGTAACAGAATAAAACAACTTACATTTACAAACTCTTCAATAAAAATAATAAAATTAAATATTAAATGATTATTATATGTAAAGTAACAAAATGTTTGTAAACCCTGGTATAACACGATGACACGCAATGACGTCATCACAGCTGCTGCGCTACTAGTGACGACCTTGAAGTTACTTTCACATTATTGAAAATATCGATATTTAAAAAATCATAACAATAAATAAATATTTAATATTCATATTATTTCGATACTTATTTTGATATATCAAACATTAATATTATGTTTGACTGTAAAACACCATTTTTAACAGAAATAGATTAACGATTTATCCTAATAATACAACATATGTAGTTAATTTACCTGAACAAGTTTCAAATTATAATATTTATTATTAATAAAAGTTATTTTAAATGAAATTATTTTTATGTGAAAAGCATAACTATTTATAGCAATATTGAAAATGTCGATAGAATATTTATCGATATAACTAATTTTTACACTTTCAAATCTCTATTCGAACAACTAACAGAATAGTAATAATAACGCCGGCGGCCCGTCGCCTGCGGTCAATGGTCACGCATGCGCCGTTGCGACTATACGGTGTCTTGACCTTGTATGAGTCAGATGTTTGGAACATTTCTTCGAATAATGTCGATTTAAAACTTATTTAGCCTATGCACTGTAACTGACCTTTGCTTGATATTTTTTAAGTTATACTATTTTTTATAATAAGCTTATACTTATATGTATACATGCCTTCAAGGGTTGACACAGTTTTTCATACACCCTGTATATATACACGGTATGCTTGCTCTTCATCGCACTGTATGTGTGTGTGTATATGTGTGTGTGTGTGTGCGTGTGTCGGAGGTCGGTCTGTCTGTTCGTTTGTTTTAGTGGTTATAGTTTGATGGCATTCACCAGTGCACAGTGACACACGGATCACTTGAACATTATATAATGACACGTGGAGTTGACTCTGAGTATAACTATGTAGATGTAAGATGCATACTTACTGTATACACGTGCTCGTATGGAACTGGTACGATTGTTCTCATGCTACTTACTATCATACTCACACTAACTATTATAAAGGGATGTTCAACAGTGGCTAGAGGGCGCCACTGTAGCATGTGCGTGTGTGTATGTATGTATGTGTGTGTGTGCGTGTGTTTGTGTGTGTGTCCCGACTTGTGGTACACACCCTGTATATCTATAGTATATTAATGTCGCTAGTTGTTAGTCCTACTATGTATTACAATATATATGTTAGGCATAAACTCTTTTAATTATCGTGTTGTAAATATGTTTTCCGTCTCTATGTAGTTTGTGATATCAACGAAGACACAAGTACTATAATCTGTTGTTGATATAAACGAGCTGCTACACTGTTACGAAACGTAACGGCCAACGAAACCAGATAAAAAATGTACACAAACACCAAGACGACTAAACTTTAGCGTTTGGTGTGTCGAGTGTTGTAGGGGAGAGTTGATGTGAAACATTTTATAATAAGTATAGATATGTAAAGATTATTATATGATTTACATTATACATGGGTCGCGCGTCTTAAACAAGTTTATATAGAAACAATAAATAATGATAGCGGCGCTATGATATAGAATAAGAAGAGTTTGGTGAAACAAATAAAACTAATTAATGAACATGTTGATAAAAAACGTAATTATAAAAGGAAACGGTGATATAATAATATATTAATGTACTATAGGTAACATATGTATTAAGTGGAGTGATGCGAGCGCATTTCAAAAATGCCTTTTTATATTACTATGATAATAAATTTTCAAAGCTTTCAATGTTATGGATGTAAGATGTAGATTGTGGAACTTATTTAGTTGTTCAAAATGACGAACTTCTTTTAAACTAATTGTATCTGTTGTACTTTAATAATGCTAGAATTTTTTTTTTTGTTATATAATATAATATTAAAATGCAAAATGTGGTCAACTACTCAGGTTTTCATAGAAACAAGGAGCTAATGTCTCTGGGTATATATCAGTTATTATTTCAGAGACCAACTGAGATTGTTATATAGAACGAAAGTATGTAGGAACTGGTTTGTGTTTACAATATTTATCTTGTTTCGTTGGCTACACATTAAGTCGCTTAGTCGCTGTCCCGTAATGAGTTGTTCCCTGTAGCTAGATCCACTCTCATAGACGTAATATCCGTCTCATGAAACTTAAATATTTTGGGAGTCTTTATAACTGATCCCTCCCTTCCAACACAACACAACGAAAGTATATGTCTGTGATGTTATGTGATACTATACACACGTCATTACGGGACCGTTTGATGTGAACTGACGACGGATGATAATGGAGGAGGCGAAGACAGGTGAGAAACATAGTAAAAACAACACACGTGAGAATTTATTGATCTTTAAAAAGTATTATCGATAAAATATACACATTAATATTATAATTAAATAAGAATTAGATGTCTTATAAGCTTTATGAGGACGAGTGTGAGGTTCACAGAGGTCGGTCTCAGGTCGAACTAATATTTATTGATTTAGATATTTTGTATTCTGTTTACATTGTCGCTTGCATTACCTTAGGGGCCGAGTTGGGTTGCGTCTTGGATACATCACATCCATAGAGTTACTAGTGCGGGGACATCCGGGGCGGAGAGGACGTTTTATCAAATAATCGCACAAAAGTATTAAATGTACTATTTAAATATGCACAAATAATATTGAATTGAGGGGGGAGACAAATTTTATCGATATATTTTAAGTGAGTCGATCTCCCCGCACTAGCGACCGACTAACATAAGAAGAATTAGTAGTAGATATTTTTGGACTGTAGTCCTTTTTGCCAATATTATTATCGTACTACGAACGTTATTTTAATAAATAATTTGTTGTCATCTCTACGGATGTTTTATTGAGAATCCAAATTCATCGACTGTGTTCCGTTACTTCACTAACACTCACATTATATGTATATAATATTATGAAGATGCAATAAGTTACTTGTATCTAGTTCATATTAATCTATATTCTTATAAGGTACATCTACTACATACATAACTTTGGTTTAATTTTTACAAAACTTAATCTACACAATAAGTTACATACCTACATCAAACATCCAACACTGACGTCCATCGCTCTTATAGTACATTAGACTTAAGCTGAGCTTTGCATTTATGTGAGTGAAAGAGTAGAATTAGACAAACTTGACGATTTGAATTTTATTATATTTTAAATAGATAAATAATGTAAGTACGAAAGCTATTCCAGAATAAAACTAAAATAAGCAAAACTTATAAAAGACCAGAAGGAAATTAGGAATATTATGGATTGCTTTTTATAAATTAATAAAAAAAATTGAAAAAACTATACAAATTCTTCTTCACTTGACATTTCGTTTTCAACATTTGAATCTGCTCTCAGTACAAAGGGTGAAGTGCGGAAGGTGCGGGGCGGAGTAAAAGCAGAATAAAACTTTACAAAACTAGAAAAGAACGTTGCATTCATAAATTTGTCATCACACCTACACTGTGTGTGTGTGTGCGGTCACACCTACACTATGCTCAGCTTAAATCAAAGGCACGTACCAACTTGTATGTTAACAACTGATCACTAAACGTTATATATAATAAATCGTTGTTGATCTTAAACATATATTCAAAATGCACATTAGTAATCGACGAACTACTCTATTTATACGTGACAAACGTTCGCGTCTTCGACTAGTTAAACGGCCTGGCGTTGCTCGCGGTCTGTCTTGTTCAACTCAACCATATGTTTATTCTGATGAGCGGTTTGTATAGTTCGTTGTATGGAGTCGCCTCTCACTCTCCGCTAGATGCAGGAGGTGATCTCCTCGACGTATGAGGAGGGGAAGATGCCGAAGCAGCCGTTGAGGTCCCCGCTCCACCACACCTCGTCCTGCTTCTCATAGATATCGATCACGTCTCCTGAACAACGGAACACACATCACATGACATACGTACAGGCTTATACTACATACAATATATTACATATATAAAGGATTATGACAACAAGTCAAAGTCGCGCAGCAACAATACACACACATACAATATATTTGTAAATATTTCAATGGCCTCATTCACGATATAAGATTATGATGAACAAAGACAGCGGACTGATATAAGTGTTCTTGTAATATTACCTGGTGTGAGAGTCAGCTCGTCATTCAACCTGGCCTCGTACGTGTACAGCGCCCTACACTTCCCTATATACTTGTGAGTGATGTCGCTACTGTTGTTGTTGTGTTTCCTCACGTCTGATAGATCCGCTGAACTGTCACTCTGAGATGAAAATTCATCTGTAATGAACAAAATTATTCGCTTTACTTTCATTTAGAAATAATGTTGTTTAGTAGTGACTGTATAGGAAACGACTTTATACTTTTGACTGCCACATAATACAATCAAAACGGGATGGGAATATTGAATATATTTCAGGTGTCTTGAAACATAATCTGGGCAAGTTATAAACTCATCACAAATTCCCAATATTAATGATAAGTATTCCAAGTCTCGCTGCCTCTCTATCTTACCGAAGTCACTATCATGTTGATTGGACAGTCCGTCTCCCGCTCCTCGCTCGCTGGACGTCCAGTCTAGAGCGGGGGACGGCGGCAGCGGGGACTCTGCGGACACGGGCGTCGTGGGCGCCGTCGTCACTGTGGGCGTGGTGGGCGCTGTTGGGACCGTGGGCGTAGCGGGAGCGCTACTCCTCTCCACCGCTCTCCGGAAAGACAGATGCTCAATGCGCAGTTTGCTGGAGGCGCGGCTCAGTACTGAGTCTCGTCTCTCTCGCTCGTCCGAGCCACAGACGGCGCCGGTCACGCTCTTGGACAAGGCCGTGTAGTTCGGCTGAAGGTTCTTGTTCACTTCGCTCTGATAGTCAGCCTGCAGCCAGGGCGGGACCTGCGGGCGGGACATACGGACGTCACAAACATCGAACATCTATAACTATATATTTATTAGACACTATCGTTGATGAATGTATGCCCTGTACCTTGAGTATGCTCTGCTGCAAGCCCTGCTTGTCTCGTATGACCTGTATGTGTGTGGCGAGTGGGTGCTGGCCGGCGGGGCGGTTGTCCAGCTCGGTGAGGCTGGTCGTGATCTTGTATCGCACCGCCTCCAGGTACGTCAACATGGACCTCATCTGTAAGTGTATGGGCTGACATTAAATAATATGACATTACATAGACTATGTTATGTATAAACGACACAGGACTTACGTGATACAGTTTGTCAGCTACGTTCTGTTGAGAATCATCGCTACCGAAAGTGGGCGTCTGTTTTATAGCCATTGAGAGTTTTTCAAGACCCTGTTTAGACTTCCGCTCTCGGTCTATATCTTGCTTTACTAACTGAAGAATTTTCAATAGGGCCTAGCAACAAATGACACATGAGAAAGGAGTTTTTACTTCAGAATTATATAGTTGAAACTATTATATAATGTTGTTATGTTATGTATATGTCATGTTCTGACTTGTTTACGTCTCTCCTTGTTCATGGCCAGCGTGGTGTGCTCGCAGTAGAAGTCCGGCAGCAGCTGGTCGCTGGCGCCGGCCGGAGCGCCGCGGACACCTCGCACCACGCGCATGTCCACGTTAGAGTTGGCTTTCTTGATAGGAGCCACCAGAGCATTGGTCGCCTGGGGCAATTCCATATGTTTAAGGAGATATTTTATGAGTTCTGTTATCAGTCACAAGTTAAATATATCAAGTACCCACCTCCGCTAGTTGCGGTGGTACCGCGGCCGTCAGCCTGAGGTAACAGTCGGCGGCGCTCTTCAGCTGCTCCAGTCTCTCCTCCTCGAGTGACTCCAGCATCCCCGCGCCCTTCACCACACTCGTCTCCCATTCCAACCTGATCAGTACATGTATTGAGAAGCTGTTCATGTTAACGTGGACCAATGGATCAGTCATCAGTGACTCACCGTGATCGCTCCGCTTGAACACACACGTTATAATAGTCGACCTCGGTCTTCTTAACAGCGTCCTCGGTCTTCCTCTTCTTCACCTGTAACTTGGCGGCGTCCCTCTCGCTGGCGGCGGGCGCGAGTCTCTCGGCGCGCGCGGCGCTCAGGATGGAGTGAGGGATGTGTCCCATACTGGAGCTGCGTGACAGTCGGCTGTGAACAATATAAGCATGCTGCTGACTCGTGCTACATCCGCACTCCGCACACCCACTACAGGTAGTCGGTCAGTCGCTGAGCGTGTATATATTCGCGGGCGCTGTTCGCAGGGCACTCGATCTGTTCTCTGTGTAATGAGAGATGTTATCAAACCTAATGTCTAGCGAGGCGTCCTGCAGCTTCTCGTTCTCTCGCGCGGCCGCGTGTGACTGTCTCTTCGACTTGGCCTCAGCTGTTCTCCAATCTGCCAACGCCCGCGTCGTCTTGTCCACGTTGCCTTCGATCTGTAATCAGTGAATGTCATACATTGATTACCCTCGTGTTGTTACTCATAGACTGCTTCACGAGTTCATATGTATTATGTAGTGTTTTATATTTAGTGGCGTACCTTTTTCCTCAACTTGAGTTGGTTGTCTATAACTTGTTTCATCGGTTTCACAAGTTCTTCTGTCAATGCACTGGAATAACTCCTGTTCAAACATAACACGTTGTAATAACTATATTTACAATACTATATCGTGTACTTCTTTCATATATATTGTTTTCTCCTAACCTGTGTATCTCCGCTCTCTTCTCCATGTCATGAGCCACGTGTTTCCACGCCTCCGCACAGGAGCCTACACTCTCCTTGCAAGCTTTACTGAGCTTCGAGCCTAATTTCGCCAAGCATTTCGAGTAGTAATTTTCTGCTTCGACTCTGGAAAAAAGATGAATAGCTTAGGAACTTTAACGAGAATCACTATAAATTTCTATCATAATAATTCTAAACAAAGTATTAAGAGAGGTTTTTTGTTAAATGATTGCCCGATAAAGCGTTCTTTGTTTAAGTATATTAAGTACTAATAACAGTACGTAAAATACAACCGACATGTTTGTCATTTTACTACATAGTAAATGTATTTCAGTGTATACGTTTCTCATAGTCTAGTTTCCTAAGCGGGACCGCATTTGTCTTCTAAATCGTAATGATAGCAATTGTTTCAAAATCAGAGAGAAAGTGAAATAAACAATCTGTTGTAAGGTAAGCGGTCGCCGTCTGGGGAGATGGCGGGTGGTCTAGATCTATTTAGGTTGTTGTGGCGGCCGGCCGGGAGACACTCAGACACTCGGTTCATATAATAATGTTGCATTCAGTGACGAGGCGCCGGCACAACCGAAATAAACTATCCGTCCCATTTACACTGGAATAACAACTACCATGATGAAGTATCGATGTTTGAGAATTATTTTATACGCACATTAATGGTACTGGTACTGGCTCCATGTATATAAATAATAGTTAATAAACAATGAAGTGCCTATTGTGTTATTGCATCGACTTTAGAAAGTTAGGTTTCCGAGACCCGACTCAGATAAGATAACTTATCTTACGGCATGTATTATACCATGGCTAAATATTTTTTATTAGAATGAGATGCACATCTTGAATTCGTTCGAAGCAGGCATAAAATTCTTTGTCACAGTATCAAAAATAGAAACAGTTCTCTGAGTACGAATGTTTTGAACAAAATGTGATGTAATGTAGTAAGGAATTATAGATAAATTTCTTATATCTTTTATTTCTAAATATCATCTTCGGTTAAGATTTCTCGTGATTTATTTTCATAGCACGCTGACTCTAAATTTGCTAATTCACATTGTCATGAGCAACTTAACTGAAACTGCAATTCAGAGTATTTAATCAACATCACTTATATAATTCTTTTAACATGAAAAAAAGATGGAAACACTGGTTTTATATTTAGAGCTAAGTAGATAATAATAAGATACTTGCAGTCATGAACAGAGGGACAAATTAAAAAAATATTCTAATATTATAAATAGTAGAAATGATGACGCGTACGAGTCTCCTTCTGTTAAATGTACACACGAATAGAGAATTCAAAGGAAGCAGAATCACATGTAATATGTGGGCCCTGAGTAGCAAAAAAACTGATTTGTTTAGAAAAAAAATAGTAGCAGTAGCAGTGGTAAAAGGTAAAGTTAAAATAGTATAATAAATAAGAGTGAGTGAGTTACCGTTCCTGCAAGATGTTGGCGAGTTCCTTGCTGAAGTCGCTGCCTTGCTTCACGTAACGCCGCAGCTCGTCGAAACCATTCTGAGCCTGGAACACACACGACTGGACATCATCACGCTGCTCCAGGGAATCATACTAGTATAACTATGTACTACTTAACGATCAATAAAAATGTGATTAATTGCTGGTGAACAAGTTTATACACGTAACGAATTCATTATTTAACCCAATCATTATTAATATTACGTTTAGGTGAATGTTATATCAACATTTTCTACACCACTACATTTTCATGTCATCTGTTGGTAAGAAGTCGTAGTTTCTAACGATTGAAGAAATACATGTAGCGACCTGTTTGCATTATGTTAATGAGAAGAAATCTCAATTATGACAAAGAAGATCAGAACGAGCGGTAATATTGTCAGAGTTATTAAACGCACGCGAGGATACTCGACCGTTGGAAATAATTACATGCGAATGTTTGCGTCCCCCGGCCCCCCGCCCCCCGCCCCCGCGCCGTACACTATAGTACGCCGACCGCTATTAGACCGTCAAATGGTTATTAAAACGGAAACAAAAGTTATTAATTTTTTGCAACTGGACTTCATATTAACGACTTATATTCGGATAAAAATTTCCAAAATGTTTAATCATGCAGAAAATATGAAAGTGCGACGGAGATTTGAACACAACTTTTAATTTATTCAAAAAAGTGTGTAAGATCGAAATAAATGTTCCATGTAAAACAAGAACTTCCGCGTAATATAATACACTGACCAAATCATATTTAATTTGAGAGTTCTAAATCTTTACCTGACAGATATGAGTTCAAGTTAGGTGTCCGAGGATATCAACTTCGTTATGGCAACATTCAATGCTCACCTACTTCAAAACGAAACAACAGTGTGACAGATATTTATAATTGTTATTTGCCTGTTACCTACGTGAAAAAGATAGTCACTTTGATGAGAGATACATAATACCAAAGAATTAAATAACTGGTCCAGAAAACGGTAAAATGTATTTGGTAAAATTATATTAACTAAAATAATTATAGTTAGGAATCAACTTTAAAAAAATATAGTTTTTTGTGAGCAGTGACAACAATACGTAATGCTATACCTACACTGATTATTATGGTAACAGAAGTCATTTTATTTCAGCTTCTTATGCTTTCACATAATAAAAATTAACAACTTACCTACTTTCTATTTTTTATGTATTACTGGTGTAACTTTTTAAATGATATATTTTACATAGACGTTTGTTTTTTGCAACGTTGTATATATTATGTGTTATATATGTATCTACATAGTTTAAATTCGGTACTCGGTAGATAGTCCCAGATAGTGTAGTTCCAAGAACGTGTCCGCGACACTTACACTTACTTAATATCCATTTCTCTTACAATATAAATAATTCACATCACTTCATACAAATGTTTCTCTATCCGTCAGTCACGACTCACACACACACACACACACACACACACACACACACACACACACACACCGCCGGCCGGCCGTCAATGATTAAACAATTACTTTCTTCACGCGACAACTTTCTCTGTAATCAAAATACGAGCTAATCTGTTGGTAACTACGATCCAGTTTTGTTCGTCGCGGGTTTAGCTCGCGTTGTTCATGTTGAATGTTAAGGAGCGCCATCATCATCAGCTCGAGTAGATATTGACAGGCGGGCCCGGGGCCCGAGGCCGGCACGCGACCACATGTATCATGACGACTGACGGACGAGGCCTTCTGGGACTGCCCCAAACGACCAATGGGATCATATCACTATTGTTTTTCTTTATATAAAAATATATTTATATTGAACATATCAACTAAATAATGAATCGATCGTTAAATTGAAATGAAAAATAGTCAGTAAAAAACATTTTGTATGACGATTGATAAAAAATAAACAATGTAACCTTCATTGACTACTCAACAATCAACATAGAACACGTTACAAACTTTTCTTTTAATTTCCATTAGATCTAGAAACCTTGGAATATTTGAAACTATGTTCTAAACATAGAATGTATATAATATAATGTACCTAATATAATATGTAATGTACATCGAGTGTGAGATGTTGTTTGTGTGGTGACTGCTGCCAACTATTCTGACGATACGTTATGTGAGGAGTATTCTCTGACGAGTGAGCGTCGTCGTGAAGGTGAAGGACTCGACTCTCGTCCGTTGGCAACACGACCCGCGACCATCATACACACGCTGTACCTATACACACGCTTGATAGATACAGTACATGAACGTACGTTGGATATGAAAACGGTAGTCGGAATACTCATTAATGGTCGTTACAGAGCTGGTTCGACTAAGTTTTTTTGTCACGTAGGTTTCTCCACAGTGGACGTGTGGACTCGATACTAACACGTTCGCATACGCTGACCACGCGCTAACAATACATTAATTAATAATACCGACGGATATTTTATTATTTATAATACAATTTACAAGGTCAAACGGTCGGTCGGTGCGCGCGGCGAGTGTTGCCTACATTAAATAAAGTACCTTCCTTTAACATTACTAATAATAATATGTTATAATTACTGCGTTCATTACGTCCCATATATGTACATAACATAGTGTTTGTCACTTCACAGTTCTTACACACACATATTAAATATCATTATTATAATAACCAATAACGTTTTTCGGCCCGAGGCTCTTGTGCTCTACTTTTTTCCAATAGATCCGATTGACTTTCTCCGAGGCTTCGGGCAATGGTTACAAACTACCAAACCATAAATAAATACAAAAAATTACTTTGTTTTCTAGAACAGTTACATAAACTGATGAAAATTATGTTTTAAAACGATCGATATTAAATAGTTGAATACAATTTTCGATTAAGTTTATAAATGTACCTAAAACAAGTTGTGGTCCAGTAGATGTTGTGCAGATGTTTCAATCATTAATTTCAAAAGAGTTTAGAGAACGTCGTCCGATCAGTGAATCTGTTGCGACACTAATAATATTGAGGAATCACGTCTCTAAACAAATACACCGAGTGTTACGGACACTCAGTCGGTCACTCCCCTCAAAGGCCGAAACATATTTACTTTACTACTGATAATAATCTTGTCTTTTTGTCAAGTCACTGACAACATCGCTTATTTCAAAACCATAGGGTTTCAATATATTATGTAAAGCTGCAAAAGTCAGATAATTACTGGACTCCCTTGACACAATTGGACGTTCTCTCACCGTGGAACCTTTCACTCTTTAAAGTTTCGTTGATTGAGTAAACTTTTACCCCAATTAAGTCACTTTCACTGCACAGATGTAACTCGACGCGCGCATTGTAATGACGTTATATATATTAAACGATTACGTAAAACATGCATCATCACAATACATACTTAATACGGAGATGAACATTGTTAACGGATATATCATACAAGTTTAATTCAGTTTACTTTTTTATATTAATCTGACGTTGAATAAGTTCGTGATGCTATACTGAGCCGTCCTGTCTGTTCTGATAGATATCATAAGTCGTGTGTTACCCAGTAGTTGTCTTTGAAGACGTGGTTGCTGGAGGACCGGAGGTGCATCATATCCTCCAGGGTGGTCTGCCAGCGATCCATGCCGGCCGCTATCTTAGTAGACACGTCGCGACTCACGCCGCCCTCGCCCTCCGCGCGCACATCACACCCGACGCTCCTCGGGACGGCGGACCCGCTGGAGCTGCTTCCACTGGAGCTCCTGGAACAGACATACAAACATACATAATGTAATAGTAATTATGTAAACGACCTTCACGACACAGAACCAATCAGAGGCTACATTAATTCACAACCGTCCGCAATGAACCGCTTTCTGACTCACACTTCCTCTAACTCTTATAATCGATGACTATTCGAGGGTTCGCGTGAAATATAACGTTTAATGAGCTCACAGAACCGGAAGAGATCCTCCTCACTGATTGATTGTTAATATATAGTTACATATACGAGACAGATGTGGCGCTCAAGTTCATAATGACAATATAGATCATAAACAAGCTGCCAAAATTAATAAAACTGTAATCTGATATAATAAGGACACGAGAGAAGTTTTTTAATTTAGTTCTAAGAATTGAGCGAGTAATCGAAGGCAGCTGTCAATTGGAATTATAAGCATGACATGTCGAAAGTAATGTCATTTAGACAGAAATTAATTAATAGTTGATACAAAGCACACAGAGTCACACGTACCTAGTACCTACCTAGTAAAGACGGCGGGCGATCATTTCATAACCCGCCATAATGAATGTTCGACTAATCTTACTCGGCAGTCGGCATGATGACTGCCGGCCGTCAGGTAATGACATTTAACTTGGTTTCAACGGATTATACAGAAACTTGTTTTGATAATTAAAATAAAGACGGTTAGTAGAAGTATTGATCTCTGTTAGGTGATGACTGATATTAGTGAGTTGTATTGTGACTGTTTTAATATAACCGAATGATTCACTCCACTGCTGAGATGAAGTATAAAATATAGAATGTAAAATGTTATGTTAATATGTTTTATGGACAAAATCATTTAATATATAAGCTTCTATAGGATTTATTACAGCTTTGTTTATTTTGTTTAATGAAATAGAAAATCAAATTATTAAGATGCATCTCAAATAAATCTTCAACAACGTCCTTCGAACTTTATATCTAATGTTATTGTACGAGTTTAATATTTTTTTTAAGACCGCTCTGTCTCTGACTTAATAAATATTCACTGATAGCTACGATTTCTGACGTCATATTGTTTGTTTGATATAATGATTCAAAGAAATAGTTTGACTCAATTTATATTCAAACAAACTATCTACATATTTTTTTATATTTGAATACAAATTTCTCTAGTTAGCAATGAATTCATTATAACACAAACCCGGCGGACTCCTACAAGGCTGTATGTATGTCTATGTATGTATGTAATTCAACGTAAAGTTATAATGATCATTATCTTCATACACAGTGTGTCTTTTTCGCAATTAGTGATATAATATTTTAATTTCATTCACTGGCTTAATAATAATTGATTGACCGACTTTCATTTGTATCATGAAAGCCTAGTTTTTTGAACGATGTTTTTTAAGACATGTCTCTTCAGGTATTCGGCTATGTTTAATTTGTGTCTAGTGTCTTGGGAAATATTCGTTCAGGTAACAATTATACAAGCAGTTATTGGCATTTAGTTATGTCGAAACCGCGATAGTATTAGAAGATTTGCGTGTTGTTGTAGTGGACGGTGGTCGGTGGGTAGCTCACTTGTTGTTCAACATTCTGTGACGTAATTGACGCGAGGAAACAGAACGAACATGGAGCCTGGCTCGGAGGAGGAGAGAGTGCGTACACTGTTTGATAAAATACTGAATCATTATACCGCTGTTTGATGAACAAACATGACGAACCTGCAATATGATAACTCACTGATAATAAACGTGGAATGTTTTTAAAGAATCGCTCCACTCATTACAATATGGCGACGCTTATATGAAAATCTCGGGGCTATTTCGGTATACGTACATATGTACATCAGTATGATCTCTTTCAATTGGGTATTTTGATAACTAAATAAAAATTTGTTGTACTAAATAACTTAGACTGAGTTCATAATAATTTGGCGAGGCGCCACGACGCGACGCGGGAATGAAACGGTCTTTACAAAAACAGTGTGTAACAGTGCGTATTAATAATGTTATTATTATAGTGTGTATTGTGTCTCCGGTCCCCCACAGAGAGCGAGTGCCGAGGCTGACCTGCAGCTAGCTGCTGGCTATGTGACACAATATTTATCAACACATTATGACATCACACACGTAACAGACACCGGCCAGATCAATTTCATAACGAACGTATCTACTGAGACTGTACTGCTACACATAGAAATGTGACTCCTAGATACACTTTGCGCAATCTACGACTACCAAATGGCCCCCTTTATATTTATAACACGAAATTGTAAATTCAATAGGAGCGGTCGAGAGCACGAGAGCACGAGACCTTGTATTAATTGTGTATAAAGAATCTTTTAAAAATGTAAACAATGAATTTCCTTTATGTCGAAACGAAGGTGAAGTCAGGAAACGCCGATTACTTATGATAACTGGTCGTTATATTTAAACTTATCAAATTGAAATCGACCCCGTTTACTTTATGAGGTCGTAAGTAACGTCGGTACTGATTGTTACGAGGGAAACCTCGCCTGGATCGTGTCAAGACGACAATCGATTTACGATATCGAAAGTGTTGCTGATCCCAACGAGCGGTCAGAACAGACACTCAGATGACTTTCACTGAGACGTCACGAGCTTGAGATGAAAACAGAGGAGGCTGTGACTACTACATAGTACATATAATAGAAGTTAGAGATTACGATAAAATACATATTAGGTCACGAGTTACAATAACAAAAGAATATTAATAAGAACGTTCAACGGCGATGATGTCATACTGGTTAATATAAAAAATATATAAAAATACGTGAATTATAAACGATCAGAGAGTACAACGAGATAAGTATATAACGAGCATTCGTTCATTGAAATAAAAAGTATAATGTTAGAGTAGGTATGATTTATTTTGTACGTTAAGTGTGACGGAAGATTATTATTTTTATTCAAAAAAACCAGTCTCAAATAATATATTAAAATTTCTAAGCTTCGACAATCTCCATGTAAGTAAGTATATTTGCACGTTTTGATAAACATGTTTTATTTATTTAGAGTCGAGATAAAACCATGAGAAATTATAACAGCGATATAAATATCGGAGGTCGAAGAAATAAAAAAATAATTTATTTACGTGCTTTTTGATATCCGTTCTCTCGACTGTCTACCTACAACCTACTACCTACTAGCTAGTGTTGAACGACCTTGGGGTTCATTTAACGCTGGTCGACTCATTATAAAGCTTTTAATTTCCTCGTCATATTCGACACCGACCAGGGTCAGAATACACAACAAACGAAACAACTACACCTTGATATTAAAGCAAAAACTCAATGAAAAAAACAGTGAAATTGTTCAACTACTTTGAACAGAATTTCCATTACAATATATAAAACATTTACATATTAATAATATTAATTTGGGATCTCCTATAAACGATTAAAGAACCAATATTAATTTTATTAACAAAAATATAGTCTTTTTATATCGAATTGAATGTAGATCTCCGTGATGAATATGTTATAGCTCAAAATAAATTAATTAAGGTTTTATTCAATTACAATTACAATTTTTTAACGTCCTCCCAAAAAATTTATAAAGATTTGAAACTTATGACTATTTCAATACAACATACGTATCAATACAACACTTGCCTACTAATAAGAAAAATTCTAAATAAAGACATCCACAAACAAATAACTTTCACAAAAAAAACACCAAATCCAAACAAAAATGTTACGACGAGCAAATGACATAAATCTACATGCCCCACGAACTAATTACGGAAAAAGAAATTTAATGTATCAAGGTGCTCAGTTCTACAATAAACTCCCATCAGATATAAAACATGCTAAATCTTTGTCTACATATAAAAGACTTTTAAAATTCCATATTTTAAAACAAAACAAATAATAATATAATAATAAAATCTTCATAATAAAAAGACGCTTCCAGTTACGCTCACTCTATGATGTTTGTGTTTTGTATGAATAATGTTTTAACTTTACCCTCTGTTTTTGTTAAGGCTAGCCAATTATATAAAAAAAATTTAATGTACCTTATAGTTTCTCCTAAGTGAATTTTATTCTTGTGAGAAATTAATAAAGATATCTCAAACCGTAAACCGTATATGATCGTAAGAAATTCGATGAAAGCAAAACATAGTAAGTGGGTATATAAAGGTAAATAAAGAGAACCTCTTGTTTGTCTTGCTTTGCTCTTATTTAAATCAGGTCCGATAAATATTACTTGTATGTTCATATCTCTATATATGTACCTTCGTTAACTGTTCTGAGGGTAACGGAATCATTGTTTTCTCATATAAAGTACTGGTGCTGGTCACACATCAAAAGATTGTTCTCGCCGTGATTACAGTGAGGATGAAGCGTGGCGGCTGGCGGTGCGATGGACCGCAGCATCCAGCGACACGGTCCACGAGACCGATCATACATATTAATAGTGTGCCAGGAACTCGTAACCATATTTCACCACGACTATATCTCTGAACAAGTACAACCCAATGATTGCTTTTCAAATATCTTAAGGTTTTAGGAAGTAACCAATAGTGTCAGAACTTTTAACCAACGAACACTATTTATATAAATATCATTGTAACGTACCTACACAAACCATACAAATACATGAGTTATCAAAACAGCACACGCCACTTGTATTGTTACTTAAACAATCGACCGTTATTAAACTATATACAACGTTAAGAATCTTCATACATTTATTATTAAAATACATTTAAAGTGTACCAGATATTAATGTTCAGAGTTGTATAACACTGACGTCACAGCGCACGCGGACATTCATTATATTGAGATCGTAATGATCTACATTTTAAAGAACTTATACTTTATAAATTATTAGTGAAGTGTTCGCGGTGTGAGTGTCTCCAGTGCGTCGGACGGACAACCTTCCAAATACGTGTTATCATTAAATAAAAAATAAAAGCTTGATCCAGTGAAGGTCGCTTGACATTTACAGAGAACATCGGCGGTTACCGAGAACACGAAGAGGCTAGATGGATTATATTAAAACTAACACGACAACAATAATGTATTATAAAAAGAAATGTTTTTCTCTGTCTGTCTTCTACTTATTAGACTGTTTGAGAGTCTGATTTATACATATAAATAAGACATAAAACAATGAGTAACAATTATTAAATATAATTCGGTTGATCAAATATATGTAGTTGGAGTTATAAATCTCATACATTAATAATGAAAACCAACCAAGGAAAATATACAATTATTATATAATGTTGGACTATTATAGTGTTTATAAAACTATTGTTTTCTGCCGTGAGTATCGACACTCAATAGAAAATATAATTAATTAATATTCATATACTAGTTCTTGCCCGCTATTTCGTCTGCGTTAGTTTTAGAATTAGAAATGTAAGTTTTTTCGATCAAAGGGGATGTAAAGTATCCTTTGTTCGACTCCAGGTTCTAAGCTAGCTCCTCACAAATTTTCAGCGAAATCCGTTCTCGATATATAAGTAGTTTAACCGCTGTCAGCTAGTCGTCACTTGGCCGCATCTGTTTCGTGGTTCTCCTGTCATCCATCATCTAGATGATGAGCGAACTCTTCATTGACCCTCACTATAAAGCTCATGAATATTAGTTATTTAATATCGGAGAGGTTTTTCCTTTCATTTTAATTGCTCGTCCGCAGAGCGGAGGCCGTCGAGACCTTGTGAAGCATCATTTGAATTTCGCTCGATTAATGTTTCAGTTCATAATGTACAGAGTTACTCTTTAGTTTTATATATGTACTTATAATATTTTTAATGGGAACATTAAAGAAGACTTTTAAACTTATTAAATCGTGATCGTTTTACTTATAAATAAAAATAATGAAAATAAATACGAGACCTTTATATATTTTTTCAGTATAATTTTCTTCATGACGTTCAACTAGTTTTTCCAATAATAATAACGATATAAAAACAACCTATTACATAACATAATGATATGTCTTCATCTTATTGTTGTCAGTGGGTCGGTGATGAAGGAAGTCATCATCAACTAACGGTCAGCTTGTTAACAATCAGACTAGTGTCCGATTTAATCAAATTGTATATAACTCGAACAACGCTTATCAACTGAAAATCACGTAAACGTCGCTTCGTTGTTAATTTCCCTCGAAAAATATTATTTACATTGGATAAAACACTATAATCATAATAACTGATATTAATGAGTCAGGAAACTGAATCACACAGACTTATCAAAGAGGATTATCAAAGGAGTGATCGCAGAAAGTAATTCCTGACTGACTTATTGGCTCTGACCCACAATTGACCCCAATAGAAAGGTCGCGGTAATTAAATTATCACTGTCATCCTAACTGGCACGGTGACTGACTCGGGACGAGCGTGTGTCCTAACGAGACCACAAACATCGACACGTAGCCTTTATAATACTTTTATATGTATAACACATTGTTTGGTATGAAACAGCTCAGTGAGAGCTGTCGGTCAGTAATCCAATGCCACGCCGGGTCATCAACCAACTGGAAACCAGTTCAAAGGTATCGATAACGAGAGAGGTTTCAATGTATCGTTTCTACTCTCATTTCTGACCCCTCACTGTGTCAGCCTGGTTCCCAGTTTATGTACCATAAATGACCTCGTTCTCGTGATCCGATGCTTCTTATACTTTTCCAATGGTTTACAAATTTTAACATCAGTCTCTAATTTGTTTAAGACCACGTCTATTCGGAGAGTTCCTTAAGTAAACGTCATTCATTATCCGGTCCAGGTGACTCTCCATCCTGTCGTTTCCAATCAACATCATCAACTCAAGCGATCACCGAGACAGAGGATGTTTTCCGGTCCGCACGGTGTAATCAATATCTGTATCTTCCCCAAATAAAAGGTGCGCTTATCAATGAATACCGAACGAATTAAAAAGAAGGCAGTTATATAAAGTAATGCAAAAAAATCCTCGAAATTTAGTATCGGTGTTATATCAACTATTCACCATAGCACGAACAAACAGCGATAAAATTGATAATTCCGTTTGTCCTACATTTATAACTAAAACAACGACAACTGCGTATAATGAAATCGGGTATTACAATCGAGGCTGGCTTCCTGGCTCCGGAACAATGGCGAGTGGCGACCAGTAGACTACACAATGACAACAGTACATAGACTACACTCACCAACTGACGCTGGTAGATGGTTGGGCTTCAACGAACCACTACGACCTCACGAGGAGCGGTACTGGCATAGTCTCCGTGTGGCTTCATAGAAAATATTACACATCATTTCAACATATCTGTCATTGTTTGTTTTTAATTGCGAAAGCCTTGAACATCATACGGATGAGATGCCCTTAACGTATCTCGTGTCTAACGATCTGATGCAGGCCAGCCAATGACTTCTTATCATAGATTACAGAATTTGCACAGTTCGATTAGAAAAGTTTCTCAAAGCACAGTCATCGTTTGACTCAGAATAATACCATAATTATTTTTTATTCATAATAAAAATCACATTCCACGCGAATGGAGTCAGTTGTTAGACAAAGGCAACATAAAAAATATATATTATGAAGAAAATAATGAGATATTAAACTTAAAATAAACAGTAGAACTAATAGATAAATATCTGTAGGAATTTATAATTTAATATTCGTCGACCGTTAAGTGCTCATCAATTAATTAATGATTATAAATTGTCTTTAACATTATAGGAATGTGTTTTAAATGAATCCAATAAGTACTCATGTTCTGTGACAAGTTTAATTATTATTTTATTCGTTTGTCGGTTGTCGGATGTTGTTCTAATGATTTACAGTAACTATATAAAAGTTAAATAACCGTTACTAGTTACAACTGGCGAGACTGACTCCTCTATTCGTTGTTAGTTCTATGTTACATTCCGGTGCGATTAAATGGAAATTTATTTTTCATTCTTTACTCATATAAATGTCACCTTCAATCCTATCATACATATTATATACTCGTTGTTCGCTCGTGTACTGTCTGTCTGTACATATATATTGTAAATATTGTTGTAACAGTAGGCAGTGGTTATTAATGGAAAGCGAGGTGAAACTATTGACATGCGACAGTCGTTTATTACAAGCGAGCTATCAAAGCGTGTTGTCGGTGTGTAATGACGGTGTTCAGTCTATTACTACTAACTGTTTCCTAGTAACTCATTTCACCGTAACTCTTGGACTGCAAACTAACGTATAAAAAACCTCCTCCCACTTCACCGGTTCGAGTCTGAGGTATCGACCAACGAGCGGAGACGATAAATCTGTTTTTCCGTTAAAATCCATAATGAACATACTTGGTTTGTTTTCTACTGGTATTTAGCGGCGCTCGAGGTGACACAGTTGTGTACATAACTGACTATGTTAAGTATTATTGTTATGTAAGTGTCCCTACCTCCTACCTACTACCTACAGAGACGTGTTGCATACTTTGTAAGGTTCATCACAGCGGTTGAGAGACGCTCAATGAAGTTTGTACAAGTGCTCTTCAGATGAACGAGTGTCACCTGTAGGTACTGTGTAATATGTAATGCTGAGTATGGACTGTGAAATTATTCTATTATATTATCATTTATTTCCTATTTTCTTTTAAAATTCGACTCTTAAGTTCAATAACACTTCAGAGCAAGTTATTAATAAAAGTAGTCATAGCTCTATTTAATTGATGTGATTTTGTATGACGTCAAGAGAGAGAGAGTGAGAGGTACCTAATTAAATAAATATGTAAGGTGTGTGGTACAACTGAAATGATTGAATGAGGACAGAATGAACTAATGTTGTATCCTCATTAATATTTAGTACAGCACAAACTATAACACGAACAACTGAATACACTCACAGTTGTTGTATAAAGTTATTAGTTTATGAAAGTATCGACTTCTGTATAAATAAAGTAATTTATAGCTTACATTGAAACAAGAAAACAAGTCTTATTTAGGAGTGATTGGAATCAATAATTACGAAAATTATTTTAACCGCCACCGAAATATAAAGAACATATCTTAAATGACAAGGTCCTCGGATGACGTCGGCGAGATAAGAAACGCCGACAAGCGATTGAGAGCCAGGTGACTTTATAGGATGGAAATAAAAATTATTACTTATAATGTGTCCACACAAATAATAAATAGCAGTCGACCACCTTGAAGTACAGTCTTAATATTAATATCGGTGAGAGTGTGGAGGGATCCCTCCCGCGCTGGTAGGACAGGCGGACAGGCGACGGATCATCGGAGCATTGGGAACGGACGAAAACGACATCGACTGGGAATCGACCTAAATAATAATCATTGAAGACTCTTCACGTGCAGGAAGGAGACTCAAACATTACGTACACGGTACAAGAGTTTTAGTAGACTTCGTATAAATGTTTACTTTACTGCTTTTAGCTCTCTCATTCTTTAAAGTCGTTCTACTGAGCAGCCTCCCTCCCTGATCACATTGAACCTCAAACACCACCTACAGTATATAAAAGGATTTCCAAACGGACATTATGTACTTTCTTTTTCACGCAGAACGCTCTTGTATTCTAAGAGTGTATTAAAAAGTAATTTTATGTAATACTTACAACTTTAGAATTATAATGTTCACGACGCAGAAAGTTTTGTATTTTTCGCGTTACACGTTAGGCATCTTTTTATAGAAAGTGATATGAACAAATTTTATGTTACACAATATATAATACGTACTATAATTACCTTTTCAATAAATTAGGCATCTTCTTAGTGGCCCAAGGGGATTCTTGTTAAACCATTATTCTTTTCGTATTTTACAATATATTAATTAAACTATTTCAACGGAACAGAACTTGAAGAGTTGTTTGTGAGGGTAGCACGTCAGGGCTCCAAGGCTCCCAGTAATACACTGTGACAGACGGTCGCGGGTCGCGGGTCGCTACTCGTCCCGTTATCTCGGGTATCTTTGAACAACACGTCAATCACACGGACGACAAGAGAATTATCTCACCTGATACACCTGATCGCTCACTGCAGCATCACGTGGAATATATAGAGAGAAAGTTGACAATTGGAGGGTAGTTGGAGCTATCATATTATAATAAACTATCAAAGATAGAGAAGAACATTTTGAAGGAGTGAGTCTTGTCATGACCTACCTACACGTTGGTAACAAATGGACGATGTTTCATCCTCAAGACAACATTGGTAAGATGGCTCATTAACAGCTATACTATGTACGGACTATGGTTTATATATGAACTTTCAATATGGCAGTACCTCAAAGTAAATCCCGCCAATAGTTTTCAGTTTCTCTTAAGAAGGGGTGAGTGTAATCTCCGGAAGCTTTGCTCGTTTTAACTCAACTCTGTTACTATAACAAGTAAAGTAACTTTTCAATACAAACATATCTCCTAATGTTGTTACTTGTACAAGTGTTTGTTTGTTATCTCTATATAATAAACAATCCGGCGGGCGGCGGGCGGCGTGAAGCGTGAGGCGTCCCTACACACATTGTTATTGGCGTGAGAAATAAAAAGTTCCTAACTATATTTAACTCTGTTTTTAAAATAACACGTTTAATACATTCTAAAATGAATATTTTGTTGTTCTTGAAAGCAAATATTTATGCTTAAAATTTGGAATCTTCAACTATACTACCTCTTATATTTATGCCTATTGCTCCATCTACATATACTGTAATAAGTAATTGACTTTTACATTAATAATTTTAAACAATTTGATCTGTACCGAGTGCGATTTTAGTTTTTCTCAACCGAATTAATATTATAATTGAAAATTTTATACAACACAATTTATAAACTTCTCAAATCCTTAATAACTAAATGAAACGACTAACTAGTAAAGTACAAGTAAGTCTCTGAGTGGTCATTAATATAGTATGATCGTCTTGTCGTCCCATTCACACACCTGTCATGTGAGTAATGAGTCGTTTTATGTCTACCTGCAGTATAAATACATACATACATACATACATACATACGTTACGACAACGTACAACCGAAACGGAGCACATCTGTGGGTACCGAGTTGTTTTTAGAGCGAATAAAAATTAATAAGTGGTGGCATGGCGACGCTGCTTTGACTAATTATAGTATTTATAAACGATTACAACTAACGACTATCTTGTATAATAGAACTTATATATTGATTGTTTTAAATAACTTTAATGTTACGCTGAATAGACACAGAGCGTTGGACGGTAGTGATTGAATATAGAAAATATAAAGTTATGGAATTATTTATAATATGTATTAAATCAACTCACGTAATGTCAACAACCCAACGAGTTAACTAGATACCAATAAGTCAGGTATTATTAACAAATACATACCGAAAAAACGAAAGCCGCTGCTAGCTCAGTGTTCACAGTTTAAATCCACTCACAAGCCCGGGGGCTGGTATAACTATATTTCACTTGGTTTTCTCAGCGGGAAAACTAATGAATTATCGTATTGGCACCGTTGTATGAACGGACACGACCCGACACGGACTTGAAACACATTCACCCTCGATGGGTGTCGACTCACGACTGACTACTGACTACTGTCTACTCGGTGCTCACTACTGAGTACAGTCAGTGAGCGTCAGCGAGGCTGATCATTCACGCTCACACTCACAGGCACACTGCACAGTCACAAACAGACGGCGGCGAGCGCCGGTCGTACAACAGCGGCCTGCGCCCGCGCACCACCACTCGCACGCCATACCTCTGACCGATTCTCCTCGGTCGTTGTAACAATGTAATATGTATGCCGCTCGTAACACCTTCTTAATATGTAACAAAGTAACAACTAACGCCGCTGACCGCTGACCGCTGCTACATTAGTAATAAGTAATTTAACTAAAAGCTACTTACACTGGTAGGACACAACTCACTAGTTACGGCACTGTCATCATGTTTAAAAACAAACGTTATTGACACTGTCATGTGGAAAGCGCTCGTAATTGATTTATTTACAATATTGAAAAGTAAATTTATTGAAGCTTAATAAAATTTTTACTAGCAATATAATAAAATTTTAATTGAAATGGATAGAAAACGTTCAAGTTATATATCAGGCAAGGGAAAGATTATGGATGACATTAAAAAAGCCAAAGGAGATTGTGAGGATTCAAAGAGCAGCTCCCACACAAAATATTTTCAAAGACTGAAATATACAACAGATTATAAAAGAATAACTCGGGACGAATACTTAGGATATTCGGAATCAATATCGGGTTCATCTGATACTTTCGGCTGCTTGCATGGACCGGAAGGAAAGCAGTACTCAACGGAGGCAAAACTTAAAAGAAATTTAATAAAAGAACTAGATCCTGTACCGGTCGGTAAGGTCACATCGATTAAAGTTACTATAACTTAATTACTTTTAAAATAAGCTTATTAAAACTCCTCAATATACCAGTTTAATTAAATTGTAAACGTTCCTTTTTCCTCTGTGAAATGACGCTTAGATAAATAATTAATAAGCGAGATATGGAATTATTATTAATTCGATGTACCGTTGTAAAATATTTGTACACAAACATGGGGACGCTATGATATAACAACGGAGAGCGAGAAGACATGACACTTTTAGAATTTGTGTGTAAATTATGAAGAGAAATTTGGTGACAATAAAATGATTTCTTTCCATACGCACTCATTTATAGTTTCTGAAAAGGACAACACGTACAACTTGCAAAAGTAATACGCAATCCCTTTTGCAGTCAAAATCAAACTTTCCTTAACCCACATTCCCTTTAATTTTGAATGACACTTAGTTGTTAGATTTCTCGCACTGCGCCGACGTCGACTGTTTGACCTCAAATACTTTCATTGTTATCATGTTCATAGCAGATCCGTGCATTATATTTCCATTAAAATTTAATAATTTGGTTTATATACAAACATGTTTCCAAGATTGTTATTTAAATTCACATCATCTTCAGCTCCACCCAATTGAAATGTGACTGCCGGCCGCCTAGTTTAAATTATTTGTCAACGTTTCCTTCCTATTTATAATCAGTTAACAAATTGTATTATCACTACATTTATACAACATATAGTTAGCGTAATCAATAATTTTTATGTTCGTGCACTACAAACTATATTTCAACAGAGAGTTTTCCATGTGTGTTACTAGTGAAGAGTTAGTTTATAGTCATCTCTCACGATCAATCACAGCTTGTTCACAATTTTCATTCCTCTGTAGGTCTTCATGGAGATGTTGTAATTAATTCTTGTTCTTGACCAGTCTAAGACTAAGTCCAGTCTAAGTATCTCGGTTGGATTTACAAGATTCCTCGTTTTCTTCTTCTCGTTTCTCATGCCTCATGCCTCATTATAAACATTTTATTAAACTTGTAAATGATCACAAGTATCACTACTATACGTGCATACAATATAGCATTTTACTCGCCTTTTCTCTCTTCATAGGATTTCCAATATCGTTTTAGAAAGTTTTGGAGACCTGGAGGCTCGTGTGCGAAATACGAAACATGGATCAGCTGGCGACTAATGAAACTTACGAGTATCATTCTCAGTACTGTCTCCTAGTACTCATGATGGGGATGAACCTGACAATTTCGACTAGATTCGCATCGATTGTTATTGTGCTGGCGCTTCTATTTCTTATAGTGTAGTAATTTCTGGTCATTCTAAAACATATTCCTTATAGTTATACTGTGACTATACATACATACATAAAGTAATTCAAACAGCAACTCCCCGCGCTCCTTTAGTATTCTACTTGTCCGCTATTTCCTTACTACGATATTTAGTAACCTGATACTTATATTAAAATAAATATTGTGTTCATATTCAGAGAAAACCTGGTGTCGCATTATATTTGGAATTCAATTATATGTAGATTTGGATTTATGCCTCTTCTCTTTAGTCAAATTTTAACCTTATTATGAAAGATTCTTGTTAGATATATGTAACCTAATTGAAGTTATATATTTTGTAGCCCGTGCCTGGACGGACAGATGTCCTCCAGCTCTAGGATGGGAGATAGTGGAAACCTTAGAGTTCCTTGTTACTGATCCTGTGGGATGCGACTATGTCGACAGATTGGAAATTCATCTCCGTGATTTTGCAAGGACTGCTCGTTCAGGTTATGTATCCTTTTAACCAGTGTCCTGCCCATGTGACTTTGCATGCGAGTGTTAGAAAGATTTCCTTACAAGCGTTCCTCAGAAAATAGACATATTGAATAGTTTTTGTGTCATTATGGACTTCCTCGTGGAAAACTTAAATCTGAAACCTTGTTTGAGAGAAGGTACGATTCTACTCATGAAAAATATGGATAAACCAATTTTATTAAGAGTGGCATCAGATGTCGTAAGTCAATTTGAACAACTGCAGCATTATATCGGCTTTCTAGGTAATGATTGTACCTATATTGCACTGAACTGTGGATAAGGACTCATTCAGATGTTAGTAACAATTAACTTCCTACAATATTTTGAGGGTACCTCATGGTCCGTGTGGAGGACGAGGACATGTTCGAGCTGGTGTCTCGAGGGCTCCTGTGTCAGTTGTCAGCTCGACCCCGCCAGGCGAGGTCAGCACACGCTGAGAGCGGTGTCTCTCTGAGGCACGCCCTGCTAGCGGCCGCGTCTCCTGCTCTGTACCGTGTCATAGTCTCCACGCTGGCCGTCGCCTCCCCGACCAGGTTCCCGGCGTTCCTCCAGATAGCCTTGATACTCGCCAGTGCCTCTCCACAAAACTGTAAATTCTCTGTAGCCAATATTTTGCATTCCAAAACAGACTTTGAACATACGCAGTCATTTATTAATTTTGCAGGTATCGAGATGATCAAAGAGAATATAATTGAAAATATATTTTACCGTTTTAATCCATTTTACCCCCAACGTTTACCAGACCACGAGACTAATCCCCTCGATCCTCAAGATCAGAACATAAGACTCGGTTAACGATTCAACATATTTCTAATTATACTATGTAGTGGTTCGAGTGTGGTTTTCATGTGAGTGTGGTTTATATTTGAAACTCTTAATCTTTATATTATATTTCAATTAAACCTGTACAGGTGACAGCACCATCCACATGTCAAGTACTCTATCTCTGTTACTCATTCTGTTGAAACACTTAAAGAGTTTCGTGGACGAAAATGAAAATGAACGAAGGACGCTGCCTTGTCCGGACTTTTATTCGCAGAGGTTGTTACTTTGAATAATATTAACTAATAGGTGCTTATCAATATAATCATCAATCATAAATCTGGAATCTACAAGGTCTACGACGCCTTTTCAAAGCATCTCCAAGATTATAACCTTTCATAATTTGAAAATATAAATTGCCCTTCTCCATTATCTAACTCAAAAAAGATGTCTCACGAACTTCCAAATGACAAAAAATTATGTGTCCATAGGTACCATTACTGCAGCATACTACTATCCTTGATTGAAATATAAATTAAGTTCACAAACAGTTTCCGTAATAATTTTAAATGTTTTTAATGACCGGTTTTGTCAATTCTGTTCACTGTTTGGAATGGAGCGAGGAAGGTTGATCGACTTTCAATAAATTTTTCCTGAACACGTCATACCCTATGGCAAAGTAACATTTCTTTAAAATCCGTTTAATTTGTAGGTATTATATTTAATTACCATATTAAGTTTGTATAGTGAGGGTTACCTAAAAAATATTTGATCCCAATAAGGAGCCTTTACTCTCTTCAACTCAGTCTTTTTTCTTTCCTCTAGTCTTTTTTATTCTTATTTTTTATAGTTGTTTAATAAAATACTTACCACAGAATATTTCAAATTCTCTATAATATCTTACATGAACTATTATACGTTTTACAACTATAATTATTCAGGATAGGATAGGATAAAAATAATGAAAGTCAGAAGCAGTAGAGTAAACAGCAATCAGCAACAATGATTAATGTAATGAGTACGCAAGGTGCTTTATTTGGGCGTTCCGCTATGAGTGCCGGGCTCGTGAACACGGCCACGAGCGGCTCACGTTGACGGCCATAGCTTACACCTTACTACACTGTTACTTGGGAAGACTCGAGGCTTTCTCCACACTCTTGATGTCAGGTCAGTATTGTAACATACAACGACCAGGAAATGTTTACTATAAACTTTAATAAATAATATTACAGATATCATGACCCTATCCGTCTTTACCGAGATCCCTGCTAAAGCCAATTGGACCCGCACAGTGAACTTCAACACGGCACAACTAGACGTTCAGTTTAAGAAGCTTTTAATAAGCCTGTCCGTTGCTCTCCTTAAAGTCTTCCCTTATAACAGATTTGTATGATACGTCTGAGAAAATCCTTTATTTGGTTCCGTCAAACACTTGCTAAGAATATTTTAATAATTCCTCAGATGGTTGAATCTCAGCACTGGCTCTTGGGTTTGATGTTTCTATTAGACCCTGGTCTGTGTCATCTGAGAGCTCACTGGTCCCCCTCACTGTTTGCAGAACTTCGAAAAGTAGCCTTACAAGCGTTGGTTTGCACGCTACCGCTTATGAGAGATAATATTATCATCGAGTATGGATTAGTTAGGAGGTGATACAATAAGAACATATACTTTAAATTTAATGTTCAAAGCAATTCATTGTATTTTCAATAGTGTTTCAGGGACTTTATACAAAATATAGAGAACTGTTATGACGTATCAACGCGAGATTACAATGACTTTAAGTAACAACTAATGTGATATGTACAATGTAATGATTTCCAAATAGATTAATGTGGTACGTGGAGTGGTACTCTGAGAGTCCGTACGAGCTGCCGGTGTTGTACTGGTGTCTCCGTCTGCTACTTGTTTCAGCTCGGAAAGACTGCATCCAGGAACTGTTTGATACGCACGGATTGATCATACTGATACGTACGTAGTGGTGCGAGAGGATACTAAGAATTGGTCTGATATATTGTATATGCAGTAGGTGCATGTTATTTTATAAAACCAATACATCTGTCCAATTAAAATATATTCCCTTCGGTATTACAAAAACTAGAGTGAATATCTGTTGATATATCATTATTTGGCGGTTTTAAACTCTTTATAGGTGTTTATCTGAATTTTAATTTTTATGGCCATTACTGTATTGAGGGTTCTACCATGCAAAAATTGTGATTCCTTAAATAAAAGACAACGCTAAATAAAAATTTGAAATATATTTAATGTTATAGATACAATTATTCAACAAATAATATAAGTTTTTTGTACAGTTTTTTCAAGGCGAGTGTATGTATGTTCCAGACTTATGTTCAACGTTGTTGGACCAGCAGTGTCCCCCGGTCGTTCGCTCCCAGCTGGTCCTAGGGCTCGCTGTTCGTCTGTTGTCCTCGGCGGCGTCTAAGCGTCTCCAGGTCCGATGCTGCGTGTATCCTCTCATCATGTGGCCGGAGTCCGTGCTGCCTCTGGCCTCGCAGATGCTCGACGTGGCTCTGTACGCTCTCAACAAACAACATATCGTCAGCGACAGGTTACATCACATAACATGTTTATTATTGGGAGATTGTGTGAGTTTTACCAGCGACGTAAATATTGTTACTGTTATTGAAAGAGAAATAATGCAACAAATGACAGACCTGCGATGACGCTTATGAGTCTATCTGTGATGATGGAAGACAGTAGCTGACTTAACATTATGTTTATAAACAATGAAGACAGATAAAAAGATTTAACTAGTAAACTACTTCACAAACAGTGTAGTGATATCACAATAATAATAGAATTTAGAAAGAAAACTCAATTTTATGTTTATTTCTAGAAAATGTTTCTAGATAAGTCCAATAGATTTCTACTAATAATTAAATGGTTCTCAATAGAAGAAATACATTTTTCTTTGTTTTTTACCAAATGTCCCTTTTGTCTGAATGAAATCTCAAAATGAATTATGTGTACAAAAAGTGATAAACATAAAATAATATAAACCATTTTTGTTCAATGGTTAGAAACTCAATTAGGTTCTTCACGCGTGTAGATTGTTTTTTTAAGTTTGATGAAATGTAGTTATTTAATATTAAGTAAGCATGACATATATTTTTTATGACTAATTTATTAGAGGTGACGATGTACATATTACTAATCAAGGCTTATTTTTTTTAGATGGCTAATTTCAATATTAAATTTTATTTGGGAAGCCATTATTTGGAAGAACGAATACAGACAAAAATTCATCGCGTCTAATGGCATATACAATCTTTTGGATTTGATCACAGTAAGTAAATCAAAAAATGGATTAATGGTATTAATAAATTGTAACAAGTAATTAATTCATTGAAAGGATGAGTAACTAACTGTCTCAATGGCTCCCTTCATACATGGAAAGACGGAAAGAGGCTTTTAAAGATAAATTATACATTACAATAAGCAGAGGGCATCAAGTACGAGTACGTGACTTCCTCCTTGAATCGATCCATGTTATTTACCGCTATAATTCAAGTGTTGTCATCTCTCCATTATTATTAATTCCTTTTGTTTACATGTAGATGTGTTCCCCGAGCGTGCAGTGTGTGTCTCTGTCTGTCATTGTGGACGCGGTAAGAGGTGGCAGAGCTGCCGGCTACCTGGTCACATGGCGGGCCCCGCTAGCAGCGGCGAGTGCTGTCAGTTACTACATACACATTCAACCAGTTACCAACCAACGAAACACAAAACACATCTGCAACCCTCAAATTACAGAATCCTGTCGTAGTTAAGAGAGGAAGCACCATCGCCAGCCTCATAGCGTCCGTGTTTAAAGACAGCTGCTTGAAGAGAGGCGTCTCTCTGAACGATAAGGGTGTCATACAAAGTTCAGTTCATACCTCCTCATACTACTTGTGTAGTAGTACAATCTTAATGTATGCAATAGGACGATACTTCAAAACGTGTTTTAACTGTTTATTAATGATTGTTGAACAGATTTAAAACATCCACTGATGGGAAGTGACGTCCTCACACAGACGGACGGCCGGTGTTCAGAGTTTGAAGTGGCTGGCTCACGAATGTCCAAGGTGAGACTTACAACACACATACATGGATATTCATACAACTATTGATTGTATTGATTATAATATTAGGAATAATCTGAACCTGTACCTGAAAAGTTATATACGAAGTAAAAAAACTGCCTTGTAACAATCAAAGAAGTTAATGAAGAGAAATAATGAAATACAGTTTTTGTTAATCATAACACACAATTCACTTATTATAATTTTTTTTATTAAGGTAATTAATAATAAATCTTAAATATGACTATTTTATATAAGAGCTCACATGAGAGTGATGGTTATCCATTATATTAAGATGGCCTAACTCCTTACGTAACTGTTGAACAACTAAAAATAATTGTACTCAGAATATTTATATACGTATAATTTAATATACCTTATGTTACTTAAGATAATATTGACGCATCGTGTTCATTGCGTTTAATATACAAATTAGGAATAGTATTTAAATTGAGAGACTACATGTTTTCTAACTGAATGCCTCATGTGATCATATCATGATGATATGTTCCAGGCCTTCGCCCTCCTCCAGCTGCTCTCCGAGGATCTCAAGCACAAGGTGTCCGTAGCCGATGAATCATTTAATTTATATAAAAACATTAAACTATCTCCAGAAGAAGAGGTTACTAACTTGTGTTACGTCAACTCAAGTATCAATATGTTTGAATTTTTTACTAAGAAGTGTGTCGTTTTCAGACTATTTTGATATTATGTTCACATTATTTGACTCTCAAGTTAAATGAGACCTGGCTTGAAACGAGACGAGAGACGGTGAAACTACTGCCGCAAGATGAAGATACATTGAATGAATTTGTTGAAATCAACGTGTCAGTATGAATCCAAGATATATAATACTAGCTTTCCGCCCACAGCTTCGCCCTTGTGGAGTTCGGTTATATCGCGTTTCCAAGAGAACCTTTCAAAAGTCTGGGATAAAAACTATCCTATGTTCTTTATCAACGTCAACTCTATCTCTGTACCAAATTTCATTAAAATCAGTTCAGTGGTTTAGGCGTGAAAGCGTAACAGACAGACGGACAGACAGAGTTACTTTCGCATTTATAATATTAGTAGGGATTGCAATGCGTATTAAAAAGATAATAAGTAATAACAATATAAAATAAAAAAATCTTGAAATTTAAAGAATATAAAGTTATACAATCTTTCATAACATTGCTTCACCTCTCTTGTGTTCATTACTTTCGATTTTTAACCGAAGAAAAAGTTGTTTTAATTATTGGTGCGACGGAAACTGAATAAAGAACAACAAATCAAATTTACTTCGATCGTATTGAGAGAGATTCTATTAATTATTCTTATAAAATACAAACGCCAACGTATCACAGCAGCTGGTAAAAACTGAAAAGTTGAAATCGATATTTGTGCTAGAGCACATTCACAACTAATGTGATACGAAAGTTACCTATGAACATTAAAATAATACATATAGTGTTTATTAAATGTCAGTATTATGTATATAAAATAAACATGTACATTCCTATGACTCAGTATGTTGTCGTAAATAGATATTACTTCATGATCTTGAACGTGCATTGATTGTAAAAAGTTATAATAATTAAAATATTGTAATAATAAGGAATTATTTTTAGAGGATGGGCGAAAGAAATTAAGCGACAACAAGAATATGTTCTAGAAAGACACGAGAAAGAAGTAAGTTATCTTGTTTATTATTATTATTATTATGTAGTGTTAGTCAACACTGAGAGGCGAGTGGACGATCCAACCGTAGCATATACAAATATTGCATATGTAAAGTATTTGTCTGTTTGTCATCAGGAGGTGTGTGAGGAGGACAGTCTGTACTGTCTGCTGGCCCGCGGCCGACTGACCTCGTCCCTGGACGGGCTGCAGCTGGTCCGCTGCTCGGCCCGCTCGGCCCGCCCCGCCCCCGGGCCTCGCCGCGGGCCCGCCGCCCTCCCAGCCAACACTATCCTCACATACAAGCCTCCGCTCGACGACCAGGTCTGTAGTCTGTAGCTCGCGTACTGTACGTGTATCGTCTCATACTCTTATTACAATATATCTATATGTTGGTACAGAACGTGACGGGTCAGTACGTGCACGTGGTGAGCATCAGTCAGAAGCGACCCGCGGCCAGGACCACACAAGTGTCGCCTCCACCACACGTACATCAGTGACTGGTGATAAGGAAAGACGCGGGACACGGGTAGTGGAGTGATGCACTTGATACTTATATTATACATATAATGTTTAGTTGAAAGAGGTTAATTTCATTAAAAAACATTAAACGTTGTTAATGGGCGACCCTACGACTACGTGATGCGTCTACACTCTACATACATAACACTCTGTAGTCTGAATGTGATCCATCAATATCTTAACAAAAACAAGAATCCTTTTCCATCATGTTTATTGTTCAATGTCATTATAATTTAATATGTCTACGTTAAACTTAACATTAGTTATTTAAAAATCATTTTCAAATCGTCCCGTCTCTGTATTAACGAACACGATACACTTCAACAACAAATATTTCTGTACGGAAGTAAAAACTGAACATTTGTTGTAGCAACCTCCGATGTATTCAATATAATAATTTAACGAGACTCTGCACTGAACAAACAATCTTTATGAAAATAAACATACAATAAAAAATATCCAGAGGAAACGCAATATATATGAAGCGCCAAAATAAGTCATTACATGTATGTATAAAGACATGATAACATAAAATATAAAAATATAAAGAAGGCTGTACATATGATTATTAACATAGCGTTGAATTAAAACTAAATATGAACAGGCTGAGAGCCGCGAGCCATTGAAATAAATAATAATAATAATTACACTTATGAGTAATGTTGAAGTTTACATTGAACGTGTGTTATGTATACATGATAGAATATAATGAACAAGTGGCTAATATTAATAAGTAACAATTAGTTATAACACCTCGTTTATAACGATACTAACAGTTCCTAGCGAGTGTTTCACTTACAACAACTATACTGACTGTGTGTGTCATCAATGTTGTGTAGTTATGAGTAGTATACATATGTATATACAGACAGACAGATAGACACCTAATATATAAATAATTCATTTGACTAGAGATGTAACCAAGTTCCAATTATTTTGCGCTAAATGCCAATCTTGGACGTCTCAACGTCTTGGAGACACGGTATAGACAACGGTCACTCACACACACATACACACACACGCACACACACAAACACAATATAAAACTATATCTAAGTACATGTCCACACTAGATACAGCTGGTTGGCACATGATGATGACAACAATGACGTCTGAACTAAAACATAACAATACAATGAAGAGTATTCAATGAAAAGCTGACGGTCACGAGCAGGAATCGAACCTGCACTCACCGGTACATCGCGTCCCAGTAACTTGGTAAAACAAACTATGTGAACTGTGATTCAAGTATTCGATTTACATTTCTGTAATGTTAAACATAATTATATATGAACAACGGCATATATATAATGATTACAGGCAATTTATGAAACAGAACACAGCCTATTAATGTCAGCCGTCAGTTCTCACACAGTCGCTGTACCTTCTATAACAAACTCCGCCTGATCTCAAACCTTCTTCATTAATCAGTCTCCTCGTTCCGCTCGGTCCGTTCGAGTCCATTCATTCGTTCATTCATTCCTTACTCACACCATAAGTCATTATATAATATATATATATTGATATACATAAGATCCGTCTCAATTCTCTTATCCCTGTCTCGTTCCCATCTCATCTCATATAATTATTATTTAATAATATTATGTAATAACAATCAGCTAGCGTTACACTACAGACACGGCACTCCACACTCCACACGGTCACGAGTCATACACTCAACTGTATATATGAGTGTGTGTGTGTGTGTGTGTATTTGTGAGTGTGTGTGTGTGTGTATGTGTGTGTGTGTGTCTAGTTATTGCCGGAGGAGGAGTCGCAGTCGGAGAACATAGAAGCGACCATGTTGTCGAACACGGGCACAGCCTCCTCGAACTGCTGCAGCTGCTGGGCCAGCGAGGGCCCCGGCTCGGGACGCGCGCCCACCGACGACCAGCTGGCGCTGGCCTCGCGCGCAGACACGCACTCCTGGTAGAAGGACGCCAGCTCCGCGATGGGGCTGCCCTCCGCGAACGGGAACTCCTGAACACGATACAAACATACACACACTACACACTACGAGAACAAGGACAGAACACATCGCACGGCACACGATCTCAACCATTAGCTGAGACGAGTTATTATAATAAGGAAATAGTAAACATTGTCAATTCGCAGCAGTTAATAATAAGAGCAAGACGTAAACCGCTTGCAGTTCAATAAGTGTTATAGTGTGTGTGTGTAACAGTGGTGTGTTACCATGAGGCTGGTGTATCTGTGTGTGTCGGTGTGCGCCAGGCGAGGCACGTCCACGGGCCTCGAGGAGGGTCGCGTCTCCTCCGCCGCTGGACCGCTCTCGTCTTCTGATATGGGCGCCATCTTCATTCTCTGTAACAGTTATTTACCATGTACTCTTTCTCTATTTATTTCATAGCCAGTGATCACAACATGTATACCCTCTCCAGTTTATCCTTCTCAGCCAGTAGCCAGGTCAGTGGACTCTCTGGTGGTAGTTGTTGGCTCAGTGTCTCATGTAACTCTCTTATCTTCACCGTGTCCACGAATGCTCCGGCCGTCAGAGGCTTGGTGAGGTCCAGTTCTTTCTTCTCGTTGTATGTCTTCCTGTAATTAACAACCTGCCGACTCCTTAACACTTATAAATGTCTTAATACTAATCTCAACACGGGTGATACCAGTCCATACCTGGGACTCTCCTTAGGGAAGTGATCACTCTTCACCATAATCTTGTCGCTGGTCGTCAGAACATTCTTGTCAACAGTCCTTCTGTCTTCTGGTAATATTGTCATCTTTGTTCTATAAACAACATCTATCTGTATTTTTCCTATGGGCGTCTGGAGCTCGCTCACCTTGATTGTTTTAGACATGTCACCTGCAATATATAATAACTTATAATCAATTGCTGTCTCAGTGGCTCTTGTTTAATATAACACATATTTTGTGCTAAACCTACATTTATATTGGTAGAAAGCTATTTATATTATACTGATAGTATTACAACAGAATACAATAGAATCATACATTTACATTTTTAGCAGTACATTCTCTCCATCTACTGTCCTTTCCAGTTTTCAGAATAAATAAATAAACATCTCAATAAACTGTGTAGCATTTGATAAAACAAAACTATACATTCACTGTCTTTTGTCACACAAACCACTTATTTAATCTGCTTTTTTATTCAGACTGACTAAATAACAAGAGGCGAGAATCAGTTCATGCATACAAATATATTTATAAGAGGCCAATTCATTTAATATTGAACTATTCAAGATCTGATCCATACAATGTCCATAAATATTCAAAATTGATAGTTCACACATCCAATGAACATTGATGAAGAAAAACTGACAGAATTGTGAAGAACATTGACTTTGAACCAGAAATTTTTCTCATATGCTGAACAGATGTCCCAACAATATCTTATCATATTTATCTTATAAAAGTTTCTAGCCAGCCGGCCCTGAAATACAAACAGAGGAAAATCTGTGTGCAGACCTCCCTTACACTTACATTAATACAAACAAACATATAATACTCTCTTCAACTGGAATAAAATTATTTTGATTCTCATACTGACTATACACACCCAATAAATCCAAATTAGGTTTGCCGCCATAGATTTTGTGAGATATAATATATGAATCTTTATTCTGTAGTCTTGACAACTTGTATGCAGGAGTTATCCTTGAGATGCTGAGTGTTGACTTGAGCATGATACTCATACGGTAGTATATGGTGGAGACAGATCCTTGACTAGTGTCGCCGCCGGGCGCCACACGCACCGTCCACACCTCCAATACCATTTCATCCCCTTCATTGGTCCTCAGAGATATTTCTATGCACAGTACATTGCTGAGGGCCTCTATTACTTCACCATTGAGTACCATTTTCGTGTCTCTGTTTATCTCAGGGACATCGGGTATAGATAAGTTAAACTGAACAAAAATTATAAAATATATAGTTATGATATGGTAAATAATTATGTGTATCGTAAAAAAGATGATTTACCCATTGCAATGAGTGGGAAGAAGAAGGCGGACCGTCGTCGGAGGGTTTTATAACGTTACATTCATGGGATATTTTTTTTCCTTGTCGACTTTGAACAACAATCTGTGCCACCTTTAAAGTCAATATCTTCGTAAACTTATACAGCTTTCCTCGATCTTGTACTTCGGAGTTCAATGATGCCATCTTGGTTGTTCATTAATTTTAACACTATCGAATATAAATGTTTACCTTAAAATAATTATGAAAATTTTAACAACGAGGTAACTTTGAATGGATTACACATCACATTAAGTAAATTATGTACTTTTATTACAATACGATACCTAAATAATTTCATAAAATATATAAAAATTAAAATCGAAATTTAATCTCAAAGTACATATGAAAAACATTAAATAAATAATTAACTTTATTTTTTTGCGACTCTTTCAGAGAAAAATGACAGCTTAGTCAAAATCATAGACTACGCTTGTTGCTTTGATTTGCAGTGTATAGTGTTGTGCTGTAAACTGGCACTGTTTGCAAAAAAACATATGATAGGAATACGTAGTAATTTGATGACGTTGTAAATGTAAAATAAATTGTTAGCTATTAATTGTTAGATTTGATAACATGATTTCAATTTAATATGACGGAACATTATTATTTCATTGTGATTTTGTTAAATAATATTTAATTATAATATAATAAGACTAGTAAAAGAAATTCGACGACTAAAATGACTGATGAACTATGTATTACTGTGTATAAAACTTTTATACTGTTTAATGACACGTAATATCAGAACTTTAAAAAGGGATCGATATTGTCTAAAACTCTTTGATATTATTTTACAAAATTCTCAATGTTCTATAGTTTATCGTCAAATTTATTTTTAATTAGTTCATATCGAATACTTAATTGGATTTCTCTACATTCAACCTCTAAGTTTTAGTTATTTTACAACACTAAAATCCTTCTTAAATGTTTTAGTACCTACTCCTCAGTCCTCAGTCAAGATTTTAATAATACTTACATTTATAAGATCATGCTGTACAATCCATCAAATGTAATATTTTCAGTCGTCAACAAAGCTCGCCTGGTGTACCTATTTGACGTATCTACCGGACATCAGATGGCAATTTTCCCTACCTTACGTATTACCATAGTCAAGATAGAATCGCTATATTTGAATCCTCTCTTTACTATCCTTACGCAGATGATTGCAGCTACGTAGACCTGAGACTTCCTATTAAGATGTTACTGATGAGTTGCTCAATATATAAGACTGACAAAAATTTATCCATCAGTTATGTCTCCAGCTTGGTTAAAAGTAATCTCATTAATCAAATCCGCAGTGAATTCAAATGTTAAAATTAAAGTCTGTTAACCTCTTCAGAGCTTCGTCATTTGGTACAAAACGTTCTTGAAGTGTAATTCTTTTATATTAAGTTCTTCCACGTAGCGTTTGTCGTACAACCACAACCTCTGAGTCTCACTTCCTGTTCTTAGTTATGAAGACTCCGACTACACTGTTCTTTAAACTTGGAAAAAAAGTTTTTCTCATTTCTGTCCATCTTACATCATGTATCAAATTTTATAATCTTTTTTGCTTTGTAGTTTGTGTCTACAGCTTTATATTACAAGCGTTTCTAACAGAAATTTCTATCTCTATCAAACCTTAATATCTTTGCTTGCACTAGCTTTTTATTTTATTATTTGATAATAAAAATTTAAAAAGCTAGTTACTAAAATATATAAAAATCATGTATATACATACTCCAGCAATGAATATATAAGAAACTATGTAATTTTGTGTGTTATTATATTTAACCATCTTGTTATAACATTATGTATGTTCAGCTAACTTAATGTCATGTCATGATCACAGTTACTTCGGTAAAGAAATGAAAGACATGTTTCATAAAACACATTTATTCCTAATAGAAATTAAAATATTGTAAATAATTATCATTGTGAACAAATATAACATTGATAAATATATCAATAAACGGTCGTCCACACGTCGTATGAACGATAGTAGTAATAAAACGTACCAAATATATTAAAAATAATATATAATAACATCGAACGTGTATGATGTAACTTGCATCGACTCTACTCCTACACTCAGACGAATGTTACTTAGACAATATACAATACATACCTACATGTAACGTGGCACCTACCTACATAGTACATACTTAACTTGTCAAAAGTCAACGAGTCTACAGGCTACAGCTAGACTTTGAATATTCAAAAGTATTAATATGAAATTTGAACTGTATAACGACCGTCGTACGATATAGATAAGTTATACTTAATATAGATAAGAGTCCAAAACCATTATAATAGCTGCAACAGCATCATCGAGTAACCTACGATATATTATACCCCATAATATCTACGTATTTAAAACCACCTACAACTCGTCAAAAAATTCGGTAATTTTATAAAACGAACATGAAAAAGGTAACATCAAGAGTAAGTAACCATATGATCTTTATATTATTTTGTCAAATGTTTGTGCTTTAATCGGTGTCGTGTCTAGTGTGGATGTAGTATGTGAGGAGTGCAGGTCGTTGTTTAGAACCTGTCGTGTCGACGGGACCTCCCGCCGCCTGCTCCCGCCGAGGGAGGGGGAGGGGGCTCCCGTCACACGGGGTGAGGGGGGGGCAGCTGCTGCTATTCAGGTGGCGGCAGACCCAATGTCTTGCGGACAAGACGCTCTGCTATTTTGTTGAATTGTTCTCTGTCCTCTCGCCACATCTTTGCCGCGTCGACGTTGGCTCCACTCTCGTCATTTGGTTCTAATATCAATATGAACAATTTGATATTCTCAAAGGGCTATAGTATGTATTAAGATGTTCCATGTTGTTTGTTATAGTAACGGTAACTAACCAGCCAACATGCTGACTACTGACAACAGTATCTTTTCCACACTCTGGACGGGCGACCATCGCTCGGCACTGCTCTCATAGCCCATGGGATCATCTCCCGGAGCATGGAGAATTGATATGCACACTCGCCCATCAGCATATACTGCAGTATATTAATAACATTATATACTATCACCAAAACTAGCATTAAACTGTCACCAACTTACTATTTGGATGAAACATTTCACAAATGAATTGCATTTTAGGTGGGCTCAGTGGATAGTCAGGGGGAAAGACGAGCTTGGCGGGGAATATGCCACCCTCGAAACATGTTCCCTCTGGACCTCTGAAACAAATGAAAATTACTGTCGCTTAGGACTAACTTAACACAAAACTACAAGACAATACTCTTTACTATATAGTACATACTATAAGGATCCAGAAATAAAATATATGTATAAATAATAGATGTTTGATTTTAAAAAATGGCAGTAACATAAAGGTGTAACATTAAACATAATATGTGAGAGTAGGGTGTAATACACTAACGTTATAAGAGCCTCCCATTCAAAGAAGTTTTCTTCATTAACCGGCCCAGCTATGATTCCTTCTGGAGGGTTTAGTGTTAATTCTGAAAACAAACATCATTTATGTAAGTTCTGTGTTTGATATAACAGAGGTAATCATTAATTGAATATTGTTAAATATTAACATACTGGAACTATCACTTCTGCAAGTGTTAAATATTAATTGAGAATGATTTTGGAGTAAGCTTATAATAATGATGTGTTCTTACAAATTTTAACAACCTGTGCATTCACTTCTGCTACTTATATGTTATTAAATATTATATTAAATGTTATGTATGTACGAAAAAATATTAATGATTTCATGAGAAAATGTGATACTCATAGCATTGGTACAAGGAACAAACATTGTTACTCCTGTTACTCGACTACATAAAGTCAGTAACTCCTTTGTGGGGCAATGTATATGGTTTTCCAACAGGATCCCAGAAAGCGTTCAAAATGCCTCTCTTGCTAAATTTGAAAAAATTATTAAGGAATGCTTGTGTGCAAAAGGTTACTATACAATTAATGAGTTTATGAACGATAGCACACCTTGGGAATGAAACGATTGCCTCCTGGCTATTTCATCTCATATTAAATTGTGTATATAATATATGAGACAAATTTATACATATATATTAAAAAAAAAATAAACCCGCTGAGTTTCTTTCGCCGGTTCTTCTCAGGTCAGGGTTTTTTCTTTTCCGAACCGGTGGTAGTGTCTCAAATGACTATCAATAAGAAAGTGTAATGCTTCTATATTGAATAAAGTTGTTTGAGTTTGAATATATTTTTCAAGTTTCTTATTAGGAAGAAAACAATCTTCTATTTTTATTGCAAGGTTTATAAAAATAAATGTAATTACAGTTTCCCTACCTAACCTTTTATAGTCATATTAAATTTATACATTATCTAAATGTGTAGTGTACACACTATTCACATTATTTATTATAAGACAACAAACCGACTTACGTTTGTACTCGGCCATAAGACGCCGCAGAGCCGATCCAGCCATCATCTGTGCTGCTGACACCTGGCACGCCAGGTCGAAGATTAAGGTAACGTTAGAGAGCAACTATCTAGCTCACAGCTAACAATTATTGGTCTACGATAATACGTCCCAAACTTATTTGAAGTACAGATAACAGACAAAACAAACCCTAGAAGTAGTTACACTGTGACACTAAATCACAATAGTAACATACGAAGCTACTTTGTCATGGGTAGTTTTCACAAGTGACTACAGACTACTTGCTCTATGTGGTCGTTTAAATTGATTAATGATTTACGAATTACCACAGACTCGGTGAAGAAATATCAATAATTAATTTGATAGATACAGTCGACAGATGGTGTTATATTGACAGTGACATTGTATGTGTATAATATTGCCAGAACTATACATTTAAAACAATCTATTATTTTATTTTATTTCATGAGCTAAAATAATTAACTCACAAATTGTTTTATGTTAATTGCTTGTCTGATACTTTTTTATACATTTTTCAATAATACTAAGTAGAAACTAGATTATTTGTTTGATATCAAGGTAAAAATATTATTTTTTGTTGAACAATGTTGAACAAATTGAGTTTGTACTATGTAATTTTGTAATTTAATTAATAAGTGTTATCTTGGATGCTTTAATTATCGTAGAAAACATTACAATACCTACTTGTTTAATGCTTTTGTATCTGAAACTTGTGTATGAATGAAAACAGTAGAATGTTTAAGTTTATGATAACCATACTCATTAAAAAATTATAGGAATATTTAATATAGCACTATGATTTTTAATCATTTGAAACTATTGATACTCATCAAGAAAATGAACTAGCAAACTGTACCATCCAAGATTAAGATCTTCTGTAAGATAAAAATTTAAGCCTATGGTTATTAAAACCAATATTTTATTGCAATATTGTAGAAAGAATTTTACCTTAGAAAAGTACACTATGTTCATGTTTATCAATGATATAGCGACTCTTTCTTAATACGGCTTTCTTTAAAAGTCAAAATAAAAAAAATATTGTAAAACATGCTAAAATTTTTGATATATAGAGCTAAGAAAGATTAGTTATTAGATTAAAAGAAGTTGACTGTACATTTTTAGTAATATTAATCTTGTGTAATAGAAAGTTTAATATACTAATCAACAATGCTGAAAATATATAGCGGCAACCGGTAATTACATATTTCAAAGAAATTATAAAATTTAAAATAAGATTTGCATTGTCTGTAGTTTGACGTTCATTAAATATATGATTATTAGTTACAAATGCAATTTATTTTTAAAGCTCTGTTATTTGGAAAGATGCTTTTGAAAATATGCTAAAAGCACTCCAGAAGAGCTTCGAATTCAAGAGTATTTTTGGACAAAATGCGGAAGAGGTATTAACATACATTCTTTTCTAATCCAAAAGTGTTCAACATTTTATATTATAAGCCATTAAAAAAACTGAATTTTTACCCTAAGCAATATAATTTTAAGATTTAATCCATCAAATTTCAGGTCGTGAGCAACGTAGATTTGTCAAATAAAACATGTCTCATTACTGGAGCCAGCAGCGGCATCGGTCTAGAGATTGCTCGATGTCTCACTAGTCGCGACTGTAACTTGCTGATGGCTTCTAGGAATGTTTACAAAGCGAATCTTCTTGCCAACAAAACATGTACAAACACCGAGAAAATTCGGCACTACCAAATAAACCTTGCTTCCTTGGCTTCTGTGAGACAATGTGCCCAACAAATAATTGAAAATGAAAGGTGTTTACATTTAATCAGTCATAATTTATATACCAATATATACCATAATTTATATATCAATATGAGGTCATTAAAACAATAATACATTTAACCTTCCTAATGCCATATTTTTGTGTTTTTGACCATAAATAATTTTTAGACAAATAGATATAGTGATTCTCAATGCCGCCACCTTTGGTATCCCATGGACAGTTACTAAAGATGGGCTAGAAACAACCTTCCAAGTTAATTTCCTAAGTCAATATTACTTATTGCTTTGCCTGGGCAAGATGCTGGCTCCCGACGCCAGGGTTGTGTTCACCTCCTCCGAATCTCATAGGTATAATCATTGTTCTGCGTTGGTAATTGCTAAGAGTGATTTCATCAGTTCTATAGTAGTATAGACTATAGATATTACTACTAAAAAAACAACTCTTTATTCATTCACAGAAACATAAAATGGCCAGAAAAGAATAGATTCAACCCGGTGTTCGAGAACCTTTCACTCCTCAAACACGAGTATACGTCCATCAAGTCGTATAATATATCAAAACTGTGCTGTTTGTTGCTGATGCATTACTTGAGCTACCAGTGGACTAACAGCGAGAGGAGCTTCTTGTGTGCACACCCGGGGTCTTTCATCAAAACTGGTCTCTGTCGCAACTGGTGGCCTTACGAGGCACTCTACACAATTATGTTACCCTTCTCAAAGTCTATTGTAAGTAACTAATAACTAGCTATTAGTTAACGTAATAGTAAGAACTAGAAATAGATTTTTAATTAATACACATTTATGTGATGACAGAAGGCACACATCCTCCTATTGTTCCTAAGACTTGTAGCTTTAGTAAATGAACTTATATGCCCTCCCGCTACTACTAGTCACCTCCTAGGATATAAGAGCTGTGGAGGGTGGGGGGACGTTTCCTTCATATCATGTATGACTTTCATAGCGTTCTCGTGTCCTTTCCATCTGAGCATCTGAGCAACCCACTTTGGGTTCACTGATTTTTTTTTAGTTAAGGTTTGTTTGTCGGACCCATCTAAATTTTATTTATATCTTGTAAGTTTGAAACAAGATATCTATAGTGATTGAATTGTTTCAGACTGAGTTAAGACCTTTCTAGTCTATTCTCTCGCGTATTTCCTCCAGGAGGTGACTAATATTATATCGAAGACTACTGGCAATAGACTTGTTGATATATGTACTTTTTTGTAGTATTCCACTTTATACAAGTGAAGTGAAGAGAAACGTATTTTAATTACTTGAAATATATTCTTTTAAGATGCAAGGTGCTAGTACCATACTTTATTGCGCAACTTCGCCAAATTTAAAAGGTGCTACAGGTATGTACTTCAGCAACTGCAACCATTGTAATGAAAGTGACCTGGCCAGGGATATATACTTCTCATTTAGGATTCACGACTTGATTCTCGACATACTTCGAGACCGTGTACAAGATTTAGATACATTGACTAAGGAACTGCGAGTGAATAAATAAATGTTGTTAAGAATATAGTTTTTAATTAAAGCTTCTTTTATCAATATAATTTTGTTTTATTAATCACTACTCAGTAACAAGTCCAATATTTGGCACTTTATAAAAAGTTTAAGATGTAAGTATGATTAATAAAATGATTACGCACAGGCCTGGTTCGACTTAATTTTGGCCAAATACAAAAAATGAGATAATTGAATTGAATTATCCATTATCGTTATACTTTGTGTTTACAGTTATTTTGAATTGATATCTTATCACCAGAATACTATTCTACAGTTTAATTATTTAAATTTCAAAACTTTCAAAGAAGTAAAATATATGTGAAATGAGATTGTGAATTGATAGAGATGTTTTCAAGCAATAAAGGTACAGTTACATTTAATAATAATAATTTATATGTTTATAATTCATAAATACTTTAGAATAAATAATTTTAAAGATAACATTTCATATGAGGCAGATATTGCCATAGAGTAAAAATGTGACGAAGAGTCGAGCAGGAGACCGCCGACAGGCGACAGTGTGGATTGTAGTCACTAGTCTGTACTCTGTAGTGTAATAAACTGTAAAACCGTTTAGACGTGTTTGTAACACTGTAGCTGCGTTAACTTTAGATAGATATATTTTATTTTTAGTGATCATTTTTTATAAGCAAGGGGTTCTCAATTTTGATACATTTATTGAAGTTTACTAATAGATAAGAGTTTATTACAATCTAATATGCCTTTAAACGGTGTCGTCTAAAATAATACCTAAGAGGTACTGTTACTTCAGTACCTGTGCAAGTATTTGCTCCGATAAACAGTTTGGACTTTCATCTCTTCGCAATCGAAGGTAAGTTAGAGTTTACCATTCGTGTATATTTTGCTACGCGTTATTTTTTAATTTTTATTATTGAACCTTCTATAACTGGCTAGCTTAATCTGCGACTAAATCTGTTAATTATGTTATGTTAAGTAGGTAGTATGTAATTGATTCAATAGTATAAAACAAAATGAAGTAACGTAGAGGTTTCCGTATTATGTGATCGCGCAGTCCACGTTCCATTTCGACGTAAGTGGAACAGTCGCGTTCTCAGATTAGACTTTGACACCAGAGCGCTGAGCGGTGTACTCGGTACTACACACACGACACACGACACACGGCCGTCTCCATACAGTATACACTATACATTACTACTGTAGTGTGAGTGTGAGAGTTCAGTTGTGTAGTTGTTGCGGCGATCTGTTGCGAACGTGTACGTCCGGTTATGCGAATGATTTACAACTTTTCTCTGACACTGAGTAGGTTTATTTCAAATAGTAAATATTGAACATGGAGGCCAAACTGGCTTATAATCTTATTGTATTTAATCCTCTATCTGAAACCATACTTTTCAACACGAGCTTTGCCAAAAGAGATGCTACTTATGATTACAAGATTATAAAAGGTGTTTAATGTAATAAGTATAAATTTAACATGTTGCCAATTTAATTCTTTGTATTACAATATTGAAACATTCACTTATTTCTTGTAGCATGTTTTATTCTCTCATTATAAAGATATCACAACATAAAATTTTATTTACCTTACACTCAGAATACATGGGTGTAAAATGTACTTTTTATTACTTTAATTTTATTAAGATATCTATAGATACATAGAAGCTGTGTGTATTAATGCAGGCAATGTTTTAAATATGATTCTCTTCATTTTAGACAATGGACATTTACAATTTTTCAGTCATATGTATTTAATATCTACATATGTGGATTTAATATATGCTAAAGTGTGTAATGAGGTTATGTAAAGTAGTTTATATAATAACTCAAAATAATTTGTTGATTCAAAAGTTAAAAGAATTAATTTCTTGACTTAAATTGATGAAGAAACATGCTAAACTGTTTAAGTATCATTAATGATTGAAACTTGTAATTTTTTTTTGTATTCATTATGTATGTTTGTGTTCAGGTAAGTGAAGATGGCTGAAGCTCACTCGGCCGTAGCCTTCTCGTTTGCCATCACTCATGATGGTTGGGACGTCAACTTTGACCGCGAGGTGCTGTACCTGGTCTGGGAGTCCGGGCTACGCTCCTGGAACAAACGTCTGGCTCGGTTTCGAGTAAGTTTAAACATTGATTTGATAGTTTATATTTACTGTTCTTCTCTTAGAATCATTATAGTAATATTTTTAGTTGAACTTAGTGTCACAGTCGGGGTGAACTAAATATATTTGATCTGCATGATGTGACTCCACAGACAAACACAGACATGTGTCATATATAACATGTACATCAACAGTTAAAAGAAAGTTTATATTCAATATAGAGAGATTATCATAGAAGTTAATATTTATAATAATCACCACCCATCTAGAACTAGACTTCTTTACAAATATAAATTTTGACTTTCATAAAAGCGTACAAAATATATTGTTTGTTTGCAGACAGCAAACATTCTGAACCTTATTAATTTAAAATATTTATTTTTTATTTTGGAAACAACTTGATAATAAGGGTCACAAAATAATAAATGTTTGTTTGTTAATGTTCAGTAATGTAATGTGTGTTAACAGAACAGCATTCATAACGGTGTGTACCCCGGCCACCTCCAGTCCTTGTATTTCTTATGGACGGTACTAGCGGCTGCTCATTTCGCCGGGTTCCATGTACCCTTCGGTCTCGTTCACAAAGCGCTCGTCGTGCTGCCCGGGTAAATACATCACACTCTCTATAAGAGACGGCTAAGTTTACATCAAGTCTATGTATCTGAGATGTTTGTGTTGTATATTGTAGGGAGTCCGCGCCGTGGCAGGTGGTGGCCTGTCTCCTGGCCGCTCTGTCCATGTGGCTGTCCGTCATCTTCCTCATGCGCTACCTGCTCAAGCTGCTTCTTATGTACAAGGTGAGTACATCGCCCCGCCCCCCCCTCCCCGCCTCCCTCCTCGCACCAAGCGAGACGACAGATACGCCCGTTTTGTTATCAGTGCCCCTCTTATCTCGGAGTATTTTAATCACGGACACGGAACTGTAGTATCCGCGTTGTTGAGGATTAATATTATCTTAATTATACGAAAACTTAGATTGATTGTTTTATTTACTTTTATTCATATTGTATGAAAATGACTGATTGTGATTTGTTAGTTAACGATAACACTATAATCAGCGTCACTTGTCATATGTTTAACATCAACCCCCCCCAGGGCTGGATGTACGAGTCCCGTGCCCCCGGGTCCCGCGTGTCCCTGCGGACCGCTCTATGGGCCAGCGTGGTGCGCGTGTTGTCAGGGTGGAACAAGCCCCGCCTGTACAGCTTCCAGGGCTCGCTGCCCCGGCTGCCCCTGCCGGCCGTGCGCGACACCACCCGCCGCTACCTGGCCAGCGTGCGGCCGCTCCTTACAGACGAGGACTTCGAGCGTGTGCGCGCCCTGGCCGACGACTTCGAGCGGACCATCGCCGTCAAGTTGCAGTGGTACCTGGTACTCAAGTCGTGGTGGTCCAGTAACTACGTGTCCGACTGGTGGGAGGAGTACGTGTACCTCCGCGGCCGGTCCCCGCTCATGGTCAACTCTAACTTCTACGGCACGGACACCCTGCTGCGGCCCACGGGCGTGCAGGCGGCGCGCGCGGCCACCATCATACACTACTGTCTCCGGTTCAGAAGACTCATCGAGCGCCAGGAGCTCGAACCTGTAATATATTATTTCATGTTAATGTTTATACTACATAAACTATGATTCGGTTGTTTAACGTCGCTGTTCCTTAGATAATGCTCCAAGGCATGGTCCCGCTGTGCTCGTGGCAGTACGAGCGTCTGTTCAACACGGTCCGCGTGCCGGGGCTCGAGTCGGACCGCATCGTACACTACCGGGACTCGACGCACGTGAGCGTGCATCACCGCGGGAAATATTACAAGATGATGGTGTACTCGCGCGGGAGACTGCTCAACCCGGCAGAGATACAGCTGTTAGTAGAGGCAGAGATACAACTGTTGACGGTGGGGGGGGGGGGGGGGGAGCGACCGTGTGTGTGAACCTGTTCTTTCGTGTTGCAGACAGCTCCAGCAGATCTTATCGGACACTACTCCTTGCGCGGAGGGAGAGGCGCGCCTGGCGGCCCTCACGGCCGGCGAGCGGTCACACTGGGCGCAGGTCAGACAGTCACTGTTCCAACGAGGACACAACAGGACCTCCTTACACGCCATCGAACGAGCCGCCTTCCACGTCTCACTCGGTACTATGTAGTGTACATATGAAACCAACCAATCATATACATACGTATAAATACTGGCATAGTTTCACATTTCTATGAGACTGTTGTGACTGGATGTGTGTCTGTTCCTAGATGACATCGAGTACGGCTTCGACGAGAGCGACCAGTCTAAACTGGATCAATACGGACACATCCTGTTACACGGAAACGGAAACGACCGATGGTTCGACAAGTCCTTCAACCTGTGTTTCAGCACCAACGGTTCAGTACGTGCATGTTAAATAATGACTTTGATTATTAATTACCTTTAAAAAGTTATCTGTTATATAATCTGTCATTAACTTGCAGGTCGGCTTCAACACGGAACACACTTGGTGAGTGTCACGTCCTTGAACACTCTCGTAACAACTATAATTGAGGAACATTTAAAATAAATATTGTTTGATCGGTTAAAGTACAAAAGACTGTAGCTTCATAACGACTCATTGAACACTTTTGGTCACTACCTATTTACACATCATTACATATGTATGTATGTATAAACATATGTTTATACGTTTTTTTGAATGTCTTTGAAATTGACGAGATACACTCATATATTATTAATAATTTGTGTTAAGTTTGTTTTAGTTGTCGGTATGTATTATATATTACGTGTAACAACAATGTTTGCATTCAACATCCTCATCGTCCGTTGTTGTCGTCGTCAGGGCGGACGCTCCCGTCATGGGTCACCTGTGGGAGTACGTGTTGTGGTCGGAGCTCCAGCTGGGTTACTCTGAGTCCGGGGACGCTCTAGGTCCGGTCCCCTCCCCCCCGCCCCCTCCCGTCCGTCTCCAGTGGGAGCTGTCCCCCGCCCTGCTCTCCGCCGTGGACGTGTCCTACAAGCTCGCCAGGGAGCTGCTGCAGGACGTAGACCTGCGCATCCTGATGTACACCGACTACGGCAAGGGTGAGTGATGAGTACGAGTGGTCCGAGTGGTCACCTTACAACACTGTGTACACGTGCGTCATGTGTGTGTCGTGTGGCAGGTTTCATGAAGAAGTGTCGCGTGTCTCCGGACGCGTTCATCCAGATGGTGCTGCAGCTGACGTACTACCGCACGGCGGGTCGGTTCTGTCTCACGTACGAGGCCTCCATGACCCGCCTGTACCGCGAGGGCCGCACCGAGACCGTCCGCTCCTGCACCAACGAGAGCTGTGCCTGGGTCCGCTCCATGGCCGACCCTGACTCCTCGGTCAGTAGTCTCGGTCAGCTACCCACAGTCGATCGGATCCATCTATAACAACCTAATATAATGTTTATTTTGTTTCGAGTATAGATCCAGCAGCGTATGGAACTGTTCCTGAAGGCGGCCCAGCGTCACCAGCTCGGCTACCAGGACGCCATGGCCGGACGCGGTATCGACCGACACCTGTTCTGTCTCTACATCGTGTCCAAGTACCTCGAGCTCGAGTCACCCTTCCTCCAGGAGGTGTTCAATGAACCCTGGCGCCTCTCCACCAGCCAGACCCCGCACGGTACGACCCACATCTAACATATCACTCGTTATCTATCTCCTGTTATTCTAACATTGTTTGTCTGTTCTTTGTTTCAGGACAAACTAATCTGTTGGACCTTAAGAAGTATCCCAAGTGTGTGAGCGCGGGCGGTGGGTTCGGTCCGGTGGCTGACGACGGGTACGGTGTGTCCTACATTATCGCCGGTGAGGACACGTTGTTCTTCCACGTGTCCAGCAAGAAGAGTTGTCCGCTCACCGTGAGTAACCTCCTTCACTCATACACACTGTTCATACTTGATACTTGATGTGTGTGTTACTACAACGGTTCCTGTTGTTACAGAGCTCCTCGAAGTTCGTGTCGCAAATTAAGAACTCCTTGAAAGACATTCACGACCTCTACGTCGAATACAACAAACTTCAGAACGGACTGAAGAGTAAATAACGGTTTTATTATTAGTGTTTTAGATAAGTATTGTGCTGTTTTATTTTACAACGCGAGTTATCAATGCAATGCCGCTTTAAATAGGTTTTTTTTCTAGTTGTTTGCTGTATATTTTTTTCATCGTATTGTTTGTACTCGAATAGATTAAGAGTTTATATCGTGCGAACATTTATGTTGCTTCTATGGAGTCGAGTCTAAAGCTTGTTGATATTGTTAATATTTAAGACGTGAGCTGACGATCGCCTCACTCATACGAAATGATACACACACAATCATTGATACAAAAACAACAGACAATGGTATTAATAAAGTTTACTCACAAGTGATTTACAGCTTCTATAGAGTTGTATATTTTTGATACGTCTTATATATGTATGTAAGCACACACACACACATCACACACACGTGTATCGTCAGTGTACCGTCTGGTTGTAGTTAATCAAATCGTCTCCGGGTCGGTGTTCATCTTTATACATATATATGATATTGTCACATTGCTTTTAAAATGCATTTCAAGTGTTTTTTAATTATTTTTTATATTCGTAGAACATGTCGGTTGGTGATGTAAGTTGTCTTATCTTAACAATATTTATATTAATCCATCACTAACCTGACACTCATCAATGTGTTTCTTACTGACTATAATGTATTGTTTTGTATATATATCTATTTATTTATATATGTATGTCTGTCTGTCTATATGTTGTTAGCGCGTCAGTTTCCGGCAGCTAGCGGCGCTCGGTGTTTTTACTCACTATTTGTTAAATGTTATGTAAATCGTGCTGCGACTATTTTTGTAAAGATTTTTATCAAGTTTCAATATATTAGATGATATTGTTATAATTAATGTACAAATACAACGGTTCAGTGTGGCCTTACTGTGAACTGTGGAGTGTGGCCTTATACGAGACCAGTTGAAGTTACAATTATTGATTATTAAACGAATTTGTTACTTACACTTTATAAAGTTTTACTGTAAATAAATCGAAAATCATTATATTAAAATAATTCTACATTAGTTGACTGGTTTTATTTGAAGTGTAACATATCACGAAATAAAAGAAACAAATCAATTGGAAAAATATTTATTTATTAAATTAGGTACAGTTATTTGAAATAAGGAAAAAAGCATATAAAAATGTATCTGACAAAAAAATTAAGAACATTGTCAGCAGGAGTCCGAGTAGGATACAAACATACAATCATTTGGCACCGCTTTATATATATTGTGCTTCGACTCACATATTATAAAATAATTGTTGCGATTCAAAAGAAATCTGATATTTAAAATACATATAAAGATCGAGAGAGTTAACAGACAAGATACAATTTGAAAACCATATTTATAAAAACATTTGTGTGTTAGTAATGGCGACATGCTTCTGACTGATATTGACTTGCTGGCAACTGCGATCTATAACATAATATATAATATAATGATATAAATATTAACAGGCATTATAAGTATTATCCAAAATTATAAACTTAATGAAAGTTTCGTAATTTCAATAGTCTATTATTGGCCGGCATCTGTTGCAATTAATATAGCTAGTGATAGATACAGTACACATTAGACTATGTACATAATATAAAGGAAACATAATACATCATAAGACGCAACGCTAAGTACGAGACAACTTAAGTTCAAATAAATATTAGCGAAGAACAAAAAACAAAGAGAACAATCGCGTGACGTCACGAATATATTATATAATATAGTTAAGTACAAAGAAAACAATCATAGTGTAGTGTACCTATAGTACGATGAAACTAAAATAAATAATAATAAGCCAGCGAGACATCGACTAGAACGATGAAGACGTGTTCTAATACTTAGTATGTTGGAATGTTTTATACTATATATACAGGGTGACTGGTGAATTACTATCAATATTTAAGGAGCATACTCGGTACATGATTCTCATTCGAATTATGTAAAAAAAATAGGTACTTAATTTTTGACCAAATTTCCGTGTAAATAAATAAAGTGTTGACACGTTCCAAGTGTTCAAGTGTGGACGCGTGCGGCGACGTGCTGATACAACACCACGTCACGACACGCGTATGTGTGAGTGTCAGTGTATACCTAATCTGTAGGGTGTTCATACGATGCGTAATTAATTACACAACTTTTGGTTAACTTTACTTAGAAGTTTATTAATATTTATGTTATATTAATTTTTATTTTGTCATATATGATCGTCAAATATCACGTCCTCAAATATCGATAGTAATTCACCAGTCACCCTGTATATATTATAAACTGTTTGAATTGACCTAATTATAATAATACATCTCCACGTTATCTTTTTATATAATCCTTTTAGACCCAGTTTCACCAATCAATGTTAAATAGGTAACATGATGCTTTGTTAGATGTATCGAGCGTCCCGCCACGCACAAATGTCCGTTTAAATGTCTTAACAAGCCACTAATATTAATTCCTGTTCTAGAGCTCCGTCTAACGTGGCTAACAGACTGTTAATTGACCAATCACAGCCCTGATTTCTCGTTACCATAGTAACGTCATCTGTTTTGTCAGTTTCGACTATTTCCTGGTACTTATTAATTAAGTGATTTAAAATTTCATTTCCTATGATGATTTTATCTCCAGCTTTTCTATGACATTGCAAATAAAATTTTCTTTTTATCTCTTATAATTTGAACACAATTTATGCCTATATATTTTATGACACAATATTTTATTGACAACACGATTGTGACAGGTTACACCTAGTAAATTAAGAAGAAAGCTTTTTGTGTACCAAGTGTATGCAACCAACGATGCATATTTTTTTTTAATCGTGGAACGTAAATAGTTTAACACACAATTATAATTTTGAAGGTTTGTTAGTAAATGCCTTGTTTAGATTTAACAAACAGTGATTGGTGAAACTGGGTCTTAAGCTACTATCATATAATTAAATTTTATAATTATTTTTTTACACATAGTAAAAACAGAACAATTTCGTAACGTGTCTAGCGTGGCGGGCTCGTCTCTACTCTCACTTGACTCATAACGGATGAGTAAAGTGAAAACTAAGTGACCGATAGAGAGAAACGTGTTCAGAGAACGAAATGCAACGAGTTGTATTGTCATGTGTGTGGAGTGTGGAGGGAGGCGGGGATGTTAGACGGTGTGGACCATGGTGAGATCGAGCGAGGAGTCCTCCCCCTCCTCCTCCTCCTCCTCGTCGTCCAGTTCGTAGTGGGGCGTGAGGGGGGAGTGGGGCGCGAGGGACGGGTGCGGCGGGAGGGGCGGCACGCGCTGCAGGAACCGCTGCAAGGCGGGGTAGTAGTCGCCACATAGCCAAGTGTCGTCGTGTCCGCCGCGCTGTAAGGCCGCGAGCCGCTTGCGAGCAGCGCCGCACCGAGCGACCAGCTCACGAGCCATGCGCGGAGGAACGAGCGCGTCCCCCGCACCACACACTACTAGTGTGGGACATACCACCTCCGAGATCTTGTGCACTGACATGAACTGGGAACACACACATAATTATTACATTGTCATATATACAACTAGTTTTAGCCAGCTAATTCATCTGCGACTTTCAGATTTAGAAACATGTATAGGTGACCACGCGAACTCTGTTCACCCTAAAAGGCAGCCAAAAATTATTATTTTTTTTTTTTAATTTAACAACATTGTTTTTTTTTCGATTATTTGAAAAGATTCCTATGTTCTAAGCTTTTTCAGTCAATTTTCAACCAAACCCGTACAGCAGTTCTTGACTTATAAATCGAGTAAGTAACATTACTTTGTATATAAAGATTATTTATAACTGTTAATTAATACAACATCCAAAACTAACATTATAAAGTTTGTATACATTAGTTCACAATGTTGAATGTTATGGATCAGTATTGATTCTAATGATTGAGAAATATAGCACACATAATTGCAATTACAATGCTATAATGACTTTTATAAAGAAATTAACTTAGAGAGTGGTATTGAAATATGACATCATGTTAAAAAACTAGTAGGTAGTTGTTTTTTTCAGGTATTAAATACTCGAATGTAATTCAGTAAACAGTGATAGCAATCGCTTATAGTAGCAACTGTAAAAGGCTTGTGGCTTTCTTATCAACATGAGATATAGAGATTTGAATACTGAAATGGCAAAAAGTCTACAAATTATTACTTACTTCTAATGTATATTGGATTAAATTGAATTACTGATATGGAATTGTTAAAATATTGTTACATGTAATATACTGTTATCCTGAATATAACAAGACTGCTTAAAGATCCGAAAATTTAAAAATATATCAAGTTCATAAACTGTTATAATACTCATTACTTGTTCTAGTCAGTCATAGTTTCACATCTCTGGTGGAATATACTCACTTGTCAATGAAGGATAACTTAGTTTATTTTGTTGTGATATGTTAAGATGTGTTCATTATGAACAATTTCAGACAATGGTTATGTTAATAATCTTTAAAATAATAATAACACACACCTTATTCTTGTGACAGAACATTGGCAGCCACTTGAGACATTTCCATTTAAGTATAATGCGAGCCATGTCAGGTATACTAGTGAATGTGTTCTCAACTATCAAAGCCCATATTTTGTTTTTATATTCTATCCTTGAAGCCAAGTCTATGGCCACAGCACCACCTGAAACATTACACTCTCAACTCACAATCACTTACACCAATATACATAGTTACAATCTCTTGTAATAGCAACTTCTTACCCAGGGATCTCCCAAAGATAATGATTTTAGTTCTATCAATGTCATCTCTCTGCATGATATAGTCAAATGCTGTCTGAGCATCAATATACAGCCCTTGCTCTGAAGGTGTCCCTTCAGACAGGCCGTAACCTCTATACTCTACCAAAAGAATATTTATTCCTAATTTGTGATAAAAACCCGACACATTGGACAATCTGAAACAATATAAATATATAGTAAACACTTGTATTATATTTTTAAAGTGTGAGAATAGCAACAATATACTGATAAAAACCTTTGACCCATGTTCCCTGCATTTCCATGGAAGAAGATCATAGTTGGCTTGTGGTTGCTGTTTGTGAGTTGTCGTATGAAGAACATGTGAATCTTATATCCATCCCGGGTTTTAATCTTGACACTCTCATAAGGTAGCTTGTAGTTACTGGGTTGAAGAACAAAGGCGCGGGAGTCGGGAGGATCATTGGGATAGAACAGAAGGAGGTCCTGCGCTGTGTACAGGATGCCTGAAACCAAATGCCATGATGCTACATCTAAGAAACTATATCATTTACTTATATAAAATGAAACATTCTTCACTCAAGTACAACTTATCATTTTTTTTCTTTTTTTTATAGTTAAAACTAAAAACTTTTAACAATGCAAATTAAATAAAATTTTACTAAAAATAAAAGACACTTTTATCATCATTTACTGAGTCAAACACATGACATGGTATCTGTAGCCAATGAGAAGTAATATGTAGTAATCAAGATGTTCCACAGCTTAGAGAGAATATTTTACACCCAGAAAACAAACCTAATATTATTATGAATTGGTCAAATTGTGATTATGCAAAATTTTTAGTTTCAATGATAAGATTTGAAAAATTATGTGAATATATTTGTTTAGCATAACAATATGATAACTATTACGCCTTATTTAACTGGCAACATACCTGATATCCCCAAGGTGAAGGCTGTGACGGCGAGAAAAAATCCATATAACCAAAATATAACAAAACAAGAGCATAAAGTCAACGTAGACACAACCCAAAGTCGATACAACAACAAACGAAGTATGTGATACATTATCTTATGTTTTTGAAAAAATTGCAATTTGTCATTTTACTTGGTAAAAGTCAAATTATTAAGAGTTACAAAATAAATAGTTTGGTATACATTCATTATATCACAATTTTCGTTATACACATCAATAGTCACACGTCAAGGAAAACTAAGTATTAATTGACTATAATTTTAGAAAATAATTTATCAATTAGTGGTACAAAAAAGAAGTATTATCGTTTTCCAACTCATTTTCAGTAAAAAATAAGAATTACGACTTTATAAATTTCTGTAAATACACACATTAATCTATTATTTATCTTAAAAGTCAAGATCTAGATGCTTCACACTACAAATATTAACAGAACATGACATACTCGACCAGTGTGGCACAATATAAAAAACAAATGATTTTAAAATTTAAGTAAATTTAAGACGAATTTATTTAAGATCGAAAGATAAAGGAATAATATAATAAGAATATTAATTTTTGTATAATAAATAAATTTTAAAATATATTTTTATGCGAGATTATTTTTCGAGAGAAAAACATAATATAAATTTATTTGTATGAATATAACATTAAACTCTGAAACTCTGAATATAAATCGCTCTATATTTATTATGTCAGCAATTTATTAACCGCTATCAGATCTGTATACAGGTCGGATCTACCTAAAGGCAGGGCCGCGCCAAGTCCAAGCAGCGCCTGTGTGCGGAACCTATGCAGCGCCTCTTTTTTAACGAATCTTCATAAAAAACGAATTTAATTTTTTTACGTTATTATTAATTGTTAATATTGACCGAAAAAAATGTTATCCTGTTTTACATTACTTAGATAATATTAACAAAACTGGAGATCATTCGGGAATTATGATACTAAATTGGTAAATCACGTTAGCTTCTGCTTGCCAATTACTGAGAAAAATAAAACTCGAACTAAATTTTTACATATTGGTATCATTGGTAATTAATAGAATGAATTTTATCTTTAAATTATATTAATAACAAAGAAGCTGACTTTTTTCTAATAATAATAATACTAGCCAGTCTAACATTTGCCAGAACATAAACATACTCAAATTATAATATTTCCACTTTTCTCGCTTTTTTATTTTCGAAATCCTTAATAGTTTCATGTATGTCTATATGGTCTAGTATGGCCTCCTCTATGAATATTGTTGCTAAATTTGTTAATCTTTCCTGACTCGTGGAGCGCAGGTAATTTTATAAGTTTCAATTTAGAAAAGGACATTTCCGCGTTTGCTAGTGTAACTGGCATAGTTAGCATAATTCGTAATACTATGGTAATGTTAAGGCATACAGCTGTTAAATTGTTTAAATATATAAATTCCAGAATTTTCACCACATCATTATTGATTTTTTTGAAAAATTGCTGACATGACATAATTTCGTCACACAAATCATCGGCGTTAATATCCAATGAATCATTTGCTGAAAGTTTCTCCTGTAAACGATGACAGCTAATTCTTAATAGTCTTTGACCTTGCTCATCACTTAAATTAAATAGAAAATTAAACACGTCATTGTGATTATTCAATAAATTAAATGTTTCATCTACGGAGGATGACGCTTGGTTTAATATATAAAAAAATACATTAACTTTAAAAGAGGTTTTCGGATCATTTATAGTGTGGTCTTCATGTTCATAATCAAAACTTTTTGGAGTTTTACAACGTCTTAGGGGTCTGGAACTGAAACTTTCAAATTCAGTCTCACCGTCTAATTTTTCGGCAATTCCTTTGGCATCACTTACAATTTCTTCAAAATTTATGTCTGTTAAAATTTTTAGTAAAAACTTTTTAAATTCTGTTAGAGCATCTAAAGCAACTTGCATAATTATATCGAATTTAACACAAAATTTACTTGTGTCAATATTATATGCCATACGTTAAGCGAACAAATGAATGAAAAGGTGCATTTTTTCTGCTAAACATGTAGCGGCGTATTTTGTCTTCTGATCATATGATATATCATTTGATATTTCATACAGGGCATCATAAAATGCAGGTAAATTTGTAAACAGCGGTTTTATAGTGTCAATTCTGCTTGACCATCTTGTTTTAGATAATGGTTTTAAGGTCAGATTTATGGCATATTTTTTTAATAAATGCCATCTATTAGCAGATGACGAAAAATATTTATAAAATTCTTGCACAATACAAAATATCTAGTCGTTTACTGTTAAAAAACACAATAATTTATGAGGCAGTGGTGGCCGCGGCGCCCCTATTGTCTTGGCGCCTGTGTGCGTTGCACATTTTGCACACAGGGGCGGCGCGGTCCTACCTAAAGGCTTTTTGGGCTGCAGCCCAGGGCCCCGCGAAAACAGGGGTCCCCCAATCGAACCGCAAACAAAAATACGATATTGTCAATAATAAAAGCTACCTATCTAGAATTGAAAAAATTCGATGGTCAGGTTGGCAGCACTACAATAGATCAACCCGTGTGCGCATCTGTCAAAAGGAACGGGGAATTCCCTGTCGTTTGTTTTCGGTTAGTGTATTCCGTGCATTGTCTTTTATTGGGACTTCATGATTTTTTGTTATTTTTCCGCAATACTGCTATCGCCGACTATTTTGACGAATTTGCTTTTTTTTTTATTGTTAGAAATGTATTAAGTGTGTTTAGTTTACTAAGTGTCAGATAACTTAAAACTTATAAGGAGCGGACCTTTCTTTTAATTTACTAAAATTAAAAGTAAACAGCATAACTAGACTAACTGCTTATAATAGAGCAGTACTTAGGTAAGTACAAAGAATTATAAAACGTGACTTTTTTATTTTTATTTAATTTTTCAAAACTAAATTAATCGAACTCGTTCAGGGGCGGATCTTGGATTTCTGGGGCCCTGGGCTACTACTGCTCAGGGGCCCCACCTAATTACTTAACTAGTTTCCATTTTGACAAGAAACTACGAGTATTTTCTGTAATGATGTAGGTATATGTTGAGTACAGGAAGAAAATAGGAAAATAAAATATTTTATTTATTTATTAAAACATTATTTATTGCAACATAAATTGAAAGGTTATATATATGGTTATTGTTACATATGTAGGTACGTATAAATAATTAGTTCAGGCGTGGCTGCGACCATCCATATATATTGTAATAATAACGTAGTTATTTAAACTAAAAAGCAACCTTTCTGCATGTTTGTGCTGCAAATTCTTTTATTTAGTCATCGCACTGTAGGTCCTTTGTTAAATCGCAATTTATCGATTTAAAGATTGAGTCGATAGTTCGACATTGTGTCCTGTATTTAAAACATTTTAACTGAATGCACTTATTCACATAATGTTCGTCTGAGTCATTTGGATAATAATATTACGTACCCTTTCTAGATCTATGTGTTCTAGATATTTTTCTTGCAAATACATTAAAAATTTATTTTTTGGGAGGCTCCGACTCACGCGAGATGACCGCTGCGGCCTACCTGTCTTACGAATATAAACTGAGTTCAATCATTAATATTTTATACGATGTTGTACTATTCTTTATACTTATTTATTATATAAAAACCACAAAAGGAGATTTTCCACTTAGTATGGGGACTTTGGCTTGACGTGAACAGACATTTTATCATATTTTTTGTAATTAGTTTAAAAGCACTAACTAGTAATAATGAGAATATGAACTTAATTTTGTATCAAAATGTGTCCATGAATTTAGGTGTATTTAATAAAAAACTGAATTAAGCGTGAGGTCAGTATAATCACTTGAAGGGCGTAATATTAAGAGAGTGAATAACAAAAAGAAGGTGTGTAGGTAGACATAAAATAATACAGAAATATTAATAATATGAGCAATCACGGTGCACAGTGATTTTGCTATTGCATTTTGACAGGAGTTATTAAATTAACTGATATAAATACATAGTATGTGATTTTTAGACAAAATGTTTAAAAAGAGATTTTTGTCATGTGAGGAAAAACAGGTTAAAGCAAAATAAAACAACATTTTTTTATGATTTATTTTTATTCTGAGACATCATATGTTATTAATATGTGCTCAAGAAATTTGGCAGGTGGTGAAATGTGTTCCTGATTCCTTGCCCAACTTAAAAACCATAAATTAATCATTATATGAGAGCAGCAATCCACTGTCCTTCGGTCAACCATGGAATTACAATATTCTTTTATAGCTTTCTTACCATTGTGACTATTTTTATATAATATATATACAACGTGTAACGTAATTAACGCACACCCTCAAATACCCCAATGCGTATATAATGATATAAACGCAATGCATACACCAAATATTATTTATATGTGCGTTTGAATTTTTTATTTGTGAAATTAGTTATCCCAATTTCGTGCAAATAATATGGTCCGCTATTCAGCGACACCCTGTACTCGCCGCGCCCGCGCCCCTCTCTCCGAGTGCCGTCCGACAATAATAAGAAGTAGGTAATAATAAGTACACGAAATAACTACATACATTATGATTTTTCTTTCCATCACACTTTTCAAGCTTTAGATTGTTGACATTGAATTGTCTTTTTAATGTGAAGCCAATATTTTATAATTACTGATTTGTTAAATTAAATTTGTAAATAGGAATTATTAAACAGCTGATAACGCGTGATTTGAATAGACACCACAATACCTACGACAAAGTTAAACACAGTCGGCCTGTTTAAATGGTGTGTATCAAAATATTTACAATAATTTAAAGATCATAAACAAACTTACAGTTTAATTTGCACTCGCACAGCGTTGTCGTTTTAAAACATTTTCAAAATGTCCACCGCCTTGTTTTATGCACTTTAATGACCGTTTTCGAAATTGTGGTTTTATTTTAGATAATACTGCAATGTCACTTTTCACTTTTACAAAGGCGGTTATTATCTTATTTTTTAGTTCCTCGGCACTTGTTATCTCTGTGTTATAAACTAGCGATTTAATTCGCCCCCACAAAAAAAAGTCGAGTCGCGTCAAATCAGCTGATCTAGGAGGTCAATGGACACGTGCGTAGGTACTTGATGTATTGAATGTTA